CCCCCCCCCCCCCCGAGACTTCCATCTTACTACTACCTACGGAGTAACTAAAAGTAGTATCACACTAGGTAGTATGCCTCGGTTGTTCAATGGCATTTTCTTCAGATGTTTGTCTTACTTGCGATGAGTACTCTGTGCTCACTCGGACGGGGACCCCAAAGGCCAAACTGTTAGTCTAAACCTGTACAAGCCATTTGAATACCTCCCTCTGTCTCTCGCTCTCTCCTCACTCTCGTGGTTCATGATACGTGCCGCTTGCGAAGAGGCAAAGACTTCAACATGAAAAGTAAAACATGAGCCATGTGTATGGACAACACTCAACTCGATCTCTCTACTGGTCTCCTTTTTGATATTCCCACAACCCTACCGAACGCCACGCTGTCTAAGTGAGAGTAGCCTTGGATACATTTTTGCCTTTCCTTTGGTGGAAATTGTAGTGTCCAGGCATGCATTCCTGATATCATAACGTCATCTTCCCACCCTAAAATATGCGCAAGAACGAAATTGGACGAGAACCTTCCCTCGATACACTCAGAGACCACCCAGAGACTGACACATATGAGGTTGATCAAAAATTGTACCTCGTTCCCTGTCTAGTGACAGGTTTCCCCTGCTTGTTCAGGACCGATTGTGCCGAGGACGTAATCTTCTCCTCAACCACGTACTGGTTCTTCTTCCCACGCGGTCGTGGTTTCGGAGGCGGTTCAACATGGCGATAACCTTGCTCTGCAACGGCCGTGGTGTTCCTCCACCTCAGGCATCGATGTGACTTGTCACTCACGTAAGTTTTGGTCCTCGTCGACATGCGCGCAGGTGGTTCTTCCGACTTCTCGCGAGGAAGGAGGTATTCGGCTCGCTTCTCCATATGTTTGATGATGAGGTCTCTTTGGAGAGCAAGTTCCTTTTGGAGTTTTGACTCCCTCACGCCCCGGCCTTCAAGCCAACCAATCAACATGTCTAGATCCTCGGCAGTGTCGTAGAATCCCCATTGTTTGGCATTAACCAAACTCGTCGGGCCTTCTTCCAGGGACTTGCGTTCCGCAGGAGTCATCTGGAAGCGTCGATAGTAACCGTCCCGCTCCTGTTTGGAAATTTCGATGAAGCCTTCTCGCTCCATGTCATCCGGGCCTTGGACCCAGAGTCGACCGTTGGCGTAGCCGGCATCTGCCGTTGAACTGTCTGGGAGACCGCCGTACGGCATTGCATTTCGTTCGAACCACCAATATCTATTGCAGAACCGGTCCTTACCCAGCACCCTCGTTCGAGGACAATCTGCCTCTCGCAAGTCGCTGTCAACGACGATGATGGCGTCTTCCGCGGCCTGGACTTTTTCTCGCTCCTTTTCGATCTGCTTGAGAACTTTCTGGTACTCTTTGCTGCCCTTAGTCTGTTTTGCTTCGGCCGCCTTTTCTTTTCGTTCTTGTTCTTCTTCACGCTTTCTCTTTCGCTCCGCAGCTCGATCAGTCCCACGCCGTAGAGACCGAGTCACAACGGGCTCTTCGTCCTCCGAGTCCGGAATAGAGACATCGCCCTCCCCGGCATGCTCCACTTCCATTGCCTCCTCAAGCTCAGGCACGGGGCTGGGTGATTTTTCAGGCTCTGGTGCAAGTAGTTTTCGTTCCACCTGTAATTCCTTCAACCTCGCCAAAGCCTCCTTCCGAGCTCGCTGGTGCTCAATCTTGGCCTTTCTGTATTGGGTCATGGTGTTGCTCATATCTTCCAGGAAATCTTTAACAGTCTTTGTTTCCAGGAACAGCTGGCAAATTATTTGCAATGCTTCCGCTCGCAAGTTGATGTCCATGGTTGAGTATTGTATCCGGGCGGTCTCGATGGTTGGTTCGGCGTCGAGAGGTGCGAGGTGTGCGAGGAGTTTGTTGCACAGGTCTGTAAGTCGAGGTCGTCCCGAAAGTTGATGAAACAGGCCAACCATCACCAGTTCCCATCCTCCATTTTTGAAATCGCGTTTCCGGAGTCTGCTGATCCAGTCGTACTCACCAAACATTTCTGCTGCTCGGTGTGGAACAGTCTCAACTTCCTCCTCCACAGGCTCTGGCTCTGGTTCTGCAAATTTGACCTTGTTAAGGCTACTTCGAGTTCTTTTGGCAGGATATTCTGGTTCCGGCGTTGGCGTCGGGGCTTTACTTTCCTCTTCTTCGGATTCTTCTTCCTCCTCCTCATCAGAGTCGGGCAAGTCTGGGAGAGATATTTGGATGGCCCCTTCGTTGTCGGCTTCCGAATTGACGAGCTGTTTGAGGATCGCACAATGCACCTCCACGAATAACTCGCAATCCACCTCCATCGAGGAGAACTGCATCGCGTCTACAAAGTCGTCGAAAGTGAAGGAGTCCAGTTTCAAGACCTGGCAATACACATTCAGCGTATTCCAGGTCTCCAGCAAAAGTCCAATGTTTTCCCCCTTGAGTCCAGGAATTGCATCCTTGGTCAGTGTCTCATCGGAGTACAGTTCTTTCGTAACAAACTTCAATGCTGGCCGGTGTGTTCCATCTCGGACAGGCTCTACATCAAGGTCCTCGATGGGATATTTAATACTGGGAGGAGGTGGAGGGATTTCTACCACGACCTCTTGCTTTAGCGGAACAGGCTGAGGGGCAGGTGGTTGTACTGGTGGGGGGTAGTAATGTCCATTAGGTGCCAGCTGGTTGGGAGGGAGATAGTTGGCGTAATAAGGTGGATAGTCCGAAGGAGGCTGAGGCGGCGGTTGCATGTGACCCCAGGATCGTGGCAACAGGCCTGGGTCAGGCATGGGAGGTGGCACGTAAGGGGTATTCTGGTGATAGAAGTTGTGGTATGCTTGGGCCGCAGGGTCTAGCGTACGCTCAGGATGGGGATGTTGATGGCTGTGGCCTTTTCGCGCTTTGGGAGCAGGTTTCAGCTCGGGGAACTTATTGGGCTGCCAGATACCAAACATACCATCTTGTTGCTCCACATTGGAATTTCTCTTCTCAGCCTTCTTTGCTGCGACCTTGGTGCTGTGCTGGAGGTGCGGAGGGACATTGGTATCTATCCGGAAGCGTTCAGCAATCTCGGGCTTGACCAACCAAGGTGCGCCTATCCATCCTTCTCGGGTGACTGCATTCTTGATGAACGAGCGGAGCATCTGCTTTGTGAATATCTTGCGGTCTCTGACGATATGCTGGTCGTCAACCAGAGCCTCCTCGTCCGGCCGGTCGATTAATCTGACAAAGTACCGGGAAAACGCATTCCTAAGTATTCCACCGTCAATGCCCCTGATCTCGGCGAATTTGGCCTTGTCTCTCACACGCCCATTAAGTCGTGAAGAGTCATCGAGGATGACTGTCACCAATTCGCCGGGATAGAAATCGTTCTTGAACTCGTTGAAAACTTCCTCCACCAGGTTGTCGATCCGGGACGTGGTGGAGAATTGGACCCTTCGTAGTACAGGTTCTCGGAGCGCCTGCGGGAATGCTTCATCGATCTCTTTAGACCCTGCCAGTTCACTCCTCAAGGCATCGAAGTAGGTCAGGCCCGAGCGACCGGTAACCTCGCATGTGAATCTCTTTGACTTGAAAAAGTCCATGCGCTCGAGGTAGGCATCGTAGGAGACGAATACTTCATTGGACTCTGAAATGACCCAGACATCGCACTCTTGGTCGTCAATGTAAGGATGTGGCAGGTATCGGACAGGCTTCCTCTTAAACAAAACCATCCTGAAGCGTTGCCGGTCGAGGATGTTCGTATGCTGGCGGCGCAATTAGAAGGGAAGGCGAGTAAAGTGGTGTTGAGGAGGGATTCATGCACGCCGCGACCTATAAACGGACGATGATCAGTCTTTGGAACGTGTTGTTGGCTGTTTGCATGTCTGACGCGGTGGTCGCCGGGGTTTGCGCAAGACGCAGGAGACCTACAAAGGGCAGGGAAAACGCGTCATGAAGGAAGGACGGTCGCCGGCAGTGTACAAATGCGGGTGGTGGTGGGTATTAGATGGATTGTGGTGGTCGCGACGGAGGAAACTCTGAAAGCATAGACGAACATAACGAGGAGAGAAGGAAAAGAACAAAGAGCGACGAGGGTGAGTGCAGAACAGTTAGTATGCGGCAAAGAGCCAGTGACAGTGGGAGGAACAGAGTGGGTGTTGGATGCGAATGTGGAGCCTTATTATTCCGCAGAGAGAGAGAGAGGGAAGTATTTCATGGACCAGGTGTTGACCCCGGGTCGTTTGTCTCCAGGCCATGTTCAACGCGACACAATAAGCTCAAGCCAGCCTCAAGGAGCCATATACAACACTTCATCTGCCATTGATCTCAGCGAAACCCTCCAGAGAGGGAGAGGCGTAGATGCATCTTGGGGTCAAGCAGCAGCGCAGGAAGAACAACAACGGGCAGACATCATAAGCGCCTAACACCCTTTCAGCTTAGCTCAGCCGCGCCCCGGCAATCCCGCCAAGGGTCAACAGCGCCAAGACTTGCCCGGAAACATCCAATCATCGTCCCCTTTACCCTCCCCTCGCCTTGACTAGCAGTCGACTCTGGTTCAAACCTTTACATTCCTGTCGTTCATGGGTATAATGGTACTCGTTCGACTCCCACAAAGCCGCTGAATCGAATGGAGCCACTTTTGAAGCACCATCTGCTGCAGTTATCATGCGATGTCGCATTATCATCAGGCACGACCGATACCACCTCGTCTCATGTCATGGATGGGGAACATTGACAACGCTTCGGGTGCCCCAACACTCCCGTGAAAAGGGTCAGACACTGTATGCCATCAACTCTCCACGCATGAAATGCTCGCAACGCGTAACTCGAAGTATAAAAGAACGCGGTGAACCACCGCATGGGACGATTTTTTGTTGGGAGGGCAAATAGTTGATCAACCCTCTCTATCTGTCTAGTATTGGTGATCACCCACAAGTAATCTTCAATGCATCGCGAGTTTGCCATTTACGACAAATAGCAAACCATGAATCCCAGCCACGACCCTATGACTCCTACTGCAGAGTATGTGCTGATGAACATCAATGGTAAAAATTCGTATCTAGCTCCGAACACCATTCTATGCACCAGCGAGCAGTAAGCCATCAGTGGAACAGAGATGGCAATATAAAGCAGGGCAAATCGATCCAAAAGGAAAATTCGCCGCCTGGAAGGTGCTGGCGCCAACTGATCAAAGGCATAGAGGAAGATGATCAGCCATGTGATCGTGTAAGCGACCTTGATAGGAAACTCGGCTGCCGTGAATAACAGTGGAAATAACGACACGTGGCCTGCTATTGCCAAAGGCCGGAAGCTGGCAAGATAAGATCGATCTTTGATGGCGAGGAGACTGAACGGGATGATGACAAGGAGGATCGCCTTCTCATGCACGTGCCAGCCGAATAGGAACGACGCATATCCGCACAGTGTGATGGCTCCCACAAACGAGTCCCAAGAAGGCCGGAACCACAACTTCGTCAGGGCAATGATCTGAAACGATAGCGTAAGAGCGAAGCATTGCCTGGCTGAAATATCTGGCAGGACGGCAAAGGTGGTATCGCCCACAAGGCCACGAGTAACGCTGTTGACTGCCTTCTGGTCAACATCAAGACCCAGGTAAGGGGCTGCTATTATCAGCATCCTATCCAGGAACGAGTAGATAGCCCAAGCATTTGGAGCCCAGTATGCATGACAAAGACCTCTCGCAAATGGAAAAAGTCGACTTTTGAGTTGATCAAGCTGACCCCATACGACAAAAGGACCGAAAGCTGCTCCGAAGATCGCTACAATACTTGTTCCCAGCTTGATGATGTTGGTGAATTGAGGGCGAAACATGTTCTTTGGACGCAGGCAATAGGCTCGGGCCAGATAGACAAAGTAAGCTGGAGCCAGATAGAGATAGATATGCTTCAAACACAGGAGAACAGCAAAGAGCATGCCACTGTACAGCATGGTTGAATCTCTGCGCGCAAGAACAATGGAGAGAATCAAAACACCGTATAGAAACCCATTGTACTGGAAGTGGATGTGGTCGATAATCAAGAGACCTGGCGATAGCAGGATCGAGAGAGCCACGGCATGGCTTTGGCGCCGACTCGACAGAGGCGAGGTTTCGGTGTAACTACAATAATCAGTGTCAAGCAAGAATCCAGCCATATGAATGAAACTCACAGGTTCAAGGCATAGACTAATAGTAATTCGGTCGAGATGACTGATGATCGTTGAAAGCAGATTGTCGCCCAAGAGTCGTAGTTCAGGTTCCGTACCACTACCATGGCAGGATCTATTAGTCTGGCTGGCTGTGAGAGGAGCCACTCAAACGCGGCGAAAGCCGGAGGATAGTCCAGCGTCCACTCTGAGGTCGTCTGCATCTCTGTCAATTCCCTGAACTCGTGAGGTTTCAGGGCATGGTTAAACGTACCTCATAGTACCAGCTTTTGACGGGCAAGGAATTAGTGATGGCCAGCCAATTTCGATGGACTTCAAAGTCCGTGGATTTGTAGGCGGGAAAAAGCAGTACTTTCAGAGCTGTTGCTACTACAGCTGTCTGAAATAAAGATGGCCATTGATCGAGCCCAGGCTGCCCTTTGGATTGTGGCTGTCTGGTTTCCTGTTGCAATGGCAATTAGCTATGGGTCGCTCTCAAAGTTATTCGTAGCTTTAAATACCGGGATGATAGGAGTTTTATCTCGAAATCTGTTCAGGGTAGTTGACACAGCTGCAGCCATTACGGACGAGGAACAGCTATCACCTAGAGACAGACCAAAGTGGTGAAAGCTTTCAACACGGGCAATCGACGAGGAGTAATTTAAGTGTCGGGGAAAACGCTAGTGAAGTTAGCAACATTAGTAAGATCAAGTGTGTGCCAGGAGACATAGCACTAAGTCACTAGACTGCAAAGCCACTAAGTCTCCCGCATGAACCACGAGGTGCATTACGGAGTACGGTCAATCATATTTGCAGCTTGCGTACTTCCATAGTCGACCATTGGAACCAAGTATAGACACCTTGTACTCTACTCCGTACGCAGCATATTTTGCCCTGGGACTTTTGTTATTTGATGGACGTCTTGGAAGGATTCAAACATCATGTCGTTTTTCAGAATTTGAATGTCAGGCACCTTGTTGAACCAGCCCCAGTCACTCTTGAACTTGCCCGCGAAATTCGCTACTGCGTCATTGCAATTTGTATTAGCTGGGCCACTATATCAGTATTTCGTACTTGGATGACCAGCAAAAGAGATTCCTGCTAGGATTATTGCATCACTGTACTATTACTTGTTTGTGTGACACCATCCCCGTCCCCTGAATACATTGCTAACACCATATCTAGTTCTTGTTTTTGCATACCTAGCACGATGTTGACCCTACACGCGACCTGCCTGTCTTTACTCTGGGCCGTCTCGACCCTCGCTCAGAACCTCGATGTCCGAAATCCGATCGAGGATCTGTCCTTCGGCCACAAGTCTACCTTGTCGCCGAATTCCTTCGCCATCCCTGGCTGGTCTATGCTGGGCGAAGGACACGTGCCCCAACTCCTGTCTGATCGAGTCATCCTGACACCTCCTTATGGCGGGAACAAGCGAGGTGCGCTGTGGTCGGAGAACAAACTCTCGCTACAAGACTGGCAAGTCGACCTGAAGTTTAGAGCTGGTGCGACGGATCGAGGTAGTGGGAATTTCCAGCTCTGGTACGCACATGATGGGGATAAACAAGTAAGCACATCGAACATATACTCGGTAGGGACGTGGGAAGGTCTCGCCATTGTTGTCGACACAGTCGGCGGGATACAGAAGATTCGAGGGTTTCTCAATGACGGTTCTACCGACTACAAAAGCCATGGCAACGTCGACTCCCTAGCGTTCGGCCATTGCGACTACACCTACCGCAACCTCGGTCGACCATCACACATCGTCGTGCGGTCCTCAGGTAACGGTCTACAAATTGAAGTTGACGGCCGGTCATGCTTTGCCACTGACAAAGTTTCTCTACCGTCAAACTACAACTTTGGCCTGACAGCCTCGTCCGCCGATCCTCCTGACTCATTCGAAGTGTTCGCTTTCGCAGTGAGCAACGCACCCGCTACCTCTATTCCACAAGCGCAACAACATCAGCACCAACAACAAGAACAGTCTCCACCTCCACCGCCTGCTCAGAACAACCCAGACGCTGGCATGTCGCAGATGGACGACCACCCAGCCTCGTTCTACACAACCTCGGAGGCCCAATTCGCCGACCTTCACAACCGCCTCAACCTCCTTTCCAAGTCCATAACCAATCTCTTCACCGAAATCACGAGGCACACACAAGCGGAAGAAGCTCGTTACCGGGAAATCCTTTCACGTATGCCGACTGAACAGAGTATGAGATCTCTCGAGTCCAAATTCGGCAACCTAGACCGTGTCGTCGGCGAACTGGAGCGCGAGTTGAAGTCCTCGGACCACAAGGCTCAATTTGCAAAGATCTCGGAACAAATCTCTCAGACGCATCTCGGCGTGACGGAACATGTGCCACAACGACTGAGGGAATATGTCCAGGCTCACACCCCACGCATCGGTTTCATTCTATATAGTTTCATGGCGTTCCAAACGTGCTGTATCGGCGCCTGGGCGTGGTACAAGTACCGCAAGAGCACGATGCCAAAGAAATATCTGTAATTGTACTTTCACTAGCTGGACCTTTTTGGGGTTTTTGCATGACGAGAAATGTATCGATATGAGATCATCTTAGCTTATGATTGAATGCCTGTAGACTGTCGTCTCGCGGGCGTTTTACTTGGGAGGCCAATTGTTCTGATGCGTAAATCTATCTGGTCTAGTCTCTCCGATTTCATATTTCTCATTTCAACGCCACGAGTCCGCGTGATGCATCGACCGGCCATCCCCTTCTTGGTCTCAGCCCACACACCACTGCATCCGACAACACATGTGTCCAACTGCTCCTCATAACCTCGGTTTCTGTTTCTTGATTCCATATTTGCTTCTCTCTAGATGACGCATCAACCATCTTTGAAGTTAGATCACGGTGTACACCGGTACGCGAAGCGAGGATACAGAGCACACTCCCTCACGGTCCAACGACCACACATCCAAGCCAAGAATCGCTCGAGACCAAGTCCGTAGCCACCGTGTGGTGACGTGCCGTATCTAAGATTGTCAAAATTAGCCCAAACGTCTCTTTCTGCGACACGTATGTGTATGTGCGTGTGGTGGGGTGATGGGTTTCAAGGTTAGTAGATCAACAAATCAACAAATCAGAACGTACCGTCTTTGATCCGTATACCAATAATACGGGGTAGGGTCGATGCCGACGCGCTTGTAGGCGGCCATGAGTTCTTCGTAGCTGTCTTCGCGCATACTACCACCCACGATCTCGCCGACGCCTGGCATCAGCACGTCGACGCTCTCGGTGACTCGGAGGTCGGCGGGGTCCTTCTTCATGTAAAACGCCTTGATCTCGACGGGGAAGTGGGTGAGGAAGATGGGCACGTTGAGTTCGTCGGTCATTTTCCGCTCGGCGGCCTCGGCGATGTCGTCGCCGAACTTGTGCGGCTCCCCTTCTTCGTTGGGGATGCCGCGCTGGACGAGCCAGTCGATGGCCTCGGCGTACTTCATGCGGCGGAACGGCCGCGACGGCGGGCTGAAGTTGGGGTTCAAGTCGCGCACGTAAGCCGCGATGATCGGGTCGGCCAGCGTGATCTCGATGACCCGGCAGATCAGGTGCTCGAGGTGGTTGAGAAGGTCGTCGAACGTGATGAAGTCCAGCTCGCCCTCGATGTGCATGTACTCCGACAGGTGGCGGCGGGTGAGGGACTTTTCGGCGCGGAACGACGGGCAGATACAGAAAACGTCGCCCAGGGAAGGTATGCAGGTTTCGAGGTAGAGCTGCGACGATTGGGTCAGGTAGGCCGGCTCGCCGTAGTAGTCGAATTCGAAAAGGGTCGCACCGCCCTCGACTTGGGTCTGCACCATGGACGGTGGTGTCACCTCGGTGATGCGGTCTTCTTGGAAGGCCTGGCGGAAGGCGCGGGTCACGGCAGCGCGGACTTTCATGATGGCCGAGGCGTTGTCGCCGCGGAGCACGAGGTGGCGGTTGTCAAGGAGCGTCTGGGCGTCGCCGTCGGCTTGGACCTTGTTGGTGATGGCTTCTTTCTCGCCGACGGCGGCGCCGATCACAGTGAAGAAGTCGGCATGGAGTTCCCGGTTGAGAGGGGCGTGGGCGTTTGGGGGGAGGGCGCGTAGCTCACCGTGGATGGCTAGCGACGTTTCGAGAGTGAGGGTCAAGGCGGCGTACGTGCGGATCAGGTCGCCGGTGAAGACGCACTGCATTTGACCATACCCGTCTTTCAGCGTGACGAACATGACATCCTTCTGCGAGCGGAGATGGTGGACACGGCCTAGCACACGGATGCGAGTGCCCTTGCTGTCAGCGGTGCCGAGCTTGAGTTTGGACTCGTCAGTGTCGTCGAGGCGAATGCGGACTGGTTTGGGAAGGTTGGCATCTTCTTTAATGGTGATCTTCTTGGCCTCTTCGAGGATCTGTTGGCGTTTGACTGCTTCGGCATTGTCACGAATGGCAAGTTCGGCGGCTTTGGCTTGCTTCTTCTTGTGGTTCTCGAAAAGACTTGTTGCCTTCTTCATGGCAGATTTGGTGGGTGCCTTCCATTCAAGTCGTGCATTCTCATCTCCATCCTCACCGACAGCTCCGGTTTTGGATTTTCGAGTCAGGTATGATGCCGTGGTCGGTGGGTGTTTGATCATAGCATGAACGAGAGTCTTGTAGGGTGTGCCCTCGGTGCCAACCGCGGAGTCGTCATCGTGACCAACGTCCTCGTCAATGTAAACTGGAGGAAGCGACATCTTGTGCTTAATGAACCGTGTACAAAGGGTGTATGAGTTGTGGTGGGCTAAAGACTCAAATTCAATGCTGGCACATGTGACTCATTTGACGATGAAACAACCTCGTGTCTGATAATAAGAGACCCTTCCTTTGGCCTCAGGGGGGACTCGGCTGTGACTCTTTCGACAGTCAGCAAACCTGTAACGGTGGATTGTGAGATGTTTGTTGATTTGAAGCTCCCGGACGAGGCTGAACATTCGCTCAATTATCACAGAACTGATAAGGTCGAAAATTAATTGTGTTGCCCAAATGCCGATAATGACCAATGATAGATTACTGCGCTAAAGTTTCCCAACGAGATGTTAGTGACTCGCCAGATGAGAAATCGGTGGTTAAAACGCATCATCACGTGATTTGGCTTGTCAATCGTGCTAGTTTCTTATGTAAAATGGGCTCGACCGCCGCCAAGTCTTCGCGAGACAACCGATGCCTTCGGGGAGGTCCATGGCCCCTGTCTCGACGACATCAAAGGGACCGATGATCTTTTATCCTAATTTGAACATAATTCTGTGACAAGTTCTCTTTCAAAGCAACGATAATAGCCTCTAGTTGGTCGGGAATCATGCATGCTGAAGTTTTGGACCACGATTGAATATTGGCAGAAGACCCATGGCGTTACAAAGTGAGCACCACAGGCCGCGCCGACGTGCCCGTCATGAGAAGTCCATTAATGGATGCTCAACTTGCAAGTATGATACTGCTGCATTTGCGGCTTGGTTGGACATTGACATTGTACAGGATCCGCAGAATTAAATGCGACGAAACAACACCACGATGTCGGCGGTGCACCGAATCTGGCCGCGAATGCTCCGGGCCGTTGACACGCCAGTTTCGCTTCGTTGAAGATCAAGTCGTTGACCGGACGTCATCGCCAGTTTCTCAACTGCAGGTATCTCTGATCTCACCACGACGCAGCGAGCATGAACGTCGTGCATTTCAGTTCTTTGAGCAGGACGCCGCGCTCCACATGATCGGAACCATCGACCAGAATTTTGTGGGTTCGCTGCTCCCACGTCTCGCCCACACCTACGACTTCATATGGGACACGATTGTGTCCTCGAGCTACCTGATAAAGTACGTTCCCTACTTGGCGCTCACCACCTTCGATTCGTCGGGTCTCATGAAGGTTATCAACCGAGAACATCGGCAAGCCCTCAATTACTATCACAGGGCGATCGTGAATGTCCGCAAAATGGCCCAAATTGGTCCCATAGACGACTGTGTCGTCGTGTTGAGTTATATACAATTTGCTGGGGTCGAGTTTCGGCAACGGAACGTCAAGGTCGGCCATTCCCTGTTCAAGAAGGCATGTGGCATCTTGACCCGGAGCCTCACGTCACAGAACCTGCGCCGTTTGTCGCTCGCAGATAGAACGATTTATCAAGTGGTCACGCCGTTTCTCTTTAGAAAGGCCATTGTCATCGCCACGTTGGGAGATGTCCCGACGCCCGAAGTGGCGGCCAACGACGAAATAAGCCAAACCTTATCAACCAAAAGTCCAGAACTACAACGAGCTAGGGTCCAGCTGTACAGTCTGGTGGTCGACTCCTACGAGCTTGTCAGAATAGCAGACTTTATACCGAACCTTGATGACAGCAGTTCGGACAAGATCTACTACATGTCATTCCGGCAGTCAACATTGGACGGAATGCGCGAATGGAAAGCGAACATGGCCACTTCTGGAAGTCCGGCACCTGGTACGGACCTCGACTGGATGATATATTCGTACCTCTTGATGTACTGTACCGTCTGCTACATATCAGTTGCAACCAGCCTCAGCGCCAGCCAAATCGTCTACGACGATTACATGGATGGCTTTGCCGAAATCATCCGACATGCCAAAATCTTTTTAAGATACGGCGTCGAGTCCTCCTCGGGTGCTCGACTCCTGTCCAAATTCGACCCGGGAGTTCTCCCGTTGTTGTACTTTTGTGCGACCAAGTGCCGAGATCCGACTCTGCGACGGGAGGCGTTCCAACTCATGCGCCAGGCCCTAAGACAGGAGCAGAGCCAGAACCATTGGGCCTTTATCGAGCCGGAGCGCGTGGTTGCGAAACTAATTGCGCTCGAAGAAAGCGGCGTAAGTCGCGTCCTCGAGGCTTCTTCGTCTCCACAGACCTCTTTTACCCAGACATCTCAAGTCCAAAAGGGTGTCCTACCACCGGATGAGCGACGGTATGCACATGCCAGCGCAGTGCTTCGTGAGACGCCAGGCGGGAGATCGCGCCTAGCTCTCGATTTGGTCAGGTTTGAAATTACGGACGGCGGGCAGAGGCAGTCAATCACCGAGTATGTCTGGCTGGATGACCACGATGAATGAATTCGTTGTAGATATGCCTGTATAGCTTGTGTCAAGTTGCCAGTGGAACAGAACTGAACATACACTTCATCACAACCCCCACACCAATGTGAAGCGGTATCTTTGACCAAAGCGGCACAGGAGAAGATTTAATTTTCTATCTGATCCCTTATTCTACTTTTTGGTGGTCTCCGGTCAATTTACTCTTCAAGCCGGCAGCTGCACCTGAGATCTTCTTAATCAGTCCCCTAATCTTGGTGTCGCCAACCTCGTCCGCGCCGACGAAACGTCTGACCATCAGATTGTAAATACTTCCAAAAGCAAGAGCCATGACCGTGCTTGTCAAGATGATGACGTTATACGGCATGCTGAAATCAGGGGTCGGCAGCGGCAGAAGTAGACTCGTTGTCCGAATGTACACGTCCTTTGGAGCTCCGGTGGTGTCAACCTCGTTCAAGACTCTTATCACAGCCGGTGCAACATTGAAGCCTCTGTTTGCATCAGGAGGATACTCGGTATATCGAAGTATCGCCTTTTCGAACTCATAGGTAAGCATCACCGTGCTTGCAGGTGGGACGGACATGACAAGCTCGAGTTGGGTTCCTCTTTTCCTGTCAATGGCTGGGCGATAGTACATGTCTGTGATAATTGCGCTTTCTGCTCCAGCGCCCGGGGTGGTGATCTGTGCTTGCAGTGTGTGCATGAAAGGTCGCATGAACCATGGTAAGCTCTCAAAGTAGACAAATTCAACCGACTCTGTTGACGAAGGATTGGTGAATATCGTCCGCATGCCGCCTCGAGCCGCACCATGACCCGTGATCGTCCGTTCGGCGCGAAGCAGCTCGTGACCTAAATCGGGCTTGACATCCACGCTCTGCTGGAGTAGTTCAAGATTGAACGCTTCGTTTGGCGCCAACTCGTAGCATCGAGACTCAAATGGACCAGATCCAGACTTCAGCTCGATAACTCCCGGGGTCGCTTGAACCATGCGTTCATGGGGCACGTTCATGCACACTGAGGGGATTGTTTCTTCTGTCAAAGGACATGATCCGGCCATGACACGTCCAAATACATCACTCAAAGACCAGGCCATCTCATCCGTCATATCCTTCGGGTAGCAGGAATCCTGCGAATGGTACGGTTTGGTTTCATCACAGACGAGTTCTTCAATCGGTATAGGGCGCGGGATTGGGTTATCTCTGGGTCTCTTAGACCGTTCAATGTCGAGAACGACGTCGATAGTTTGGCTGATCTCAATCTGACAATCAGTAGAGCCTGGTGGACATTTTGGTCGGACATCGATGGACATGCTTTGCCACGATGCATCGAAGACTTTGTGTCCATCGAGAAGACTTGAGATTCCGGCCTTTCCTTTGCAGGGTAACAGTTTCAAGAATGGAGTCAGATTCTCCGTACAGACAACCTCACCAGGGAGTACACCATGGAGGAAGTGAGCGCCATTGCTTTGGGTCTTGAACGCCCCTTGCGACTGGAATGACAGTACCGGCCGTGTTGTTCTTGTAGAATCGATGAAGTTTAGAGAGGCGCAGAACAAACCAGACAAAGACTGTGTCAATGTCATCCATTTCTCAAAAGCCTCTTCTTCAGTCTCTGCGTTTATCCAAGCCCACAATTCGACGCCTGTGCCGCCTTCTTTGGTTCCATCCCACGGACGAGAACCCCAGGAATCTGGCTCCCATCTGCCTGTTGTGAACCTCAGATGCAACTCCTCTGTATCCGCATGTCTCAAAGCTTGACCCAACGAGCGAGGTACATATCGGAAGTTCTGCGACTCATAGTCTGTTGCGGTGTCATTGCTGCGGAAATCGAAAGATGCGAGGAGAGATCCAAGGGGAAGGGGTGTCAGGGTCAGTCGTTCATAGTAGTCGGAAGCGGCAGCTCTCAGGGCAAGGAGAACGACATTGAGAAGAACAAAAAGAGAGCGGGACATGCCAGCGTCATTTCATAGCAGTCTGTTTCATAACATAAGTATCGTGTTATGTGTCGACGCTTAAATGTTAAAGGGCGTCCGTCAATGTACTGCGTATTGAGAAGACGACACTTTGTTCTAGAAAGTCGAGCGCGCAGTCTTAAACGACTAAAATGGATTTAGCGTCGACGCACTGAGCGCATCCCGCCTATTCGCTTTCTTCATTTGCGGCCAACAACCACCATCACCATCACCAACACCACCGCATTCTTTTCTCGCTGCCTAGACAAGGTAACATACTTACTTGCACCATTACCGTCGCCACCTAGATTTTCAAGGCTGAGACTCGGACCATCTATTCCTAAAATCATAGACTTACGAACCGACTCCAAACATGGCCGCCGAACAGCGCAAGCTGCTCGAGCAGCTAATGGGTGACCAGTTCATGGGCGCATCCTCCTCAAGAACGGCAAACCTCACCCTGACATCGCCGAACGTATGCCGGTCCTATCTCGTGGGCACATGTCCTCACGACCTGTTTACGAACACGAAGCAAGACCTTGGTGCCTGTCCCAAGACGCATCCAGAAAATTTGAAGATTGAGTATGAAGGGCTGTCAGCCGCGGAGAAGCAGAAATATGGGTTTGAATACGATTACCTACGAGATATGCAAAAGTACATCGACGAATGCAACCGGAGGATCGACCAGGCGCAGAGGAGGCTCGAGAAAACGCCGGATGAGATCAGACAGACGAACAACTTGCTCAAGACGATATCGGACCTGACCAAGACGATCAACACGGGCCTTCTGGAGGTCAGTTGCCTGGCAGAGATGGGGTCGGTGTCGTTGGCTTGCTCGGAATTCTACAAAGTACGGACCGCAAAGGTTGCCAAAGAGCAGGCGGAGAGAGACTTGAAGGCGCTCTCGGATACGAGTGGACCGTCGGGACACCAGAAGCTTCAAGTCTGTGACGTTTGCGGTGCGTACTTGTCAAGACTGGACAACGACCGGCGGCTCGCGGATCACTTTTACGGAAAAATGCATCTTGGTTACGCCCAGATGCGGAGGACGTACGAGCAACTGCAGAAGGAATTGAAGGGACGACCTCCGCCGTCGCGACCGGAGGACAACAATCCTTCCGGCCCGAGAGGCTACGACGACGGGGGTTACGGAGATGGCGGTGGCTGGGGTCGCGGAGGATACGGCGGCCGGGGTGGTGGTGGTTATCGAGGAGGTGGCGGCGGGTATGGACGACGAGGAAGAGGACGGTGGTAGCGCCGCGATCGGGATGCATCAGCATCGAATCCCTCTGGCTCAGCTTTTCATCGAAACGGTTTTATCTCCCGGGCACGCGACGGAAGGTGCTCTGATCTTCAAATCGAATATACCATGACAGGCATGTCGAGGCACTCCAGCGACGCCAACTCCTCTGCTGCTCAACAAGAGCGAACCCTCCGAGTGAGGAACATGTACTTTCGGAAATTTGACATAGCGATGGCGTTCAGATCATGGGGGAATGGACATGGGTGGCGGAGTGGCAATGTGGTCCATTCGTACTTGTTTTGGTTTTACGGAATAGCATGTGGTCAAGGAAGGATACATGCAAAAGTTGATACCCACAGACCTTGGTATACAAGAGAAACCCTTTTCTTTCTTTCCATGCCCACTTACCGTCATCCCACAAAGAATCCAAACGCTTGAACGCTTCAATGGCCCGTGACATACCAAAATGAATCAAACAGAGAAGCCCTGCCCAACATTGCACATTTGACACATCAGAAAGAGAACATTGTTGGCCCATCCTCTACGTCTTCACCGTGTTCTCGATCTTGTCGGCCTCGCTTGACTCGACCTGTTCAGCCCAACTTCCCCCACCGCCGCCGTCGCCCGAAGGTGATAATGTCCCGCTATCCCACCTCGACATCTTCGGTTTGGTCATAGGTGTCCCATCGGATGTTTTGTTTTCAGAGTCTGGTGCGACGGTGGTAGTAGGTAAGGCAGGGAAATCCGCATCAGCAGCCAGATCAGGCGGAGGAGCAGCACCATTCTCCCCTCCTCCCCATCCTCCTCGAGCACCGCCTCCTCTTCCACGACCACCACCAGCACCACGTCCCCCGCGGGCGCGTCCGCGCCCACCACCCCCGCGAGCTCGGTCTCCGTGCCACTCGTACTGTCTCAGGTCGTCCTGCTCGGCTTGGTACTGTTGCTCGGGCGTCATGGTGCCCTGATAACCCCTTCTGCCCGCCGCTCCGCCACGGCCGTTGAACTTGTTGTTGAAGTCGTCTTCGTTCTTGCCGGCGTCCCACTCCCGGCCACCCATGACGGCCATTTTGCGCTGTCGGTTTTTTTCGCGCTCGTTGTCCATGACCTTGCGCTCTATTCGGTCCTTTTCCCGCTTCTGCTGGGCAATGCGCTCTCGTTCTTCGAAATTCGCGGCGTCGGCTTGTGCCCGCGCGTGTGCGGCCGCCAGATTCTGTGACCGTTCCTTCGCGGCGGCGAGTTTGGCGCTTAGTTCTTCCTCGGTGAGTTTGGGCTTGCGCGTGCCCCCTGTGGCTGATCGATCGCCACGCACCGCAGGCGGGCGAGCGTTCGCCGGCGCGGATGGTGCATTCGGGGCCGCGGTCGTGGGCGCAGACTCATCCCCTCCTTCTGTCTGCGCCGGGGGCTCTGGCTCGTGGGCTTCGGTGCCAGAGCCAGAGGCAGGGGCGGAGGTGGTGAGTGTGGTTGTGGTCTCCGTTTGTACCTCGGGAGTCGTCTCGGGATCCCTTCTTCGGGTGGTGGATGTGTCTGCCTGCTTTGCTGGTTTCGGAGCCCATTTGGAGTCTGAGAGCCCGCCTCTAGACTGTTGCCCGCCGCCTCGAGGTGCAGCACCTCGTCCACCTCTTCCTCGTGGCTTGCTGTCTCTAAAGCCCGGGAAATTGTTATTCCCAGGCGCAGGGGCAGGAGCAGCAGCTGGCGCAGTCGAAGGGGCAGAAGTGGACTTTTGATCGACTGCTGGTGGTGGCGGAGGAGGAGTCGGAGTCGGGTCTAGCGAGACTTGATCGAGCTGGACTGCGACTTGTTCTGGTGTAGGGTCGTTCTCGAAGGGGACAATCTCGTCATCGAAGAGGTCGTCATCGCCACGGGATTGAGAGAATTCCTCCATGTTGAGAGCCCAGGATACCTTTAGCAAACAAGGGTATGGATCAAACTAAAACAGGTGAAGGTCCAGCAGAGTCGTTGTACTCGTACAGTACTTTAAGGTATTGGAGTTTGTACGTTGTTTGGGTCCATCACCATTGACTCCGCATTTCTTGGCTGACGATGCTGGACAAGGCTGAACAAGGCTGAACAAGGCTGTGGTCTCCGTATTGTGCGAGTACTAATAATAATGGAAGTGGCGCGGACTTGTTTTATTACAGGAGCCTCAAGTCCGTAATCGTATGAATTTAGACTCCTAATGATAGGTAGTTGGATAAGACGATGGAACGAAAGCACTAGTAAGTTCTGTAAGGAATTAAAACTACTAGTAGTATCGTTACCGTGCGTCGAAGCGCCCTGTGTGGTCTTGCTATACACCTGGATCTAGATTGGGAGAGTACTCTCTGTCACTTCTCTCTACCAGCCATGGCTCGGCATGTGCAAAATTTCGATATGCGCCATCTCGAGTCCAGTCTTGGCCAATTCCTGTGGCTGCTGCAACCTTGCGTGCGGTGTCGGTGACTTCTGGAACCTCTGCTCGATCGCCGTCGGAAATGACGGCCATTTCCTCCAAAGTGTAACCTTGGTCTCGGGACAAAAGAACCACGCGGTCAAAGAGATGATGATCAGCAAAGCGACGAAAACGATGTAGTATTTCCACCCAAAGTTTCCGAGTGCGATGGGGTTGACAAAGATGTTGAAGAACAGCGCCAGCATGGTCGAGACGGAGCAGACGGTCAATCCTCGAGCACGGAGGCGGTAGAGTCAGATCTCGCAAGTGTATGAGATGACTAGAGGAGTGCTAAAGATGAATTTGTTAGCATTCCCGAAATAGTCTTGAGAAAGTAGAGGAATCACCTACAAAGCAATGTCATAGGATCCGTAGTACATAAAGAGGAATGGAATGACAGCGATTCCAGTACCAGGTAGTAGGAAACCACACCCACACCGTTCCACTATGCGAAAAAGCCAAGCGTCACCGAGATGAAGAGGCGGTGACGGTTTCCTGGTGTCTTGACCATGTCCATGTAGCTGGTTGTTTGATGGGCCTCCTTCTCCATTTGAATGGTAGTTTGGATCTCGGCCATTTCAAAATCGACGATGGGAGATATGGCGTCTCCACCGGCATTATGTTGGATCAGTATCTCACGAGCCTCTTCATGGCGGTCCTTTGACACCAAGGATCGTGGCGATTCGGGAATGAAGATGAGACCAATCAGTGTAACGGGGGGAATGGCGGCTTGGGCCAGGATCAAGAAAGCGAAGCCGATATATATTCCCACCTTACGGAATTTCTGGGGATCAACTTGTTACAAAGGTCCTAAGGAGCATCTGACACCGCTTAGCTCCTCTTGGGCACAAGGAAGATCTGGGCTGACGATGAGAAGAGTTTAAAGGCTGAAGCCTGCAGTTTTCCATGATAAACGCACCCGAGAACGGAGAAAGGCTGCTGTGCGGCGGCGAGAATGGTGCAACGTACCTGGTTTCCCTCCCAGTACGATGCGTGTGAGGTAGAGGAGCCACGGATGGAGGAGGAAGAGTTGTGCTCGAGAGCATACGCGCCCTAAGTCTACCAACCCAATGGGAGACTTCTTCTGCCATGGACTACATGGACCTGAATTTATCATGACCAGGAGAGGAGCTGTCTGATTGTATAAAGGCATGCATATCTTGAGTAGTTTTCCCGCGAACGTTGCAGGTATTGAGAGGAATGTAACAGCATCTGAGATGGGATGTCACCAATGCAATTCATTAATGTTAATGATCTCATTCTCTTTGACGTTTGTTTGCAGCTTTGTGGTCACCGTTGAGAGGGTGCGATCTATGCTCCTAACTGCCTAGCAATTCCACAGCATTCTACGGAGTAGATTTGCTTTGAAAATTGATCAATTAATACGTCGATATGTTATTCCATTGAAAGGATCTACTCACCAATCTTAATGACGCCAGTTGTCTGAAGGAGGCTATGTAAGCAATAGAGATATTTGTGTTTAAGTCCTTCTCTTATGGGGTATGTTACTGAGTTCAAAAATCTGTCAAAGTCAGGACATCCCTTTCCGTTTTAAAGTGAAGCTCATCTGTCTTACGATAGTAGTAAGCTATTATTCATAAGGTACGCGAGTAATTTGATAACCTCTTTCGGCGAGATGAATGTGAGCTCTATGACAATGTAGAGAACATCGTCAGTTATCAGCGCATTCTGGGCAATGACGATGTTTCAGTGTTGAAGACCTCAAAATATGTGAAGTGCCTCAGCTCCCTTTTTTTGCAATTTCTTCACATGGATGAGCTCCGTCTGAGGTTCTCTCCGATCCGCCACGTCGACAGGCCCAGCAAGTTTGCAATGGTAATTTTTTCTTTTATCATTCTCATGGCGAAACCTATACTGTCCTGAGGGGGCGGTGTTGACAAATTGCTCCATCTCCACGTGTTGCTGGTCAGTCGACTTTTTCATTCAATATGGGCTCTATTATCTTCTCCAAACACCAAATGCTGCCGGGTTTTGACTGCACCTGCTTCTCCCTCCTTCATGCTTGTACGTCTGTGCCAACAGACAAATTGTGAAGACAGATGAGTGTTTTGAGGCATACTACTCCCTCTTTTCGTTCCCTATGTCGTCCTTCGAGGCGCTTTCTACAGGCAGGGAGTCGCCATTTACTTGGAGGGTCTTTGCCTGCTCGTTTCTCTTGTAGATCTGCCTAGGCGTGTGCGAGGTCAAGAATTGATCATAGTCCTTCAGGAATAGGGACGCGATGATTGCAGTCCCCCCAACGGCCACACCTGAATAGTAGACGAAGGAAAAAGCTTTTGCGTAAGCATCAGACATGCTCTCAGTCAATGCAGTCGATATTGCCGTGGTCATGCCTGGTACTGCAGCAACAGCCGTCGGGCTTTGAGCTTGGATAGCCTGGAAGAGTTGAGGGAGGGATGACTGGGGTAATCCAGCCTGGAGAACTGCAGCCGGCACTCTGGCAGCGATTTCCGACTTGGACTTTGACGTCAGAACGGCAATAAAGACTGCTTGGAAGATTGCGCCCGATACAGTGCGAACAGCCGAAAGAATGGCTAGAAGAAGAAAGAATCGGTCATCAGCTTCCAAAACTCGGAGGTAAGCTGATCAAAGAAGGGATTTGGCCTCACCATATGCCATGCCGAGATCCATATCATCCACATCTAGTTGCACAATGACTGTCAGGCCTGAGTCGAGCAATCCGAGTGGGAAGCCTGCAAGGAAGGCGAACGCAATGGCTTTGGATTTGTCGTGTCTGTCGACGGTGGCCAGGGCAGCCATGAACGCGACAGCCATGATGGCAAGGACGAGAAGTTGTCGACGTATATGCTTGATCACGTTGATGAATGGGAACACCAGTACGATGCCTGCCCAGACACCCCAGCCAACTGCAGTCTATCAGATAGTTAGAACCCAAAATACCAAGTACTAAAACGTTGGTAGGGAGACAGACACTCATCCATGCTGAATCTTGCCACGTCTTTGTCTGTTGAGAGAAGACAGCCACAACCTCTGGTTTATTGTAAGTTCGAGGGAAAACAACAAGTTAATGAGACTGGTCACTCACGTTGAGGCCAAATGAGCTGAAGAGAGAGATATAGAGCTCCCCCAGCCATGGAAATGATGTTCAGGCAAACAAATCCTCGAACGTTCTTGAAGAGCCTCATCTCGACAAACGGGTTCGGACTCGGACAATATGCCTCGTAAAACAGAAACGCCACCACTATGACTCCCCCAGGAATCAGAAGTCCTAGGACTAGCCCCGAAGTCCACGGTCGTGGGTTTCCCCCCCAGGAGACACCGAGTAGGAACAGGGTAAGCCCGACAACAATAAGAACAATGCCACCAAAGTCCACACGCCTCAACTCTTGCATGCGGGTCCTGCGGGCCCCATGAAGTTGCTGGAAGTTCGCAGGATGGTACACAAACAGTTGGATTAGAAATGCCACGCCTGCTTGAGTTTAGCGACTGCTTGGGGTATTCTCAATAGGGCTCAACTAACCTGTGATGATCAAGTAAATGTAGTAGATCCACCTCCAATTCCTTGTCTCGACTAGGGCCCGTCCAACATAAGCGGCCAGACCTGTACAGCAGACGACTGGAACAAGTACAAAAGTCATTCCCACAAATTTGTACTTGTGTGGAATGAGCTCTGTTGACAGTCAGAAACTGATATTCGCGACCTAGGTGAACAATGAATCATTTATCGTACCTCCGGAGAATAGAGTCAATGACGAGTAGACACCACCGGCGAGGCCAATGATGGTCTACAGGAAAAAGTTAGCAACGTATGCCGTGACAATTTCAGACAAAGACTACTCACATTTGCGCCGATCAAGACGTTCATGTTCCTGGCCGTGGCTGCCACTATACCACCCACTATTGAAGCGCCTCCAGCAGTTAGGACAAAGTATCGTCGGCCAAACTTATCAGAGAGTCGACCGGTGAGCATGATCCCGATGGAGCAGCACATGGTCCAGACGATGGCGAACAGACTCGCATTGTCGCTGGGTCCTGTGTGAAGATTTGTCAGTGGTGAGAAGAGATTGAAATAAGACAGAATCTTGGAATCACATACCGATATCCGTATTGATAAAGGTCACGACAGAGGCAGGAACTGCGAAGCCAAAGTACGTCGACACAACAACCAAAGACATGGAGACCATGGTCAAGATGTAGTGGAAACTGAAGAAGTATTCCTTCGGAGCTTCGGCAGCTTGTTGTGCAAGTATCTGCGAGTACATGTGATCGTCTTCTCGCCCTTTGTCAAATTTGACACGTTTTTCATCCTCGATCGATGGATGCTCGTCGTGGCTCGAAGACTGTTCTGGACAGGATTCGATGTCTTTTTGACTGCGGCTTGCAGGTTCCAATGATGTTTTCATCGTGGGGATCGCAGACATGGCTGTTGAATATGAAAAGACACTCATTTGGCTGACCTCAACTGAAGGCAGCGACCAGGCTCTTTAACAACGATATCTCTTCTGTTGAACTACCCTGTCTCGGGTTAGCATAACTGTCATCCTGGGGGATACTTTCGCCCCGTGGAGAAGAGAAATGATTTTCTGGGGGCGAGCTGGGACGATCGAAGTCGTGACCAAGGAAATTGTTATACACATTGCTTTGACTCGGTGAGAGCTCCACGAACTATGGACAGCAATGGATAGAGGTAACCAAATTTGGGCAGACTCTACCAGTAGCTACATGAGGCTATTCATCTCTGGGTTGCAACTACTACTTCCTTTGGACTTCAATCTTGCTGACGACTCATTAAGTCCCAAGGGAAAGTTTGAGATCGACACTCATTTCGAGCTTGCATCTGTAACGAAATTGTGACCACAGCTTGCCTCGGGAGGTGGGTTTAACAGATGCCAGAGCCAAGTGACGAAGAATATACTGATTCATCTATACTCTATACATTACGTCTATCTCTTAGGTGCGTTCTGCATCCGAGATTCGGACAGATAATGACTCTACTTCCATGTTTGGTTGTCCGAGTGTTTTGGAAGTGATTGGTCCAAGTACTGGAGTGCGTTTTGCCACCGTGTACAACTATGCAGGTGCATTATATGGATGAAGATGTGAACTTCCTAGTATCCTAGAAATATCTCCCGACTGTGTCTTATGTACTGATGAAGCAGTCTTGACTCTTACTTACACCTCAAGGGTATCCTCCATTGACCGGAAGAACTTGGCCGGTGATGAACGAAGCGGTGTCTTGTAACAGGAAGACTATAGCTTCTGCAATCTCCTCTGGCCTGCCTTCTCTTTTCAGCGGGACCATGGCCGCAGCATGTGCTTCAAGCTGTTTGCCTCCGTCAGGGGCAACTGCCGCTGCCCTCGCCAGCACGGATCGAGTGAGTGGTGTGTCGATGCCACCGGGCGCAATCAAGTTGACACGTACTCCAAGTGGCGCAAAGTCCTCTGCCCAGGTTCTGGTCAGGCCGAGCACTGCGTGCTTACTTGCACAGTAGGCGGCCAGAGTAGGAAACCCCTTGAGCGTCGCGCTTGAACCGATGTTGACGATGCTCGCTCGTCCCTCCTTGATGGGTGACTGGGGAGTGGTATTCGTTTCGATATGGCGTAGGAATTCGGTTGCACAGTTCCACGTTCCTTGGACATTTACAGCCATTGTTCGTTCAAATGCTTCATCACTCTCGATACGGACGCCACTTGAGCCCACGATACCAGCTGAGTTGACGAGACCATAAATGTCGGGACTGCGGCTGAATATCTTGCTAAATGTATCGCGCACCGATGTCCTTGACGCCACATCGACAGATCCGTAGTAGAACATTGATTTTTTGTTGCCTCCTTCGAGTTGTGGTGGAAGGGACGAAGCACGGTCGACAACGTGGACTGTCGCCCCCGATCTCAATAGCTTCACGGCCGTGGCGAGGCCGATCCCACTTGCTCCGCCTGTGACCACAAAGGACTTTGAGATTGTTGTTGCCGCCATTATGAGGGTCCTTGGAGTTTTCAGAGAGGAGAGGCTTATCCCCTGGATATTGAGTCCAAGCGTCGATGTTTCCAATATCTAAATAGCTAAATGGCGCGCAGAAAGCAAGATATAGGGTCGCTTCCCAGGTATGCCGTCCTGCAAGGATCCTGGATGCTGGCGGAGTCTTCTGTGTGATTGATTTTCCTACTTTGGATCCGGAGAGCCTTGCTGACGGACCAAGATCCTCACATTTCCATGGAATATGTAGTGATGTGGGCACGGTTCCACCAGGCTTTCTACATGATCCTCATTACACATATTTCGTGACAAAACTAGACCTTGCCCCCTGTCTGGGCGTTGAATAGGTACAAAGTTGACAAACCGAGCGACAATTATCTTGGGGACCTCGGGCCGCGATCCTGGAACGAAGGTCACTTGAACCTTCAGTCAAGTGTGCTTAAGAGTACGTGCCTGGCAATCCGGAGAAGACTCCCCCGCTATCTTGTGTACACTTGTATTGTGCATTAGCCTGTTACTAGGAGGCTCGACCATTGTCCAGCATTGTTCTGCTCACTCTGGTTCTTGTGCTAGTAAATTATGTATATGATCTCTTGAGTTACCCAAAAAAGAAAGCAAAGAAAACAAGGAGACCGGATTTTATTCACTCAGCAAAACTCTAGCCTGGCAGGCAACCACACGCTGGGTGGTCACCGGCCAGGCCGAGGGAAATCCCAGGCGGGGGATTTTTTCCGAAGTGTCTTCACGTTATCTCCCAACTAGGACACTCACACATAGAGGCCATGTATGCTAGGAACCGACCAGTGATTTGAGGCACCACTGGCGTCAGGGCAGATGAATACCCAAGATAAAGTGCCTCTTCTCTGGCGAAATATCAGGCTGGTCTTGGACCGGTGGAAGTAGTTTGAAGCCACTACGCCAGGCAAGCCACAGGTAAGATTGAGGAATTGTTGGTATAAAGTTCACTTTTCAAATATATAACCATTGAATCTTGGGCAGAAAACCAATAAGAGTCCTAAATGTTGTGGAGACTTCACTGGCCATTGGTGAATGAATGATACGCGTGCAAAGGGCTGTTCAAACTGTGCAGGTCTTTTCAGATTCAACATCAGATCCCAAAAGCAATGTAAACTGCCGCCTCATAGCGAATGGCAAGATCAACTCCCAGTTCATCACCGTTCGGTAGGAGTTGCATGAAAATGGTTGATGCGATACCACTCGTTCGATCAATCCACTATTTCAATAACAACCCAAATTAGCCCAGACTGGACGTTGGACCAGAAAGATGGCATTGATGACCCAAGATAGGACAAAGACTTACCCAGGTCAAATTTGTCATACCGCCCCATTGCAGCGTCCCTGCTCTCCTGCGGCCAGGAAAACCATCGACGTTGATCAAGCCTGCCAGCCCATGATGTACTGCATACCGTGGCGGTACCAATGGCCCCAGGACTCGTTTGGCCGCTCCGTGAACGATAGACATGAGGTCCTTGTTATTCGGACCTTCTTGTGCTGTGAACATCTCCTCGACCGACTCTGGACTCAGAATGGATCCGCCTCTGTTCAGCAGCGCGGAGAGTAATTTTGCATAGTCGGTTGCCGTGCTCCAGACCCCGTGTCCGGCCATTTCACAAGGAGGTTCTTTTGGTAGTGGTGCCGGTACCGGGCAGAGTTTGCCATTCTCGTCCCGGGCGTAGAGCTGGACAAGGTCATCTTCGTACTTGGAGGGATTAAACGTCGTTTTTGTCATCCCTAGAGGGTCCCATATCCCTTGCTTATAGATGTCTTCTAAAGATCTTCTGTGAAGTCTGGACAGCTTTTCCACCACACAGACGAACACGCCAATGTTAGCATTTCCATCACCTTTCTGGGTCTAAAGAAAAAAGATCGTGGGTGGGGTAGTCGTACCAACACTCCAGCCCAGTCTATCCCTGCTCCATAAGACCAGCCCGTTCCAGGCTCAAAGGCCAGAGGGCACGACTTGATCGATATCTATAAGGACATCACTTGTCTTAGCTGTGGTAATTTGGCATGTGGTTTTCTGAGGCAGGCTACCACTGACCTGATCTGAGTCCAGTATTCCATGCTTGAGTCCGACAGCTTGTGACCATTCAGCAATCGAAGGAGGCGCAACTTCGTAACCGACACCACTCTGATGCGATAGCAATAGCCTAAGAACAGGCCAGTATAATTAGTTATGGTCTTCGTTGAACGTCTCGTCCAGGCCACCAATGAGACATGGCGTGTTCCGAGGCACACTCACCTCAGCGAGATTTTGCTCTTCCTCGGCTTCGTAGTTGGAACCCCATTTGAATCTTTACCACCATCCAAGACTTCCAGTGCTGCCAGATCAGGAAGGATATGAGACACGTCGTCATCCAGCCCTACGAGGCCTCTCTCTACCGCTTGTAGTGCCGCCACAGTGCACATCAACTTGGATTGAGATCCAAGCCAGAAGACGCTGTCCATTTTAAGAGGATCGCCTTCTTCGTGGCCGACGCCGCTGGCATGTTGCCATAGGATATTTCCTGGGGGGCCAAGAATCAGCCTTGGACTCGAATGATCCTCACGTCCAGGAGCATACCATTTTGTCCGACTGCAATGGCCGCGATCGAAGGGGTCACATATTTTGGCGACTTCGGGTCGGTGCTTTCATCGATCAGCTTGGTTAGTGAATCCATGATCCAAGACTGAATTCTTCTATGGCTTTCGGAGGTTTGGGAGTCCGGCGAATGGCTCCAACACTTTTCTCAGAGCCGTCTGATGCTCTCCAACCTCCAGCATTGTGGTGAGTATAATTTGTATTATTTTTCGCCAGGGAAATATCGGATGTACTGTATGTATGCTGGCCGGAAATGTGTGTGGTTGTTTTCTCACTTCATTATTGACTAAGATTCTCCAGCGTCAAACAGAGAGAGAGATACTCCGCAATTCAGGGAGACCGGGGTTCTTGGAGGAATCTGGAGGTAAATACTCCGTAATGGCCCCGGGTTTGTTCTCCACAGGCCCTAAATCCTTGCGACGTTACCCAATCCCCCTGCAGCTTTGGGTAGCTTTGGGCTCTTCGACCGGAGTAACTTCCGGAAGCGCCAAACTCGGATCAATAATGACAAAGGAATTTCTTAGAAATATTAATGATTCGAAAGATTTATGAATTGGCTCCGGAGGTGCACATGATCTTGAGCGGGAAAAGCATTACCGAAATTCGAGATGTGAGAATTACATCTCCACATTCGTCTGGATTCTTCAATATACCAGATAATCATTGTTTATTTTGCGAGAACGCAGCGCATTTCACAGCAAGCGACATTCACATAGAGACGACGCACGTGAAGAGAGATGAAAGCATATCAGTTCGAGTCTGCCCAAGAAGGCCTTCGCTTGAGCGACCTGCCTGTGCCCGAGACTAGTGGCGACGAAGTACTTGTGCGTGTCGAAGCGGCAGGCATTTGTCACTCTGATGCTCATGCACTGAAAGGCGAGGGGTCATGGTTAGGGAAAAGTCCCATCACGCTCGGTCACGAGGCTGCAGGTACAGTTGCAGGAATTGGGCCAGACGTGGCAGATTTTAAAGTCGGCGACCGCGTTGGTGTTGCACTCATCCCCACCGACAGTGGTGACTGGAGCCACATCATCGGCGTGGGCAGAGACGGGAGCTACGCGCAGCAGGTCCTGGTTCCCGCGAGAACTTTGGTCCATCTCCCCGACGAGGTTGATTTTCCCCAGGCGGCCGTGGCCAACGATTCCATCTCAACCGCCTACCACGCCGTCGTCGCCGAAGCCAAGGTAGCGGCGTCCACGACTGTCGGTATCGTAGGCCTTGGTGGTCTCGGGCTCAATGGCGTCCGTATAGCGGCCCTTCAGGGGGCGACGGTATACGGGGTAGACATCGACGAGAAGAAATTCGCCGACGCGACCTCTCTCGGAGCCCACCGTTGTTATAAGAAATTAAATGATATTCCAAGCGAGGTGGTCTTGGATGTGGTGATAGATTTCGCTGGCGTTGGGGTCACGACACAGGACGCGATGATGAGGGTCAAGTCTAGCGGGACCGTCGTCTTGGTCGGGATCGGAGTTCCAAGTTTCGAAATGTCGACGCACGCCCTCATGCTACGGAGTCTTGTCCTGCGTGGGTCTAGGGGTGCGACGAAGGATGAATATCAAGAAGTACTCAAGCTCATTGCGGCGGGTGAGATTGTCCCGAAACTTGAGGAGGTGCCGTTCACCAAGATCCCTGAGAGCCTGGAGAGGCTTGAGCATGGCGACGTTCTCGGAAGGCTGTTTACTCGGCCAAATGCTTAAGACGCTGAGATAAACGCTGGCATATTGAATTCAACACAAGCGTTTGATCCTGGACGGTTTAGAATTCAATCATTTATCCCCTCGCAATGTTTCAGCCCTTCTGCGTGTCGCCATTGCTCTTCAGGCATTGTTTGTCTTGGCGCCGTGTGGCCAGGGAGTCGAGGACATGAACGTGGAAGATATAGATCGATTGGCACAAAGACACATTCTTCAAGACTGACGGGAATTGCTATTCATATAGCTATCTACGAAAGTAGTGGTGCCTTAATGCCCATGGCCAGAACACTTCTATATCTCTCATACTCAAAAACTGATGGGGAGAAAGCTGCGCCAATGTTTGTATGTCAAGAAAATATAGATTCATTCAATATCCCATTCTTCATCCTCGTTGTTTCGGATGTATGGGATTGGTAAATCGTCTCGGCTGTACTTTCCCTCAGTGATTGTAAGGCCGTTCCCAAGGAATTTGAAGATATTCCCAGGATCTTTATACTTGATGTCGTAATGCTCGTACCGCGGATGCTTCAGGAATTTGAGGTGATGGAAAAGACTGCCTGGCCAGATGTACACGCGACCATTTGGTTCATTGTCCTATCTCGGTCAGAAAAGAAGATCGGTGTTTAAGGAGGAATCTCATACTTTGTACCAACTCTTACATTCCTCAGCCCACACGCTGTGCTTGGAGTGCCATGTGTCCATGTACAAGTTCAACTGTGTTGTGACATCTTCCCGCGGTACCATACTTCGGATTTGATCCTCTTGTAACTTGCGACAACATTTCAGGATGTAGTCAACTTGTACCTCGTGGCTGGGCAATGCACATCCCTGGCCCCAGTTCCCTCTAGGCCCGTTGACCACGAAGTAATTGGGGAATCCAGGCGCGGCGATTGAGGCGTAAACGTTCGGTTTGGATTGATCTTGCATGACCTGTCCGTCGAGACCTGTGATCTTGAAATGTGGCAAAAATTGGACATGAAAACCAGTGGCGCAAGCCAGCATTTCCACTTTGTATCTTTCCCCGGTACTGGTCACCACGCCGTCTGGGACAATTTTGCTGATCTCGTCAAAGACACATGTCACATTCTCTGCTCGGAGTGCCTCGAGATACCCCTCACCCGGCGTTAGTCGACGACATCCAGGGCTCCAGTCTGGGATAAGATGTTCCTTCAAGTCTTCGCGGTCGCCTAGTCTTTCGGCCATGGATTCCTGCATGGCCTTTTTAGCCATTATATTGAGATCTGAACCTCGGTAAAACATTTTGAAGCCAGACACGACGGATCGCTCCAGAGCACGCCGATAACGAAGATGATATTCTGGATCGTCTCGAAACCGCAGCTTCTCCTTCTCAGTGTACTTGTGTTTTCCAGCCGCGTGAGGCTCCATCGCTTCAGGGTCGGCCTCCTTGTTGGAGACGTTGCTGCCTAATTGAGGACCGATGTAGGTTTTGTTGCGCATGAAGACTGTGACGTGGTGTCCAGCAGCAGACAACTGAGGTACCATTTGTACCGAACTCGACCCTGTACCGATTATGGCAATGGTCTTGTCTTTGAAATCGAGCGTTGTGTCCCAGTCTGCAGAGTGGGCTAGAATGCCCTTGAAATCATGAAGACCTTCGATCGCTGGCCACTTCCACTTGTTGACCACTCCGGCCCCGTTGACGATTACATTGCATGTGTCGACAAAAGTGCTGCCGTCCTTTCGTTGGATATGTACATTCCAAAGACCATTCTGCTCATCCCATGCCGCCGACATGACTTCGGTGTTTAATTGGACGTACTTGTCCAGGTCGTATTTCTTTGCAAACGCAAGCATATAATTTTGAATTTCATCGCTGTAACTATAGTACCCGCTCCATTCGGGGTTGGGCTCGAATGGAAACGTGTACGTGTGTGCGGGAATGTCACAAGCACAACCCGGATACTGGTTCTCGTACCATGTGCCGCCTATGACTGGGTTCTTTTCGTAGCAGGTCAGCTCGTAATTTGAGAGAGCCTTTTCAGCCTTGTGGGCAAAGAGAAGTCCTGATGCACCAGCCCCGACGTGGATTATTTTCAAAGGTTGAGGACTGCATTGTGGGTAATCTGGAACATCATCAAATGTATACGGTGCATCCTGAAGGAGCGGCATGACTGTCTTGAAGTCGAAGGAGGAACAACAGTGAAGGTTCGAAGCAACTCATTTATCGAAGTGTTCTGATAAGTATTTTGTTCTATGCTGGATCCAAAAACCTCGGCATACGCGTAGACACCACAAATCACGGTCCATCTTGGGGTCCTTGGGACTAGGTCTTGCCGAGGGCAACCACTTATGGGACGCAGCTTGCCAGTAGCAAATGACCAGTGAAAGGCATTGGCTAAAGGGATTCCGATTGCTACCAATGCGAAAGGGACTACTAAGAAATTTCTGACTAGAAATTGTTGACTTGATAATATAATCCCTGTTCCCGAGATTGATGGGTTGGGTGAGCGGGCAACACGATGCCAAAGATTGACTGTCTATGTGGGGCGTATCAGGATGAGCTCTGCGAGTCGGAAAACTTCCACAATGCGTGACGGTAATATTGCTCGTAGTCTTCAGCCCAGCGAAGAGCGATAATTCCTGACTCGATCACTCTCTCACTCTGACTCATAACACCCTTCGGCCCGGGATGATTGTGGGATCCGAGGATGAGGATTCCACCCCGGAGTTTCCAGTCTGGAAACCCCGCATTCCCCCTTTAATCCTAGTAAATCTGGGGCACCAAACAGCTCATAGGCAGTAGCCTTAGTTGAGCGGGTACCGCCCATATTCTGCTCCCTAAGTGCCAGGCATTTGTCAGAATTTCCTTTGTCAACGCAACCACATCCTCTACAAGTGTATTGCCTTCACACTTAGCAAGAGCATTAATCATAATCTATGCATGTCTTGCTAAAGGTGGTCTGCTCTTTAATCCTCTCCAATCTTTAGCCAGAGATGACTCACGGGAATAGCTCGCGGAGCAAGAAGCGTTCTAGTGCGGCTGTCGTTCGAGAAGATGGACAGTCTCAGGACGAAGCGATCAAGAGGTAAGGCCAAGCTCCGAACCTCCTATCCCACTGGTTGGATCTATATCCACTTTTATTCTGGTACTGGTACCAGGCTGACGGTCAACCAGACGACGCAATCGACTGTCGCAGCGCTCCTTCCGAGAGCGACGACTTGCATACATCAACGAGCTTGAGGAAAAGTCACGTCGAGCTTCTCAGACAGAGAGCGAGCGTAACAAAGCCCTCTCCGATGAAAATGTCGAACTCCGCAACTCCTATCTCAAGCTCCGCAAAAAGGTACTCGGCGTCATCTGTACGCTGCAAGAGATCAGCGAAGAGGCCGGTAAACGCTTGAATCTCAATACGAATCAGACCGCAACTGAGTCAGCTGATTTCGAATTCAGCATCAATGAGTCTCAATTCCTTGGTAAGTACATCTTGCTTGGTTCGTTGTTGCCATCTAATGGCGTTGCTCTTTTTTCTCATTTCATTTTCGATAATTTGGCGCTTGTGCTGATCAATGAGTAACCAGATATGCCTGAACAGGATGAAGGCGTATTTTCAAGGCCTTGTGGAGCACAAACAGACACAAACAAACAATCTTCCACGTATTCCAACAACGACATTCAACCTGACTCTGTTGATATCATGTTCACCGAGAGTTCAGATGACTGCAGCGACCCAGCTGCCGTGTGCGGTGGAAAATCAACGGAAATACCAAATAGCACCATCCCTCCTGAGGGCAACGCTTCGGAGTCCTTTTTTGACCATACAAAAGCAACCATCCTTCCTGACACACAGACCGAGGCTGGCTGCTTTGCGACGGGAGACCACATTGATCCCGGAGTTGGAAATGTTTCCGGCCCTCATATCCCACCAAGCGAAGAAACTCATCAGAATGCTGGTCCGAGATGGCAGATGCATACATATTGCTATGGCCCTAACTCCACTCCTGATATTTGGAAGCAAAGTCCACTGATTTGCCAGATTCCACCAGCATCGCAACTTGGCAATCCCTTGCAACGGACAATCACTGGGTCTCTGTTCCTGGAACATGTAGAAATGTTGGAAACCCTCGTGTACCAAAAGTTTTTACAATTGGAGGACCCAAACTCTGATGACAGGTACGTACTGCCATCATTCGCAACCCGAGATTCTAGGCTGACAGGGAATCACAGAGCGTCTGAAGTGATAGGGACAGCTGTTACACTCTTCCACGATTACGCATGGGAAGGCACAGCCAGATTTTGGGGCAGCTCTCAGGCTCGGAGCATTCTCGAAGCTATTCTCGCGTGGCGTTGCATGCCCAACAGTGCCACTTTAGCAAAGCTACCATTAGCCTGGAGACCAACACCATTGCAGCTTTACACGCCTCACTCTTGCATCATCGATTGGTTCCCGCATGCTGGCTTGCGGGACGCCTTGATCTTGAACCACAACAATAGCCCAATTCTCGATGAGCTTTTCTGGGACTGCATGGACTGTTGGGTCGTAACGGTCGAAGATATGTCCACTGTCCTTGCTGATGCTGACCCCGGCAAAGGTTTTATCGGACTTTGGAACGTGAGTAATTTTCCTTCCGACCAATTCATTGCACAAAATCTCGACTTCACGCCCTGTCTCTACTACTATCGATACTTTGTACTGATAAAATGTAGATCATCGAAGCCATGGATAGCTCACGAACTTCAAACAACCCGGATTCTCCACCTGTTTCGCCTTTCTCGCATTGGAGCACTAGCACTGTCCCCGGGGCACCGCCATTTTTCTTCTCTAAAACGGCAGCGGCCCATGGTGATAGCAACAACGGTTCCGACGATCCTCTGCACGGATTAATGGGTAAATCGTGTGAAAAGCAGAGCTCGGGATGGACTCCGATGCCCCTTGATTTCATCCTTGGTCGGAAAGACTTAGCTAGAGATTTATTCTACCACCTAAATGTACGTTCTCGCCGTATCCAAGAGGATGCTCGACACCATTTATTTGATGCCAGCGCTTTACTCACACCATAATAGATGCAAGATACTGTTTCCAACTGGCGATTCGACGCCTATCTCTTTGAAAAGTACCCGGAGCTCAAGTATCCAGGATATGAAAGTCTCGTGGCGAATGGAAAGTCCTTCCGCAGACCAGCACGGAAAGTCGGTCCGACAAAGATGAACAGCAGGATCATCAGCCTCTACCAAAGGGCCATCTTGGGGAACGGTGTTCAGCTGGCGACTTTGATCAATCAGCCTGCAAACAATTTTGGTCGATGAAGTCAATTTTCCAATGGAATTAAGCATAGAAAATCCTGCTCGCGAGAGCCGTGCTCCTTGTAGTGATTATTCCTGGCTTAATCGACAAGATACTGCTATATGAACTATGTGTACTTGCTTGTCAAAATTCTATTTGTGATCAGCTTCACCTGCGTCGAGTTTGTAACTCTCATCCCAGAGTCTGTAAGCATTGATGAACGAAAGGGCAAAAGGTCTCCTCCAAAGGAGGCCATTTGCGAGTTGACTTCCGATGTCTCTTCTCATTTAACCGAAGGAATCATAGGTCCATGGTACTTTGTATATGTTTTAATCTCTGCATGTAGACTTGGCCAATATCTCTAACATCGTGCCACAGCAGTAACATTGGCTGCGTCATCCACTTTCACGCCATTCAACCCATCCACACCATTCTCATGACGCTCATGTCTCGTCTTTCGTAAAGGGTTTTCAACAGGAACCGCAGGCTGGTCCAGGTACACCTCGGTCGTGCCCTTCATCTCGATCTGTCGCTGACTTAGACCATTTCCGAACCACCTCAGAGAGTTGCCTTCTATCTCTTCCTTTAGCTCGTACTCATAATCCTCCCAACGCGGATTTTGAAAGATGAAAGCCCCGTGGATCAGACTACCGGGCCAAATTGCCAGAAGTCGCCCACTCTTGTGTTTCCACCATGCATTACACTTGTCGACAAAAAAAAAGGTCAGCTCATGCATATAGGGGTGTTGTAACGGATATGATATGAGTGCTTGTGGTCCTACCTTTTCACTATAGATTGTCTTTTCGAAGTAGGCATCGACAATCCTAGCCCAATCTCTCATGGCGCGGTTTCTACACCATAAAAGAAACTCACATTAGCTTGCTTTCTTGATACTCCAACTAGGAAACATGTACTTACGTTGGAACCATACTCTTTATGTATTCCCTTTGAATCTTCTGGATGACTCGAATCATATATCGAGCTTGTAACTCGAGAAACGGTACTGTTGAACCCAAACCCGGCCCTCCATTCGGACCCAGGAACACATAATAGTTCGGCATGAGACGAGGGGCCATGGAAAGATATGCTTCGGGCATTTCTTCCCAGAGATCCTGGAGATTGGCATTGTACTGTCCATGGACAGGAAAGTGCTGCTTGTATACACTTGGATGCAAGTTAGCCTTGAGACTCTCCGCAGCTAGCGAGGGGAGGCCCAGTTTCGAGACATACCCATCGAATCCAGTCGCACATATAATGACGTCCACATCACGTCGTATGCCGTCTTCGGTCTCGATGCCATTATTGTATACTCTCTTGATCTTGGTGGGGACAAAATTCACATTGTCTTCTACCAGAGCTTCCAAGTACTACATGGTCGATATTACATCATCAGTCACTCGAACCTGTACAGTGAAGTTTTGGGGACGGAGTCCTTTGGACTTACTCCTGGGCCCGGTGTGATCCTGCGACACCCCACGGGATAGTCGGGAACAAGAGCTTCGAATACCTCGGGTTTCTTCTTGAGTTTCTCTTGCATGTGCGTTCTGCACATGTCCACAAACATTTTGGCGCCCGGGGAACCTTTGTAGAGTGCCTCAACGGGTCGGTTGAGAAGATCCTCGACGTAACGACGATACTTCCTATACTCTTTCGGATCTTTCTGGAATCGTTCAAGATCTTCAGCCGGTGTGATTGCTGAAAAAAGACAATTCAGCAAGTGTCAGCCTGGCAGGCTGAAAATCAGGATTGATGAACAACGACTTACGACTTCCGTTCCGTTCGGCAAGTCCCTCTCCTCCTATTCCTGCAGGTGGAATCCATAGTTTCCCTCTGACATAGTGATCAACTGTTTCTGCCTGACGTCGAATCTGCGGGAGGATTTGAATCCCACTGGAGCCCGCCCCGATCAAGGCCACACGCTTTCCAGATACATCCAAGTCGTTTGGGTAGACAGCGGAATGGACCAGTCTTCCTTTGAACTCGTGCAAGCCCGGGATATCGGGATATTTCCAGGCGTTGAGGATACCGACTGCCGAACAAACAACGTCTGCGGTGTCGAGGGAGGTCTGGAGACGCATTCACACATGGTCAGCATGTTCACGGTTGTTTCAACTGGAACAATTGAGACAGCTCCAGGAGTGCAACGTTACCTCTCCAGTGATGGTGTTTTGCACTTCCACCAGCCAGTGACCAGTCTTTTCATTCCACGACGCCTTTTCCACTCGATGGTTGAATTTCATGTATTCGTAAGCCTTGTATTTCTCGTTGACGCGCTTTAGATACGCTTGAATCTCAGGTCCGCCTGCATAGTAACTGCTCCACTGTGTATTTTCCTCAAACGTAAACTGGTACGTGTGGGAGGGAATGTCGCAGGCCAATCCAGGATACCTGCGGAGTCAGCTTGAAGGCTTTCGATCTGGGATCGGATCTGCTTCGACAGTACCTATTTTCGAACCAAGTCCCACCAATGTCGGCGTTCTTCTCGTAGATGACAAGCTCGAGGTTCTCAATTGATCGAGGGAAAAGTATCCCCGCGGTCATGCCAGACATTCCTGCTCCTATCACGATTACCTTGATAGGTCTCAGGACGTCGATGGCTTTGGTGGCCACGTCCTCGTCGTTTAGCTTCTCCCACACGGCCGGACCAACGTTGGCCATGTCCTTCTTTAGACGAAACATGGTTGATTAGTCCTCGTTTCGGGCTATGATGCTCTTGGTGTGTGTCCGTGTCTACGAAGTCGAGAAGACACGATATTGTGGGTTAGCTGTTGGCTGAAGACCCTTTGTCCTTGTACATTGTGGTAAAATCTTCCATTATCAAGCCAAGTATTGAGGATCCGATGCCGGGCATTGTTGAGCCGGCGAATCGACTTCTGTTCGATAAGCCAGTGATTAGCATTGCATTTGTGACAATGGCTGTGGGGTATACGGTGATCGACCCACACAACCCCCGGCTTCCCCCAGGAACCGACCATAAGGAAAATGTTAGTCAATTCAAGAAATCCGAATAAAACTGGAGCCTCGTGACGAAGCTACGAAGGTCCGCAATACGTGAATATCAATCGCACCTTTTGTGGACGAAATGACTTTGGCTACTATTTGTCCAATATCTACACCTTCGGGTAGCATTGTCGGCTCTGTTTAAGCATAACGACCTTGAAATCCTGAACTGTTTCCTCGTCACGCCACTCATCAAACTACTGTTCGCAAGGGGATGCCCTGATGTCTATTACCTCAAGAGTTCCTATGGCTGTATCTAGTATCTCGCCATCATGGGTGTTGGTAGCGCTGTGTGGTGTGTTATGTGTTGCACTGGTGAAGTTACTCAGAATCGGGAGTAGACCCAAAGACTACCCGCCAGGTTAGCACTTCTCGTTGCACAAGCCAATACCGGGAAAGAATATTGAATCCTCAACAGGTCCTCCGACACTACCTATCATTGGCAACCTTCATCAGTTCCCTCGGAAAGGGCTCCATAATAAATTTCAGGAATGGACAGAGCAGTGTACGAAACCTTTACCATTATATCGTGCAGAGCACATCAACTGATCGAATTTTAGATGGCCCGCTTGTCTCAGTGAAGATGGGAACCTCGACCATGATTCTGTGTGGTACAGATGAAGTCGTCAGAGATCTGATGGAGAAGAGGAGTGCTTCAACCTCTAGAAAAGTCGACATGTTCATACGTACTTTTGGCAACAACCTCAACATTGCCTTTCGAGAGTGAGTTCGATCAATTTTTCTGGTGTCGATAAAATCTCAAGAAAAAGGGATACCAAAAATCTAACACGAATGTTCTACTACCTTAGTAACGACGAAATCTGGAGGAAGCAACGAAAGATGTATTCTACGCGCCTCAACGCCAGAGGGTCAAACAATTATATCCCGTACCAGGTAGGTTGGCCCAAGAGTGAGGGTCGTGGCCGACTTTCAAGCATGGCTTTGAAAACCAGGGAATTCGACTGACTGTTTATATTTCCTTCAGGAATTTGAAAGTGTGGAGCTATTATCGAAGATGCTGGATCATCCAGCTGAATTTCGAGTTCATATTATGCGTTTCGCGACGAGCATTGCGTCTTCTATCGCATATGGGCTCAGGTTCCCTTCGGCCGACGATCCAGACATCAAGAACCTGATCGAGGTGAGCAAAGTGACCCCTTTATCTATGATTCCATAATCTAGGACGAATTCTAACCAGAGCATTATTCAGTGGTTTGATAGGACAACTGCACTGGGGGGTAAGTTACAAATTGCGGACTGGTTTCCAATATTCAGACCTCTTTTCCGCATGATCCCCAAATCCATCAACCCGATAAAGCAAGAGGTCGAAGAGTTGGAAGAGCTAGAGACCAAACTCTGGATCCGGCACACAACGGCTGCTAGGGCGCTGATAGACGCTGGGAAACAGCATGCCAGTGAGCGCGACCCTCTGCATTAACACCTCCCTCGAATTTGCTGACATTTCTCAGGTTTTGTTCGCGATCTGCAAGCAAAGACGGAAAGTGAAAAAGATCGATTAACGGAAAAAGAAATTCTGTTCAGTGCTGGCCATGCATATGCCGCAGCAACGTACGTGTTCAGGTTGTTTTGTCTGAATGGCCTAGCAAAACTGACATTGAGACCTATTTAGAGATACACAAGCAAACACATTGTCAGCGTTTGTCAAGGTATGTGGCTTTTGCCTTGTATTATGACGGGCTAGCCATGACTGACATCCCAAGGCGATGGCTATGTACCCTCACGTCCAAAAGGAAGCACAGAAAGAGATTGACGCTGTCATTGGCTCGAAACGAATGCCAACCTGGTCAGATAGACCAAATCTACCTTATGTCCGTGCCGTCGTAGAGGAGACATTGAGATGTACGTCTACCGCATGCGCAAAGGATGGTTGTCTGATCGATGCAAGCTAACAGTTTGTTTCGTGACAGGGTTACCGGTGACATTGATAGGCCCGCCTATGCCACATGCTCTTTCGAGAAACGAGACTTATATGGGTTACACGCTGCCCAAAGGGGCAGCCATTATCAATTGCGTATGTCACCCTTACCAGCTTTTTGCTTTGACTATACGTCACAGGGCTAAAAGTATGGCTGCGACGATGTAGATTTGGACCATCAACAACTCTCCTGAGAGATGCCCGGATCCCCGGGACTTCGACCCCAGTCGCCATCGTGCAGAGGATACGCTACAAGAAGGCTTCGGAATCAACCCGGACACGCTCAAGAGGCCACACACGACTTTCGGAGTAGGGAGGCGTGTCTGTCCAGGATACAACGTCGCAATGCGGACACTTTTCATGGGCATGTCACGGATTCTGTGGGCATTCAACATCAGCCACAAGCTGGACGCCGCAGGGAACTCCATTCCTATTGATAGAGATGCGATAGTAGACGCTTTGGTCACCGGCCCGCAGCCATTCGAGTAAGCATTCCCTCACCCTCTCAGTCCCGTCCTGGGAAGATTTATTGACCCGACGATTCTAGGTGTGAGATCGAGCCTCGGAGTGCAGAACACGAGAAGCTGATTCGAAGTGAATGGGCAAAGGCAGAGCGTGAACTGGATAGCGAGGGACATTACGGTGACGAGTTCTTCAGCCGCTTTGACAGACTTAGAGCGGATGAGGGTGAGAAAGAGTGAAGAAGACCCGTGGAAAGGTCTCTGTCAATGGCTGCGCAGGATCATCACAAATGAAGAGAATCCCCGTAATGAATCGTTTCATCTTTGTATGCTTGGAAATAGCTTGCTCCCATACTACTGGCCATTTTCTACAATACCCAGGCTGCGAAACCGATCATGACTGCGGCGAAGGAGGAAGCAACGAGATCCTTGTTCTATGTTGGTTAGCACTCATCGTCAATACCATAGATATTCCCTAACCGACATACCTTGATCATGACTCCATTGTTCGAGGTACCACTGGCCGTCTGAGTTGGCGTCGAGCTTAGGCCACCGGTCCCATCTGAAGTGGATGTTGCTGTCGCGTCGGCCGAAGCAGGAGTTGACTGGGCAGCTTTGCCGGCAAATTGATCGAAACAGGCAGAAGAGGTCGTCTGTCCACAGCAGGACTCAATTCGTGATTGGTCCAAGCCGGTACAAAAGTCGCAAACACCATCCACGGCTATTTGCTCCAGTTGCGTGGAGAGTTGAGGAGTGAGGCTGGTCAACGCCGGTAATACGTGGAGGTAATTCGTGCATATGCTGAAGGAAGTGGCAAGGTCTCCTGAACTTGGACCAGATGCGGTGGTGGCCCCAATGAACTGTGAGAAGACCGAGGAGTCTGCCTTGACGTGGACGAGAGATACCAAAGTGGCCATATAGGTGAAAGATGCTGAGTGGAATCGCATGATTGCCAAATAGTAGTTGTTGAGATGTTTCGAAGATTGAAATGTTATTCTACAAACAAGCGTGGTGGCCTCTGTCCAACTTGCAATTGAAGCACAAGAAAAATTGTGGTAGCTGTTTGCGAAGCAGCGGCCATATCTCACCTCTTTACATGCCTGGGACACCGTTCCGGCTGCATTGTCAGGGGCTTCTTCGTATTGCCTGCATCGACTTTGGCACCCCTGCGAGAGATACTCCCCGTGTCTTATCGATAGACGAAAAAGAAATTAGATCGCGTTGAAATGTTGCAGATGTAAAGGAGTCGTTCTGATTCTTTTGTTTTTCTCTGGCTGTTAAGCGTAAAAGGGGGAGTTATGAAACCGCCACAACAACGCCTCAAAAACATGGCGTCGATTATCATTGATGGTGGAAGTCGCACAACCAAAAGAATTCGCCAAACACCCTTGACGATTCTACCGGAACAGAGATATTTAATTTGCAATGCGCGAAGCCCAGGTCGCCGAACAGCTTTGCTTTTTCAGGAGGAGCTGCACAGGGTGATTGAAGATCGTGATCAGGGTAGACCATGTCCAACTTCGCTTTCGGCCAGGGACGATTTCTCAAATCGCAGGAAGCTGGCCCTGGCTTTCGAGAATGGATCTTGAACTCTGTCACAGGACGAGCTTAAAGAGTTATTCCGGTATATCTTCACTTTGCGTCCCGGAACGGTCGGCGCTCTGGAGTGCGACGACGTGCCCGACACCGAATGTTATCTGAAAGAGCACCTAGTATACCTTCTGTAGATCCGAGACATGTGAATTAATTGTAATTGCAAGTCACGCCAAAACTGACGACCTTCTCACGCATGGGTCTCTATTCGTCGCATCAAATGTGATGAAGTTTGTAATTGCGGCGGTGGAGCCTCATCCCTCTCGCCGTACCATCGCCATCGAGCGAGGCATGTACACCTGTCGTAGCAGGGTCAGTCATGGACAAAATATTTCTCACAAGTTATTACTATCGTTGACTTTCCTGAGGACGTGAGGTTGTGCCCAAACTTGGGGCGGATGATCCTCTGGTCTTCCCTCAGTCCTCTGTACTTGTAGCCACGAGATGCCCCGGACTAAGAGGCTGCTACGGAGTACACCCGCTGGAAATAAGTCATGATACCAACTACCTAGCTACCTAGGCATGTATCACGTTGACGGTCTGCTGAAAAGAATATCAACATGTCATAATGTATTCATTCAGTCCTGGGTTGACTTGCACTGCTTAAATACCCTTCTGTGTCAGATTTCACTTGATACGTATTTGGTTTGGCCGTGATAAAGTTTTAAACACCCCACGATCCCTTGAAGCTATTAAGCAGTTCCAGCACCTATCAATCATGCTCAGAGTCGGTGGAGCACATTCCCTAGAAGCCTCGGTACTCCAGGTGGCCAGCTTCTATGTATTGCAAAGCCTTGTGACCCTGCGGGGTTGCCTGCTTGGCTACTGCAGGCATGAGCCCACAAGCCCACGAGCCTATAACCTCCGATTTCTGGTTTCTGGCTTCTCGAAAGCCTGTCCTTTGTCCTCGACAATCCTTCAACCCCTGACCACGCTGTGCCGTCTCTTCTCACTCTCATCCTGGCTATCACTTGACTCTTGACATACCACGATGTTCAACACTTTTGCTGTCTCAAAATCTACTTACTCTTCAGGGCCCCTGGTACGCGCGTGCGACCGATGTCGCGGATTCAAAGTCAAGGTAGGGACTCAACTGCTTCCTTCGTCTGCGTCAATCACGATGGTTTGCCATACTGATGTAGAAATAGTGCCGGTCCACAGCTAGTGACAATGGGTCGACGGGAATTTGTGACCAGTGTCGTCGCTCAGGCTCGAAGTGCACTTTCAATGAGAGACGCGTCGCTCGAGGCCGTCGTCGTTCAACGCAGTTCGTGGAACCGTTCTGATTTGCACGTCTTGATGCGATGGTGCTGACCAATGCACTGATCTAGCCCTTCGAAGACGCCTCTGGAATCGTACCAAGGAGCAATGATCAGTCTTGCAACGTCCCCAGACCACACGACAAAAGATACTCTAGAAGGCCGTTATGAGGCGCCGAAGTCATCATCGAAACAAGACAAGCCTAGTCAAGTCAATGAATCTTCCCTTTGGCCTGCTTCCTCGTTCGGTGAGATGTTCATTTCGCCAGCCGAAACAACAGAATTGTTTTGGCCTACTGCAATGGAGAATGAACTGGCTCTCCCAACAAATACTGAAACTCTACCGGAAAGTGGTGACCCTAACGACACGACCGGCTTGCTGGAGGAGCACAAAATCTCAAACATTCAGCAAGGATCATTTTGGGAGGATCTTGCTAGATTGCGCTATGAAGGTGCCCAGCATGATTCGGTGGTAGACCATGAACCCTGGACGATCCTAGAGCAGTTCTTTCAAACTGGACATCTGATCTTCCCGATCTTGTACTATCATGATTTGCACGCCCGGTTGACACTGGAACCAGATTGGCAAGCGGTGCCGTCTCTCCGCACTTTGGTCCTAGCCATGCAGCTGATGTTGGCCGCTGGTCAATATCGAATGAAGATCGGTCCAGCCAGTGCAGTCTCCGAACTGGCTCGTCGCGTAGAAATGTCTCGCCTCGACTACGACTTTGCTGAGACTCCCTCCCTTGACGAAGTGGCCATTTCCCTCTTCCTCTTTACCGCCTACAACGTTCTCGAAAAGCACGGGCGTGCTTTTTTGTATTTGGACGAATGCCTTTCTCTCATGGAAGCCGTTGGACCGGTGAGTGAATGGGACGAGCCTAGGAGAATTCGAATGGAGCACGTTTTGTACAACACCGAGGCAGCTTCTCTTGCCATTTACGCTGGTAACAAACGAAAACGAAAAGCGCGCGTGCCAAGTCTCAAGTTGGACGATGCTGGAATCGCTGCCTTTGCGGGGCTCGAACATGACCAGGACGTCGATCAAATGGCAATCAAATTGTTAAGACGTCTGACCGAAATCCATCTCTCCGAGCACAGAGGGCCACTCCAGAGCGTCGAATCCGCCTCACAAGCCGACGCAGACTTGTTGTACGAGGCAGCCTGCCAGAGAAATCCCTTTTACAGAATTCAAGCTGCCGATGTGGCAATTTCTCGCCAATGGCAATTGTCTCGACGACTTCTAGACGACCAGCGCTCAACGCGGTCCTCATCATTGAGGAGGCTCGATAAAGCCGCCATTCAAACCCTGGGCACGGCAGCTATGGCTGGAATATGTCTCCTACAGGAGGGCGAGGTTCGTATTGTGGGCTTGGGCAAGTTAGCAGGCTTGGTTCAGAACATGTTTGCACTAAGTGGAACTCGTCAATGCGATTACTCTGTGGCTGGGATCGTGGGGGCCATTGTCCGGGAGGATCACGAGCGGAATTTTGCTTTTGCCGTCGAGGATGTCCTTGGAACGATGCTAGCTACCATTCCTGCATCACTAGGGAACCCGACTAAGCCCTATACGACCGAAAAGCAAATTCGAACCATCATGATCGACGATGGTTGCATACACAAACCCGCTGTTCCTTCAGGATATTCATTCTGCCGTGCAAACAGAAACGAGGACATTGAGTCATGCGGAGATGTGGTTGATATGGGTCTACCAATGAGCATGTCCTGAAACCCCTAAAAGTTAGAAGATATACTGCTAGATACATGTTCAGACAGAGTCTCTTTCGAAGGCAGACGCAAAAAAAGATACCTGACGTTCCAGCCACCCGGTGACGACCTTTGCACGAGTTGGGAACGTGAATCCGTGGGGAACTCCAGGTAATAGATCCTCGACAACGTCAATTCCAAACGATCGAAGGTGCGATGTATACGCCAACCCTTGGTCTCTCAGAAAATCACAGGCAGCAACGGTTATATGAGTCTTCGGATGATTGCTACCCGGGGTCGCCAGCAGGGGTGAAAGCAATGGATCGCAAGGATCAGTCAGTCCGCCTGAGTAGTATCCTATGAGGCAAAATGTCAGTGTCTCGGAAGTTGACACAGGACAATTATGTCCCAAACTTACTATATAATTTGTCAAACTCTTTGACAACTGCGGCAGGGATGTTTGCAGATTCGGCAAAAGCCAACTCGTTTTGGCTTCGGGGAACTGTGCGCTTCTCCTGAAACTGTACTTGTGCCTTTATGCATGCTACCGCGGGAACGATCAAACTCAGCGCCTGCAGGCGGACGGTTGGGCCGGAAGACAAGGACTGAGATAGCCGGATCGCACTGGCAGCAGCAAGGTTGCCTCCAGCTGAACCTCCCCAAAGCCCAAGTCGATCTGGATCGATGTTGAAGTTACCAACATCCGTCGCCATCTATATAAGCCCCGATTGTGTCAGCGGGAGAAGCGGAGTTGTGTCATGAAATTGCACTGAAGAGAACAACCTACCCATTTCAACGCGTCACAGCAATCATTCAATGGCTTGGGATAGGGATTCTCAGGGGCCAGTCGATAGTCAACACCAACCACGATGGCTCGCAGCTCTGATGCCATGACAATGGCAAACACTGGAGAACATGATAAGCACCCCTATGGAGAGCAAAGTTTAGTGTAAGTTTGGGGCAGTCGACTCACTGTCATCGCATTGAGGCATGCCATGGATCCAACCACCTCCGTGCAAGAAGGCGACTGCAGGCATCGATTTTGAGGCGCATGATTCTCGCTCTGTGCTCGTGTCGCGAGGGACATATAATCTCAAGTCAAAGTGGTCTCCAGAGCCGTCTGAGCAGGGGAGCGAGACTGTCTGGATGTCTACAGGTACCTCCGGCCGACGTCGCTTGATGTCAATTGGGGAGCGGAATTCGACCAGCGCAGGAGCAAGAAGTACGTTCTTGATCCAATCGCGCATTGTGTCCACATCAGTCTCCGCTGGAGCGGATATAAGCTCTTTGGGCAATTTTAGAGCTTCCTAATACACCAAATTTGTCAGCTCATCTGCAGACCAGCCCTACAGGCTTAACAATCATCAGATTGGTTCTCACCTCGAGAAAATTGAGATCTGGCTTTTCGAGTTCATTTGTGGCATCAAAATTCATCATGAACAGTCCGGCCACCGTGCGTAAAGCGTCCTCGTTGGCGACACCATTATCGGCACTCTCTCCAAGCACTCTGTTATCGCGCTGTATCTCGGTTGGTGGCTGAGAAACAGAAACTTGGGCCATTGTGATCAACCAAAAGATCAGTCAATACGTTGAATGTATCGACTTCTCCCCAACTTTGGCAGCCTGTCTTTATATAGTGTCAGCACCCGGAACCTCGGGCAGTGGGCGTGCCGGTGCTGTCCCTCGATGGTCGAAGAGTTGACAGTATGCGACATCGGCCTCAAGGCAGATGCAAACATGATCCCAACGCAGATGAGAAGAAGATCAGCCTGCACGAATGGAGGCATGTTCTGAACACGGTAATTCCCCATGCGGTTAAATCGCCCATTCCAGACCCGAGGCTATTCGGACGGGTTGAATACCAACAGCCCCAGATTCGTGGAGAGTCCCCACAAACCTGTGGTACCCGCTTTCTACTCGTACACTGAACGCAGACGGCTCGCACTTGATTTGGCATCAAAGTTTGCACAGTGCTAGTGAAGAAGAACTCATCTGTCCAAAGAGAAGATGACCCGCCCATCCCCTCAAGCGGATATCCCCAATGGGAAGTGACATTCACGGAAATCATTGAATTGTCAGGGTATAAGATCAGAACAAAGCCCCTACCACCACACAAGCGATCCCTGGAACAAGACTGATTAATCTCACTAATTCTTCGACCGTCTGTTTCTGGATCTGCAACATCCTCATCAACATGGCTTCCGAAGAGGTGGAAAATGTCACCCAACATGATGCTGTAGAAGGCGGTCCTGCAGACTTACACGACATGGTTCACCACCCGAAAGGCTGGATGAACTGGCGCGTTGTGATGAATAGTGAGTTTGCACAGAGCCTCTAGGCTGCGCTGCGTCTGCTTTGACCAAGATATAGAATTGACAATTTTGCAGTGATTATTGTCGGCCTCGGCCTCTGTCTCTGGGGATTTGATAACAGCAGCACCGGTCCTATCCTGGCTCTACCGTTATTTGTTCTCAAGTTTCAAGGTTACGGGCCTGCCTTCACTGTGAGTATTTAGTATCACCGTGCAGATCGTCTGTCATCGGAAGTCAGCACTACTTACGGTTCACGCACTTACTGACTGTTTCACCCAGGCCAAGAATCTGGATCTGCTCGTCCCTGTCCCAATTGTGGGTGCTGCTTTGGGGACAGTCGCCTCAGCACCACTCATGAACAAGCTGGGGAGAAAGCGGGCAATGGTACTGGCATATTTCCTCGGAGCTGCCCCGGGCTCGTTCCTCTCCATGTTCGCGCCAAACATGGCAGCTCAGATTGTAGGCCGATTCTGGACCAGTGAGTAATCAATCGAGCGGAGAAGCGAACATGAAAGCAGAATCTAACATTGTCATCCCAGATCTCGGGGTGAGCGTCCTCACCACGGCCGCTCCTTTGTACTTAACTGAGCTGGCTCCCGCACATTTCCGAGCACGAGCAGTTGGGTTTTGCGTTGCTGGAGTAGCTGCAGTAGGAGTCATCTCGACCACGATCATCTGGAAGACGGCAACCATTGCCGATAATCTCCAATGGAAGATCCCGATCGCTTTACAAGCCGCCATTCCCGTCGCGCTAGGTTTTCTCACCCTTCTGTGTACAGAATCGCCGTTGTGGTATTTGCAGCATGACCAGCTTGAACGGGCCAAGTCAGCCCTCTTGTCCATACGAAACGCAAACGTGGAGGTTGTTGAGGTAGAACTGGCCACGATGCAGGCCGCAGCCCTGGCCGAGGCAGAGCGAGCGCGACAAGCCGACGTCCATTTCTGGGACATCCTGAAGCCCAGGCATATTCAGCGCACTCTATCTGCCGGAGCACTCCTTTGCTTGGGTCAGGTCTGTGGTCAGATACTCATCATGACCTATTCGACTGTTATCCTGGTTCAGAGCGGAGTGGCTGATCCTTTCAAGATCACCATCCTCATTACGTGCCTACAGTTCTTAGGCACCATCATCGGACCAGTGCTAGTTGACAAAGTCGGGCGACGACCGGTGGCACTGGTCGGCTTCAGCATTCTTTTCATCCTGAACATGGCTGCCGGCGGTCTCGCCGCTAGTGGGCTCACCACCAAGACTCAGCAACTCGGCCTCGCCGCCGTCTTTATCATCTTTGGTTTCTTCAATTCCGCGTGCGGCCAGACACTGTGAGTATCCATATCTGAACTAATGAGATGATCAAAGTAGGTTAACAATTGTTGTGCAGGTCATTTATCCTCCCGACTGAGATATCGACCCCGTCGCTGCGAGAGCCCACCATGGCTTGGGCGGTGTTTTGGTCCTACACCACCGCCATCATCACCACCTTTGCAGTGCCACAGATCACGGCCGCCGACGCCGGCAATCTGGGCGCAAAGGCCGCTTTCGTGTTTGGAGGCTGTGTCTTCATCACTGTGACCTGGGCGTACTTCTTCGTCCCCGAGACAAGGGCCCGGACCGCCGCCGAGATCGACGAGATGTACGACATCGGTTTGCCCATGAGACACTGGAGGAACCACAAGTGTCAGACAGGGAGCTACATGTTGAACACTGGCATTGGAGGCAAGGATGTCGAGGTCAAGGAACCTTGAATGGCTTGCCCAGGCCTGGGAGGGTGGGAAGTCTGCTACAGTTCAGCCAGTACCTAATCCTAGATTACTCAGATGACTCCCTGGGACGGAGATAACACGACATGTGCTCTTGGCTCCGATAGTCGCTGCTCAATTTTCATCAGAGCATAGAAAGTCGAGACTGTAGTCACAGGCTGAATCATAAAGCGACAATTTGGTGACAGAAGGAATTATTCCAACTCCTTCGAGTCTCGAGAAAAGATACTAGCGCCGATGCTGGAAAGCCAAGTGTGAGGTTATTTCATCGATTCTTGACAAAGGTACAGTCATAAGAAGCGCACGGGATTCGGTCCGATGTGTGCCCCTCTCTACCTCAACGGAGCGAAATCCTTACTTGGTTCTTGTCACGAAAAGCGAAAGGACTGAGAAGACAACAACATCTCAGACTTCTAAAGTACTCCATACTGGCGGTCCTTAGTCACCCCCTTGTGACGCTCGGCCCCTAGACGCGGATCGTTCTTGGCCTGCCGCGGCCCGAAGCTCTCCTTAGGGCCACCTACGGAGGACGTCGCTGGCTTAAGCCTCCTCAGGCTGAGCAATCTGACTTGAATTCTCTTGTTCTTTCTCCATTTACACACAAATAGGTCGTTTGCCTTAATTTATATTCGTCCATTGGGTCAGTGGGGGATGTGCAGCTGATCAGGCTGGGACTTTCATGTAGTCATCTGAGCCACATTGCCGTGGGCGCCTGGCTCCTTTTGGTCAGGGGTGTCGTTCTGGGTGGGACGCCTGACGATCATTGCCTCGCAGCCTGATCTGAAGAGACCAACATTCGACCTCCTCACTTAAACATCCTCAGGCTCAACTCATGAGTCGACCTTTAGATCTCGAAGATGATCCATATATCGACGGGATGCCACACAAACGAATAATTGTCTGTTGTGATGGTACTTGGAACAACAGCGACGGTGCAGATCAAGTGCCGACTAATGTCGCAAAACTAGCACGATGCATACATCCGGAAGCTGAGGTGACACACAATGGCGAGAAGATCGAGATCAAACAAGTCGTCTACTATCAACATGGCATTGGTTCGGTAGCTGGGTGGCTTTTTGGGAGCCTCGAGAACGCAATCGAAGGTGCTACAGGCAGAGGTACGACCACAATCTCCCCGAGCTCATATGTGGTAACATTATTAAGCTGGACTATTTAGGCATTCGCGAGAATATCATGCAAGCATATCAATTCATTTGTCTAAACTATCAACATGGAGACGGAATATTTCTGTTTGGGTTCTCTCGGGGTGCTTTTACAGCTCGAAGCATCGCCCATCTCATATGGATGATGGGTCTACTGACACACAAGGGATTGATACATCTCGGCTCCGTTTTCGAGCAATGGGAAAAGCAGAACGAAAAGGAGAAGTCCCACGGCTCTCTTGAGAACGATAAAGAAGTCAACGACTATTTCAGAGATCTATTGCACAAAGAGTGGACGCGGCCACAGATTCCCATCAAAGTCTGCGGAGTCTGGGATACTGTGGGATCTTTGGGTCTCCCGAGGCCATTCTTCCTTCCGCAACCAGTGGGCAAGAAGTTGGCATTCGTCAACACCAAAGTCCTTCCCAATGTCGAATATGCCTACCAGGCTCTTGCCTTAGACGAGCGTCGAAGACAATTCAAGCCCACGCTATGGGAGAAACCTGATGGCCAAGTGAACCCTCGTGTTCTCAAGCAATGTTGGTTTCCAGGCAGCCATTCAGACGTCGGAGGCGGTCTCAAGGACGACGCTGCAGCTCGAGTCCCTCTGGCCTGGATGCTGAGCCAGCTGGATGGACTTCTCAATTTCGATCCACTTGCCGTTGGGCAATTCATGAGAGGGAGAGGTGCGTCGCCGAGTTTTGTTGGCCGCATCCACAACTCGATGCGAGGGATTTTCGTGCTCGGCGGCGAATATACTAGGATTCCCGGCACCTTCACGTCCACCAATCCGGTCACACGAGAACCAACGGCAAAGCGTCTGCAAAACACGTTCGAATCAATTCACTGGACCGCTCGAGAACGAATGACCAAGAACATTGACGACTACAGCAAGGCTGGTCTCGTCGATTTCACCATGAAAGCTGTGGTGACGGAGCCAAACAGTCCGGTTGTTCATGACGCTGAAGACACGAAACACCTGCCGTTACCTCAAGGACCTGGAAGACAAGTGGCCGTCCAGTGGGTGAGTTGGAAACACCGTGTCTCGGTAATGGAAGATGAGATGCGGAGTTTCGAACAGAAAATCCTGCAACTCTGGGACATGCAAGAGCTTTACGCAATGACCGTGAAGCGAGGCAGCCGTGAGAAGGTTAATGGGAGAGACCAGGCATCGGATAAGGCAATTGAACGCCTGCAATCGTTGTTTCAAGCTCGGAAAAGCAGTACCTATGATGTCTTGAGCAGTGACAACACACACATTCCCACTGTGGAACCTTCTCCCCGAAGAGAAACCGCATGATGTTTGGGAGTGAATTATTTCCACCATATAAGCCTTTTTTCAGGTAATACTACATAAAAGCATGTAATGTGCCACTTTTCCTTGATTGCAGAGAAAACCAAGATGCCCGCTTGTCTTCTTCTTTGAGTCATCCTAGTTATTCATGACCCACTTTCTAAACTTCACCTCGTGGCTGCAACCAACTGATATTCGAGTTGCCTGTTTCAACTAGGCACCGATGTCTATACAAGCACAACGAAATTCAATTCTAGTGATCTTGCCTGCTCAAAATCTGAGCTGGTGTGGAATTGTATATATACCCTCTGATCCCCTGCCATCTGGCTACTTCTGCCACCTTGGATGTTCCAAGATTCTACATACAAACTGCATATCAAGGTCGCGCAGACCTTGCAAGACGACATCGCGGACATCCCATATACTAGGTTTCTGTCGTACCCACATAGATGAGTATCAAGAACCCTGGGAGTTGGCATTTGAAACCCCCCAGACCTGGATGAGCCACCAAGTCCGATAACCGGTCAAGAAGCCATCACACCGAACCATACATTGTCTGCGGGACATGGGCAGTGCATCGATCTTAGCCTCACAGCGACGAACATACGGTGAATGCGACTGGACCAGAAACGATCCCACGATTTGATCAATACCGTAGTCAACAAAGTCTTGAACCAACACACACAAATTTGTTGTAACTACAGGAAGAAAGAGAAATCCCTGAAGCTGATCGAGACCGGTACCATGGATCATTGAAACAATCTGGAAGAAGACCTGGAGAAGTCAATGAATGTGGATAAACCGTTCTGCTCTTTGATTTTCCTGTTTCCGGTGTCCTCTTGTCATTCCTTACAGGCTTCTTCCGATCGACACAAGGAGAGATGAACCCTAAGGCTCGGACGGATTGTACACTAGCAGTCGAACGCGGGTGTCCCTTTCGCAATTTGTCGTAGCCACTGACAACTGATAGAAATTCTCCAAGAAGCACAAGAAAGAAAGAGCCAGGCCGCTGCTAAGAAGGGGTTGAAGGCTGCTACAAGAGTCTTGGGTCGCCTTGGAGGATCTTGATATCAACGCGAGTAAGTTCGAAGTACTCGAAACTCTCGAAGATTTTCAGAGGCCGGAATGTGTCTCGTGATAGCACCAGCAGCAGACTTGTATCAGTGGCAACGTGCCGTCATGGATTCCTTTCACGCGGTAAGTTGGACAGCTTATTGATATCATCGGGCCCTGTGATCAACTTGGTTTTAACCTCTTTCTAAGCCCGAAAACGGCAAAGCCACACAGGTCTACAGAATATCATCACAGTAGAGATGGGCGAAGAAATTGTCTCTCAATCCTGCAATGGTGTAGGAATGGAGAGGAGAGGTGGCGTGCTGATGCGCCCAAGCAGGCCGCGCCGCTATCCGCCAGTCTAGTTCACCCTCTCCACGCATTTTTCTGCTCCCTGGTTTTTGTCGCCACTAGATGGTTAACCGCTTGGACATCGTCCTATTTGAGATCTCACCCATGGACTTCCGATCAGTTTCGCCAGAGCTTGATTCATCGTCTGGGATCTCCGGCACGGACGCACTGGATCATCCTATATTCGTCGGCAGCAGCGACCTGGACAGTGCCTATCTCTAACCCTGAGATCAATATCGAACAAAGTTTGACTTCATACCATGTCTACCTAGAATTCTTTTCAACAAAGTTCTTTTCTGTCTCAACTATCAACCCGCGACTGAGGCAGAAAGTGGAAAAGTTTCTCATAGCCAGAATGGCATGGAACCAAGACAGAAAACACGCAGTACTTCATCCTCCAAATACTTTTCAAGGAAACACGGCTACATTCTATTTGAACACTCATTTTGGAAGAGACTCGGACGCACAGTGAGACAACAGTTGCGCTCATTTACATACCCATTGGAAGTCGAAATTCGAACCACATATGTTTGGTGGTTCGGGATGCAGCTCGTGCATAAGGCATGCTCTTCTTTCTTATCCTTGTGGTCAGGTTACACTTCGCATGTGTGTGAGACGAGAAAATCTCTTTGGAAAATATTGTGGCTTGAGATGTAGGAGGACGTTTGGCCAAACTGTAAGTTTCTTGCAGTCCAAAAAAGGCTGGTTCTTCCGCAGTAGCTGGAGGCCAAGAATGCGGGTCTAGAGCCGATATCAATGCCCTGACTGTCGACTCGAGGAGCGGCCCAACAGTCCTATTTCCCATGAATGGTCTTCGAGTTGAAGAGATGGCATATTGTACGAGTCCGCAGCTCGTTAGAGGTACTGAGCAACTGGGCAAGCTCCACGACATCACGATACAAACTTGAAACAAGCCGTCCAGATCAAGACGAGATACACAATTCACGACCGCGATGGAGGCACAAGGTAGTGTGAAGGAGCAACTTGCTGAAGCTGGCAAGAGTTTGTCTAAACATACTCCACAAAGAGACACATTATCCAGGACCACACCAGCCGATCCACCACCGGATTTCAGTCTTATTCAAAGAAACTGGAGAAGATGAACATTGTCGAAATGGCCAATCGATCTACATATCACTGACAGATGTCGGAACTATCTGAGAGAAGATTCTTGAATATACCCTACCAGATACAGATCGCATCCTTTTGGTCAGACGCTCTATCGAGAATGGCATTCCTTGGTTGGAAAGCTGCGCGCCCGACCTCGATTACCCGAGCAGTGTCTACTATCCGCCTAACACACTCATCCAGCGCAGGCGACATTGGATGCTGCTGCCGTGGAACGGGTCTTACGACGTAATCATCAGAACATCAAGTTTCTTGGCCTGCCTGTCGTTGCTACCACTGAAATGTGTCTTCAGGGCGAAGGGATTACACCCTGAGATATCAGGAGTGCGTCAGGAAGAAAAGTGCAACTTTTGATCCAGATGATTTGAAAAGAACTCTGCTCTTGTCATATACGTGGCAAAGGCTCAAGACAGGTAATTGAAAAAGGAATATCTTCGACACGAACTGCCTATTTCGACTGTATTCTACATATCTATATATATGTATTGCCCGTGATTGGCGTATCAATCCTACCAAGGTCGTCGGCGAAGATAATAGCCCAATGACAACAATCGAGGTATTACAGGAATCGACGAGATGCCCTTGTGAGAACTCAGAATCTACAGCTCGCTTCACCCTCTGGACTAAACCTACTCCAAAAGGCTCTCTTTTACCTCTTTCTGTCAGCTACCACCAGATCATTATTCGGGACGTGGCAGATTTCTTTGCGGGAGTGAACTAGGACAACGAAGAGGGAGTCGAGCTTTGAGCGTCGCCATCGTGTGCTACTACAATGCACAATATCTTCTATATCTCACCATGAGAGACAAGATGATTAAAAAAGACAGCAAACGGAAGGCGTTAACTATTGTCAAAGCCGACGGCATTTAAGGCCTAGAGTTCGACATTGTCGTGGTCAACGTGGCATGTCGCAATATCTTCATACAGCAAGTGCCATGTTCATGCAGCGAGACTGGAGACTAGATGAGTCAAATCGATGTTAGTAACTGGGCGTGCAGCGAGAAGTGGAAAGAAGACGAGGACAAAGCACAGCATGTGGCCACTTGGAGGGAAATTTGTTGGTGATGGAGGATTCTGCCAGTATTACCATCTTACCAAACCGACCCCCCATCAGGCCCCTCTCTTTGAGCGTATTGGCGTGGCCATGTACTGCTGTGAGGAATCAGTCAAGCTACGCTACTTGTGCGCGGAGATCCTCGAGGCAGTCTATCAGCACGACGACAAGTTGCTTGTTTATGTCAACTGGCCACAGACCCACCGGCTGACAGAGTGCTTTCTGAATAATCTCGGCATCCGCAACTACTCACTCACCACCGGTCTAAAGACCGGTGAAAAGGACGGCATGAATCGGGAATTTAACGACAAACCAAGTGCAATTTGCCCCCCCAGCGGTCTGAAAGACACCCCAAGTTAGCAAGGCAACACTTCACAACGGCTGACTTCATAATAACAACAAGAACAATAATAGCATCAGCATCAGCATCAGCATCAGCAACAGGGAACAATCAGAGAAACGAAGTCTGGGGTCGAGACGTTTGAATACCAGAGCAAGAGGACTATTGACGTGGCTGACGTAGAAAAAAGAAACAAACAGCAACGGACAGTCAGACGAATGGAGCGCAGCCGTACGTCAACCGCAAGATGTGCATCACCGGCGTCTTTGTGTCAGAATTGAAACAACTGTTTATAGAACAGTATGTTCACAGGCTTCCAGTGTTGGCTTTGGGCTCTGTTTCGGCTGTTCGAGACATGTTGTTGAGTGGAGGAGAGTTCTACCCCCAGGATTGACTCCTGTGATATTCCAGTTGAGAAGGCTTTGTGAAGACTATTTTTCTTTCCTTTCTATGAGGGACTGGAAATGCTTCGGCCGGTTCGACATGGAAAGGTTCACAAACATCATGGATCGAAACGAATCCTCCAGGCCGGGTCTTTCAGAAGAGCACTCGTCTCGAACAACCACATTCAGGGTAAGGTCGCTCGCTGTGATCGAATTCAACCATCAAGTTGAAGGTCAGAAACTATCTCTACTCAAATCATCTCAATTCCGAGCTTGAGTACCGCTCGAGTTCAAAACACTTACATATCACGGAAAATGTGTGTATAACACAGTAATATGCACACGTTTATGCATGGGGGGAGGTATCTATCGCACAAGTAGCGCCTGAAGAGTACACGAGATGTGGTTCGTGGAGTATGAAGTTCCTTGGTATCAAGTTATCACATTCATACAAAGAAAGAAGATGCGGTCAGTACGAAAGCATATGATAAGAGGTAACTCCACGAGCAGTAAAAATCTTCACCCTAATATTAGTAAGTACTGCATTCGAGATATGCACTACAAAACACATCACAAACACAACGGACCCAGGGAAGAATTTTGAAGATTTAGAAGATATGCAGACCCCATTCCCTTCTCTCCCGTCAAGATCCCGAGTACCGCCAGTTGCAGATAATGACAACTAAAGTTGTTTATTGTCTGTCACGATCGTGTGCTGGATCCAAACCGACGGATAAGGCACAACACCGACGAAAACGTCTTACTGCCGTGGTCTTGACAATACTGACACTGGCATATCTTTGCTGTTGACCTCGATATGTCCATGGGCGAGCAGAGAGGTTCTTTGAGATCTGGCTGGCGTGATAGTTTTGTCCCTGGTCAGACACGTCAAGGCTGCCGAGTTTGACAAACATATTCAGCAGCCAAACAAAATATACAATGAAAACACTGGTCCAGAATGAAGCGTCTTAACTGACGGACTGAGCTCCTAATTCTTTTTCGGAAAGAGTCGGTGACTGCAGACACCAGGAGAACCCGAAATCGGTCGAGCTCTTTGCCGCCCCCAGGGACGAAGGTTTTCCTCGTTCGCAAAGGCAGGAGATTCAGAGGGAGTCACCGAAGTTAAAGACAAGATCCGGCGTTGACGCAAATTTTGAAGCAAAAAAGGTATGAACACTAAGGATACTGCGGCTCTAAGGGACTTGTCGGCGAGTTTCTTCAGTCATGGTGCAGACAGCTACAACTGTTGACACCGAGAGATGGTTTTCTTTTTACACAATTATGGAAAAAGTCAAAAGCCTGAATGCCGTCTACCCCGGTCATACGGTTCTTGGGTTAACAATGCGAAGTGACTCTCGGATTTCTGCAAACAGTTGGGAGACTGCCGATGAACTCGTGTCGCATTAGCAATGCCTTTTCTACATGACTCAAACAGATGGAACAGCCACGAACTACCTCAACCGGCTGAATGCAGCAGAATACCTGGTGGGCCAGTCGCCTGTCGGCACATCCACGACGCAGTGTATGGCGACGAGAAGGCAGGCGGTAAGCTCAATGATCCTCAATTAATTCGATCTGGTAGGTCAACGTGAATCCAGAAGACCTGCTCCTGGTCCTCAGCAATGCGATATTGACCAAACACTTCAGGCCAAGTGAGATGAAATACAAATGACAACCTCGGGAAGAATGGTCAATATATATACAAGCTGCCCTACGCCAATGTTCACAAGCAAGGCAACGACAGTTGCTACACCGCTCACGCGTGTCTCTCCATGACGGAGAAAATCATAACGAAGAGGACAGTGAGAAGAAGACAAACCGTTGAATGCCCTCCCAAGTGATACATGGGCAGATACCGACAAGCCCTGGACAGGTGATGATACCAGTGCCACGGGCCTGGATCGCTTCGACAACCTCATGCAGTTGTATCTGTACAAGATCCAGAATCCCAAGGGATGAATAAGACTGACGTAAAGTCTCCTCGACTTGCAGAAAGAGAAAGCGGCACAGAACAATTCCCACAGTAAGATTTTGGTGCTCCCAGCGGTCGATGCTTCCGACGCCAACTTACAATTGACCCCCTCAGCAGAATCAACCTCCTACAGCACCCACGGAAGACCATTAAATCACTGTCTATTTAGACTATACTGAAGCTGCTAAGTGTGGGAACTTGAAGGTCCGATATCTTTTCTTGAAGACCATCGGAATCTTCAAGAGACAGGTTTCTTAGCGACGGTGAGGGATAAGACTGGAGCGAGATGGAGGGCGAATATCCTCATCCTGACGTTGATGTCTTCTATGGCGAGGACGAAGGTGGCAATCTTGATGGCTTTCATGGCGAGGATTCCGACGAGTGGATTCAACGGCTTGCCATTACAACAGGTGATAGCTAAAACGGAATAAGCAATCTCGTCGCTTTTTGTCCACACCGATATTTACTGTTGTGCCACCGCCAATCATTTCATTCATTGCATGAAGCTTAAAGAGGTCAGTCTGGAAGTTCGACATGACAGGATGAAAAAAATTGCTCGATCTCAATTGGGTTGAATACTATTGTGAAACTTCTGGTTTGCTTTTGAGGACAAGCTGTTAGATGGACATGGTCAACTTTGCAATTTTGGTTCACCAGCAAAAGTGCAATTATATCTAGAGTTCAAGTACTGTCGTAGTCGCAATCAATGGCAGCTCCAGAACTCTTTGCTTCTCTACTCTTGTCTGAAGAACTTGGTGCGATGTTGTCCCTTGCTCCCCGCCGATTAGTTAGCACATCAGCCTAAAGTGAGGATCCCCAGACCCACTACTTCCTTGTGGAGATCCGCTTGCGAGGCCCAACCCCACGGGTTCCCACCTAAAAGAGTCCCTGAGGCCTCGGTATTTCCAGGGTAGGTTCAATTATACAGTAAGATACTCCGTACTTCGTACTCATATGGGCACTGTACGTACCTGTGGAGCCCAGCGTGTTGGGTCTTTTGCACGCGATGCTACACTTACCCTCGCTCCAAGCTCTCTTGGTAAGGGGTATTCCCGTTTCTTGCATGTGTAAATCTTTCTCGTTCATAGCGCATGGAGGGGTGGCGGGGGAATGTCTCGTTGCAATAATCCTCCGAACATCAGAGCCCCGCGCCTTCTTTTTGCTGCTGACGCCTTTTGATTTGTGTATCGTTGTTTCCTTCTGTTCGTATTCGTGTTCTGTAGAACACTCGGGACTTGTCGTTGTTGTTTTTCTTGATTCCTCTTCTAGAGCCACTGACAACAAAGTACCAACAGCACGTCGATATGTCTTCCAAACGCCCCAATTTCCTCATCATCGTTGCAGACGACATGGGGTTCTCGGACGCTGGCTGCTTTGGTTCCGAGATCCGCACCCCAAACATCGATAAGCTGGCCAAAGATGGGATACGACTCACGGGATTTCACGCTGCCGCGGCTTGTTCACCGACGAGAGCGATGATATTGACCGGTACAGACCACCATATCGCAGGTCTGGGGAATCTGATCGAATGGACGGACTTCTCGGGCCAGAACTTCCCCAAGGGAAGCAAGTACAGCACAGCGCCTCAGAGAGGCATGCCAGGGTACGAGGGCTACCTGAACTCCCGCGTCGCCTCACTGCCTGAGGTACTGAAAGACGGAGGATATCACACTGTCATGAGCGGGAAGTGGCATCTCGGTCTGACGAAAGAACGAAGCCCGAAGGCACGAGGGTTTGACCGCAGTTTGGCACTTCTGCCCGCCTGTTCCAACCATTATGACTGGAGACCAGAGGCGGAGTTTCCCAAGTTTCTTGAGAAGAGCGTGATTGCTCTTCACATGGAAGACGATCATTATGTCAAGGAGCTGCCTGAGAATTGGTACTCGAGCAATGGCTATGGTGACCGTATGCTGAAATATTTGAAGGAATGGAAAGAAGACAAGGAATTGTCGGAAAAGCCTTTTTTTGCATACTATCCTTTCTCTGCGCCACACTGGCCACTACAGGCGCCAAAGGAGTACGTCGACCATTATCGAGGTGTATACAAAGACGGCCCAGAGGCACTTCGGCAACAACGACTGAAGAAGCTGATCGAGCTTGGCATGATCCCGAAGGACGTCCGAGCTCATCCAGTCGTTGCAGACGAGGTTCAGGGCTGGGATGAGATGGATGATTTCCACAAGAAGGCCTCGTGCACTGCTATGGAGGCGTATGCCGGCATGGTCGAATGTCTAGACCACAATATCGGCCGTGTGACGGACTATCTGGAGTCGATCGGAGAATTGGACAACACTTACATCATGTTCTTCTCCGACAACGGTGCCGAGGGTGCAGCATATGAAGCCTACCCTATGGTGGCGGGTGAACTCATGGCCCATATCGGCAAGTACTATAACAACTCGCTGGACAATGTCGGCAATAAGGATAGTTTTGTGTGGTACGGTCCCCGATGGGCCCAAGCAGCCACTGCGCCCAGTAGATTGTACAAGGCATACACGACCGAAGGAGGCGTTCGTGTACCGTGTGTCATCCGTTACCCTCCAATTCATCAAGAGCACAAGGGTGAAATTACCGAGACATTTGCTACAGTCATGGATATTGCACCAACACTTTTATCCTTGGCTGGAATCAAGCATCCCTCACCAGAGTTCAATGGCCGGAACATCGTCCCAATGAGAGGAAAGGATATGGCGCCGTGGTTGAAAGGAGAGCAACAATTGATCCATGACCCTGGCGAGGCGTTCGGCTGGGAACTGTGCGGTCGTGCAGCAATCCGCAAGGGTCAGTGGAAAGCTGATTTTATCCCATTTCCAAAGGGAACTTCTGCCTGGCAGTTATACGACTTGTCCAAGGATCCAGGGGAGACGGAGGATCTCGCGACAAAGTATCCGGAGATATTAGACGAGCTCCTGGCCTTGTGGGAGACATACTGTGAGGAAACTGGTGTAGTGCCGTTGCAACCTGAACTCGGTGCTCGTTTCCACGAAGCTGTTGAGGCACAAATGAAAGAAGGCGAATGGATCGAATATGAGTACTGGAAACCTGGTGCTCTGGAAGAGCGTAACCGTAGTCAACACGTCCGGCAAATTGCCAAAGTCGCTGATCCGAGATTGAAGGAGGCTACGGGAGGATAAACTGTGAAGGTGGCGTAGATATTAAACATTTATAGACTCAGACAACGTCAACAAACAACATTCTTCCCTCAAGACTGTCCAATATGGAGAACTGTTCAGTTCATACTGCTTCACACCGTGGCGCATAGACCTATAATACTCCACCGCAGGTATATCTACGGCAGTCGAATAATTTGCGACACGCAATTCGCAACAAACCATCAGCGCAGTTCAATGTAAAGGTCAATGTTATATCAACTCATCATTTGAAAACATTGCAACCTGAAAGACGTTCTATTAATTACTGCGCTCAATTATAATCGCTGATAGTTTCCATCTACCTTGCTCAACCGATCTTCGCCATGTCGGACCCCCCACCACGAAGGAGACGCTCGTCTCTCGCATACGATCCAGCACGAGACACCTTCAAAGAGATTCCTGACACAAAGGTTGAAGAAGCTATTGTTGAGGAAGAGTCTGAGCAGCCTAGAAAGAAGAGGAGATCAGAATCACCTGAAAGAGAACCCAAAGATGAGCTCCAGAAGGACTCCGCTCCAAACACATCCCCCGATCCACCAAAGCAACGCTTGTCCGTGTCGCCCTCGAGACGCGCAAAGCAGTCTCCCAAACCTGCGGCGAATGGGGACCGGTATCCCAAAGCTTCTCCGAGAACGCCTGCCGATCTGCCACGCATACCGCGCAAGCCCAGAGAGGATGGTGAAGTCTCTGCGTCTCGGCCTACCTCTTCAGCCTTTAGTCGACGCCCTCTACCAGATGAGCGAAGAAGCAGACCCCGATCACGTTCCCCACGACGTCGGTCACCGTCAAATATCTATCGTCGTCGCTCGCCGGCCCGGGAACGACCGAAATCCCCCTCTCCGATTCGAGACTCCCCTCCGAGAGAGATCATCCGCCCCGGCGGAGCTCGAGGACGGGGACGCAATGTCTTGGCAGAACAACAGAGACTTGCTGCGGAAAGAGAACAAAAGAGCGCAGGTCTGGTAAGCCATACGAATCGGGGTGTTCAAGAAGTCTCGAATCAATTTTACAACGCACGACCAGAGTGGGTTAAAGAGCGTGGCCGCGATTGGCGAAGGAATGAATCACAGATCAAAGGGCTCCGCAGCTTCAATAACTGGGTCAAATCATGTCTAATACAACGATTCAGTCCTGTAGAAAAGCAACAAGTCGAGGAATTGGGATGGGGAGAAGAAGCCAAGGAGCCTGAAGAGCAAAAGCCTCTGCTTGTGCTGGATGTAGGGTGTGGTAAAGGAGGTGATCTTGGAAAATGGCAACTTGCTCCTCAGGTCGTTGGCCTTTATGTCGGTCTGGACCCTGCAGAGACCAGTATTTCCCAAGCACGCGAACGGTACCAATCGATGAGACGTGGACGCAGACCCATCTTCGACGCCTACTTTCTCCCACAAGACTGCTTTGGTGCTTGGATTGGTGATGTCGGGATTGTGCGAGAAGTGGGGATCGACCCGAATGCTGGCAATGGACAACCGAGTCGCTGGGGTGGCGGCGGCTTTGACGTCGTTTCAGCCATGTTCACCATGCATTATGCCTTTGAATCAGAAGAGAAGGTAAAAATGATGCTCAGGAACATTGCGGGCGCCCTCAAAAAGGGCGGACGATTCATCGGAGTTGTCCCGAACAGCGATGTCTCTGCCGGGCATATTCGCGCCTGGTTTGCGGACAGAGGGAAGAATGCTAGCAACGCCGATGGACAGAATGGTGTGCCGAAGGAAGAGGGCGAGGCAGAAGATGATGATGATGAAGGCCCGACTTGGGGAAATTCCATCTACAAGGTCAGATTTCCCATGGATCCTGCCCGACCCCTGAATCCTGATGGATCATTCCGGCCACCTTTCTCATGGAAATATACCTACTGGATGGCTGAGGCCGTGGATGTGCCTGAATTTGTGGTTCCCTGGGAAGCATTCCGTGCTATTGCAGAGACATACAATCTTGAACAGAGATACAGAAAACCGTTCCTTGATGTTTGGGAAACGGAGCAAGGGAACAGAGAAATGATGGCTCTGGCTTCACGAATGGGTGTTACCAGATACGAAGGGGGTGATTTACTCTTGAGCCCCGAGGAGAAAGAAGCCGTTGGCTTCTATCATGCTTTTTGCTTCGTCAAGGTCTAAGCAGGTAGCACTGGTGTACTTGCTAAAGACGAAAAGCGTCAATAAATCACGAAATTCACGAGACCAGACTTTTACGGGTTAGGTTTGCAAGTATTGCCTACTAGGTCAGAGATTCACACCTAAAAAATTCGAAACATAGGTTAGGATCTGGGGAATATCGCTGAGTGGTGATGGGATCATTACTTACTTATTACCTATCTATCTGAGGTACTTACTCATCGTACACTTAGCCCTCGCAGTCAGGCTTGTGCTGGGAACAAACGAGCCATCCATTTGTGTCACTGTTTCTCACCTATGTCATGCCCGTGTAAGAGGTCTTACCCACACTGACTGGCCCAGAGAAAGCGCGCTGTGTCTTCGCTTAGGTGCATATGGCACGCTGAAAACACGCGGTGGCCTGGGTCGATATCTGTGCACACTGGCGGATGGCTAGTGTTGTTTGCCGCCACATGAGACTAGGGAGCCAGTGTAGGGAATAGGGAAAATAGGGGGAGGCCGTTGTTATCGTTATCGACACGTGATGTAGATGTGGGTCTCGCGTGATTGAGGGCCGTTGAGATCTCATCTTTTCGATCTTCCCAACTCCTCCAAGTGTATCATCTACGCATCGTTCCGGAGATAGTAGCATGAAGCAATCATCGCCACAAAGCTCCATCGGCGCATCTTGCTCAGAGTCATGTCGTCAATCGGTAGAGAAATGGACCAGTGGTGGACAGCTGACCAGGAGACATCGTTGAATCATGGCCGGTCTAGTTATCAATCAGTAAATCACGGTAATTCCAATTTCTTTCAGAGGTTCGGTCTGAATGTCTTGAATGCCTTGCTGCAATTTCCTGCGAGCTCTCGGTGGCCGAGCTGACCCTAGGACATGACACTTTTGTGACACGAGTTCGTCGAAAGCTCAGAGGGTTCGAGCCACGCGATCCCCACGCGTCGCGTATAGGGGCTGACAAGACCCTCGGCGCATATACTGAACTTCAAAATGCCCTTATACTGCCACGCGGTGGGCACCAGGATGTGAACCTCTGACACCACAGGTATTAATGTTATAACGCCTCAAGGCAACCTTCGTCATTATTAGGGCTGGCCAAAAATCCGTTCTCAAGTATGCGGACCAACATTATATATGCTGCACTATTCGCAGCTCTCTCATCGGCCTCTTCAGGTGCCAATGATGGATCTGACGAAGAGTGTGAAGTCAATACGGAACTCGTTTTTGATTGGGATCATGTGTATTTCGGTCAAGGGGCAGTACCGGGTCCCGATAATGGTATCCCCTGGACCGCCCCAGCACCAAATGGCATGAACTCCCCTCCCGTTCAAGCTATCAGCAAGGGCAGTGATGATAATGGTAACCCCTGGACGAAATCTGTGCCCAGCGACCGAACCATCACCTTGACCACAACTTGGACGGAGCCCTGCTCGACAGGATATACCACCATGACGACGATTGTGACCACCACTCACTGTGGTTGCACCGAAACTCCTGTCCCAACCATCTCCATGAAGACAGTCACTATTACACCGTCACCTGGGTGGCCTTTCAGCCAACCCATCACCTGTACGATCCCAGTACCTCCAACGACATCTGGAACATTTTCGTCTTCAAACAATGGCTGGGGATCTCGAACGGGCTCTCCCGCATCCGGCAGCACATCCTCTTCGGCACCTCCTAGCAGTCACGGTTGGCCTTCCTCCTCGTCATCCAATGGACAGCCGGTCTCTACCTCTACCGGGGCCACAACAGTGGGAAGCAGCAGCAGCTCCGGATGGCCAACGTCAAGCTCGGTTGGCTCGACTACAATAACTTCGAGCACGAGCTCGCAATCTTCGTCCGCAAGCACAACCTCAACAAGCACCAGCCCTCTACCTACCGTCAGTGGCGCTCGCAACGTGGGTTACTACGTTAACTGGGCGATCTATGCAAGGAATTTCACCGTGCAAGACTTGCAGACTCAATTCCTGACTCACGTTTTGTACGCTTTTGCCAAGGTCGATCCTGCTTCTGGGAACGTCCTCTTGAGCGACACATGGGCGGACACCGACAAACCATGGCCTGGTGACGACACCAGCGCCACGGGTCTGAACCTATTCGGCAACCTCAAGCAGCTGTATCTGCGCAAAATCCAAAATCGCAATTTGAAGACGTTGCTTTCCATCGGAGGCTGGACGTTTTCTCCCAGTTTCGCAACCGCAACCAGCACCGAACAAGGTCGCCAAAACTTCGCCAACAGTGCCGTGACGCTGCTTCAAGACTTGGGCTTCGACGGCATCGACATCGACTGGGAGTATCCCGCCGATGCGACGCAAGCGGCCAATTTTGTCTCGTTACTCCAGACGCTTCGTGCAGCTCTCGACGCGTCGTCCACGAGAAACAACCAGACACGGTTTTTGATGTCGGTGGCCGTCTCTGCGGGTCCGGACAAGTACAACGTGCTCGACGTCCCAGGGATGGATGCCTCCCTAGATTTCTGGAACTTGATGGCCTACGACTTTATCGTTTCCAACTCCAATGTCACCGCTTTCCAAGACAACCTTTACCCGTCGGTCAACCATCCACTGTCGACCCCCTTCAACGCCAACGACGCCGTCGACGCCTACCTCGAAAAGGGGGTCGACCGATCCAGGTTGGTTTTGGGAATGCCACTGTACGGTCGGTCATTTCTCAACTCGACCGGTCCCGGTTCGCCTTGTCTCCCGGATCCAAACGGCTCTTGGGAACCCGGGGTTTGGGATTTCAAGGTTCTACCCAAGGCGGGCGCGTCCGAATTCTTCGACCCTCGAGCCATCGCCTCTTACAGCTTCGACAACGCCACGGGCAACTTCATCACCTATGACACCTTCGACACGGTCAGGCTCTACAAGGCCGGGTACGTCCTGAACAAGGGGCTGGGTGGTGGCATGTGGTGGGAGACCAGCGCCGACAGGCCCATCGGGCAAGGGTCCCTGATCGAAGCCTTTTTGCGTGAATTCATCCTCCTCGACGAGGTTCAGATAGTCGAGAACGAGTTGTCCTACCCCGAGAGCAAGTATGTCAATTTGAGGGCCGGGATGGTCTCTTCTGATTAGGTGGATTTTGTTTTTTCGGGAATTAATTTTTAGAATATTATTCTGTGGCATGAATACTGGAAATATTTTTGGAAGTTCTTGCTCGTCATTCTAAAAATCAACTGTCATTGCTGTGCAATGCCTTCGGAAAGAGAGACGTATCTCATTGTCCACTTTTAAAGTATGACGTTCGTTAGTACAGATAGAATGTCATTTTGTTTTTGAACATCTGTTGGATAATGAAAATGTGTGATCAGAATTCAAGCCGGGTAGGAATAGAACAGACGGATCTGCAAATCTTGATTAACAATGCCTCGTGTACCTTTATGTAGGCATCAGTGACTAGATTTGTCCAGGTTTTGGTATCAGAAGAAAAAAGGAGAGAAAAAAACAACAAATTTAGAAAAGGACATCATGTTGACTAACCACCCTAGACTCCTTACCTCATACTGAAAACTTGATGTCCACGCTTATTGTCAACGTGTTGTGGATCACTCCCTCTCAGACTTTCCTCATCGTCGACAAAGAATGTTGACTCTGGATAGAAGAATGTTAGAGAGGCGGAAAGTTTTGCCGTTCAGAGGATAGAACGCATGTTCCCCTATGTTGTTTAGTGGGAGAGGGTAATGTGGGCTTTTTCTTGGTGGGAAATTTATACCTCGTTTCTTTTTGGCACTGTAGCCTTGTTTACGATTATCATCGATAATGTCTCTGCAGCTCGATCGTGAAAGTACTAGTACTGATCTCTGAACCGGGGAGATCGACCCATCAAGGCTCCACCTAGTCCCTTTGGACCTTTGGTTCACCAAGACTAGAGTTTCAAGACCTCGCCATTGTTTACTTTTAGTCTGGGGTTCAGACAAACTTACGCATGATGACTGTGGATCTCCAAGGCGTCGACGAGGCCGAAGAGTTTTCGTTGTTCAGGTAATCTGTAAAAGTCTTTGGTACAGAGTACAAACCTACCTAACGAGGGTAAAAGTCTCGTGCGTCTCCCTCAACCTCAACGCCGATCTTGCGAGGTTCAACGCTTGTCACCTGCAGGCAACAACGGAGGAGAGGGTCTCAACAAAAAATGACGGGCTCCTGGAGATCAACTTCGTCGTGTATAAATACGTGTTGTCCCCCCTGTGTTTGAATCCGAAATCCAACACTCTTGACAACGGCTGCCCTCAACAACATCGTCATCATCAACAAGAGCAGCAGCAGCAACCATCATGCGTGTTACCACTCTTCTCGGTCTCCTTTTCTTCTTGGCCGCCGCCATGGCCATCCCCATCACCACCACTGGCGGCGGCAACGGTCCTCACGGACCTGTTGGTCACAATGCGACCGACACCCTCCCCCCCGGTCGCAACTCGACCGACGACGAGGTTCCCTTCCCCGGCCACCGGGTGGCCACCCGCAACTTCCCCGGTCGGAACTCGGCCAACCCCTTTCCCGGCCACAAGGTGGCCGATGCCTTCTTTGGCCCCGGCGGTGACGGCGGTCACCACAACTCGACCCACGAGGCCGACGCCTTCTTCCTCCCTCCCGGTGGCCACAAGGTGGTCGCCGCCCGTGACGCCCTGGCCCCCCGTGGTCGGAACTCGACCCACGTCTTCTTCCCCCCCTCCTCGGGTCAAAACTCGACCTACCCTTTCCTCCCTCCCGACATCCCCGTCGAGATCAACGTCGAGGTGGAGAAGGAGGAGGAACCCGTTGTCGTTGAGCGCGGTCAATATATTGACTGCATCATGAGCAACCAATTCTGCACTCCTCACACTCCTCCTCCACCAGCGGAGGAGGATTGAGGGAGGCCCTCGGTTTTGGTTCGGTTTGGTGCTGTGCTGGCTGGCTGTGGACGGAAGCGGCCGTACAGCAGCCGTTTGAGTGTGGTGATGTGGCGTGTGGCGTTTTGGCGTTTTGGCGTTTTGGTTTTTGTGGCGTTTGCCATTGTGCTTGTACCTTTGTTTACGCACAAAAAAAATATGTGTTTACAGTGATGTGCACACTTTTATGCATGGAGGAATGTATCTCTCGTCCGAGTAGATACTCAAGAGTACATGGCAATGTGGGTTGTGGAGTATTGAGCCCCTGTCACGGGGTATCACACTCATCAAGGAAAAGTTGGTACTCACTTCGTAATCATTACCTAGTGCTGAATAGAAACCACATGTCCTCCGCAATAAGCCTGATCTTTGTTTCCCAGAATTTGCCATTGATAACTGTCCCGGACCCGTAGCTGGCCGCTTAAGCATGAGAATTGTCTGGTACTCAGCTCTGTCTCAAAACCTAGTGATCGATGATATCGCGGTCCTTAAAATGTAGATCACACCATGTTCACTCAAATGTCATCGACAATATCCAGATACCCCTCCCGAGTTCACTCAGATAGGTCGCCATCAGCAGATGATATGAGTACAGCGGTCCGTATTCCTCAGATATAGGTCCACACAACATTTCAAACAGGCCGAGCCCCTAACCACAGCGGGCTCCCCAGCAGCCAGAGCAAAAAATCGTAGGCTCTCGTCTCCGGCCACTGCCACGATCCAAGCGAAAGGACGAGGCTCTCCACGGGCATGAGGATTAACCATGGATCCATTGTAGTATGGCGTGACGAATTTAGCTTCACGGTATGGTTGCTGGTCTGGTAAAGGACTCTCCGCCATATGCGCGCAAGACGAGATGAAAAGCGAGGCACATGCCGTCTCCAGTGCTCGCATCGGACTGAAAACGGTAAAAGAACGGGATAATCCCATATGCAGTGATAGATACCCATCTTCTTCCTTGACTTGCCATCCCAGCTTGGCGCAAGGTACAAGGTTCACTGGAGTTTGACAGAGGGTACTATGATGACTAGTAACTGTCGTGTATGAACGTGACGTCTCACTTTTGACAAGCTGATACCTACGACCTCTGTATAGGATAGAACCCGGGCCAACAATCAATTTGAGGAGTGGTAGACTATCGACGGGGTCATTCCATGAGTCGAATTTCGCTGGGTAGACAACCTGGCCCATGTCGCCTGATGCTACCCAATCTTGCTGATACTTGACCTCTGTGACAGAGTAGGGATAATGGAAGTTCTTCCCGCGATACGTGGTCCTAGGAAGGATTTTGTGACCGACAAGTTGAAGAGCCCTATCAAACACATCTTGGGCTTCTAGCTTTGTTTCTGACTCCACAGGTCTCTCGAGATCGTTTCGATTGTATATAATAGAGGCAACTGCGGAGGAGAAGGAGTTCTGAGAACGCAGCCTCGGCCATGCCAAAACACGAACCTCTTCTTCACCAAAGTCAAAGAGCGCAATAGCAAGGATGTCTATTGTCATAGCGACAATTGCGTCGCGAAAGTTGATGACTTTTTCATACTTGGCATGTTCTGGATGCATCTTGGGGGGATTATGTTGGGAGCATACCGGATCGTCGCACTCCTTCAAAAGCCAGCCCTCGAAGGCGGAAACAGCAGGCAAGGAAAATAGAGGGACAGATAGATCTCTGGGAAATTCGGAGGGTGGTTCTTCTAGGCCGCAAAATGTGGCTATTGTGGAAAGGATATCCAAATCTGAGGGCCAAAGGGCTGCATCGAACTGCTTGTACTCATCGGGAGTTTGGTGTCTCAGATCTCTCCCAATGATGACATTTTTCGTTGCAATTTTGGTGGAATATAGTAAGGCCTGCACCAAGGCAGCGTGTCCTAACTCGGCGTGAAGGCCATAAGATCTTGAACGTCGAGCACCGTAAGCTTTCACTGAAATAAGGCCGTTCCAAAGATGTTGTTGACCCGACAAATTCAACGAGCTGGACCACAACACAGAAGGACTCAGCAGCTCTCGGAAGACTTCTATGGCGATGCATGAATCGGATTCTTGGACCATCATGGTGACCTTACTGGGGTATTGTGCGACCAAGACACCGCCATCCTCGGCAATTACGTGTGGAGGATATCCAAGGCACCATTTCGTAAAGGCAATAATCCATGCGTGATACATGGGACTCTTGATAACTATATGAGAGGCTTCACCAACTCTCTCCATAGCTCGAAATGCGTCGACTATAGCTGTCAAACCCTCGGGGGTGGGGTGCTGAAGTTGACTCAAAAAGCTAGCTGATTTTTTTGGCCATGTCGAGTGTGTTGATATGTAATTCCCCCAGCCAGCAACACTTTCGGCGAACTGTAGTCTCCTGAGCTTGTACTCCAGAGCATTCATAAGATCTCGAATTTGGAAGACTGTCGGCATAAGCTGGTCGCTTCTCGATGTAGCATTAATCATCATCTCGATCGCCCGGGCTGCCACGAGGGTGTCCTCTGTGCAAAGAACTGCTGCTACGAGGCTCATAAATCTTACGCCTGCACTTGTTAAGGACAGCTGAGAGGCTGAATCGTTTGCCGCATAACCGATTTTAGCATGGAGAAATTTGACAACATGTGAGACATGCCGCTTGCTCGCTTCCTTCTCTACCAGCATTTGTGTTTGTTGACATATTGCTAGAGTATTTCCAAATGCTTCGGCGACCAGAATGGCGAGAGGCTGGATATTGTCGCTGGTTGCTGCTGTCAACATACCTTGGGCGAAGGATAAAATCGACTCTGATGATTGCTGGAGATTCCAGCTGGCCGATATCTGGCTACTGCTCATCTTGACTGGGACTGGCACGACAGTGGCGGTTCCGAGGGTATTGATCGCGTTACGGGAGCATTATTGATCAACCTTAAAACAACATGATGTGCTGAAGTTAGGAAATCCAAATAGATTGGACGAAGAAAACACTTACGGCGTGGTGAGGCTGTCGACCAGTTTCATCGGAAAGTATTGCCTGACATTTCGCTGGCTTGCGGGGTTTATCGCATTCTCGCCATCCGGGATTGGTTGCAAATGACAAGGATGTAGACGAGTCCAATTGTTCAGCCTCATTTGGGTGCAGTTGTGGTATTGGGCTATTGGTTCTGTTAGCGCCGAGGTGTTGTGACCCTACCTTGTTCCCAAGAAGTGATCCAAGTCACAGGAGAATACAAAATCTTGAGACATATGTAGCCAATCGAACTGAGCTGGAAGAGAAGCAGAAAATCGGTTGAGAAGTTTACGCGGTTACAACTGTCCCCGTTCTGATCGCTGTTATAGAATGTCCCAGTAATTTTTGTGTCGTGAGGCCTTTACCGCTTGTCGAAGAGACATTGAGAAACACACATACTCCACAAACGATGAGAGTAATCTTCACTGTATGCCCCATACTGTGCACTTGCGTGTGTCTCAGGTTCTCTTGTTCATCTGGTCCTTGGCCATCTGCGTATAATACAGCAACATTTTCTCCTTCACCCAGTAAGGCAAACTCCTGAGGAATCCGAACTGAAGCCGATGTCCAAGATATGGTGTCACCTTCACATCCCCGTAGCCAATGGTGTTTAGCGTCGACTTGACGAAATTAGTGGTATTTGGCACGGTGAACGAAATGTCTTTCTCGTTCCTGCCTGAACCAGCCGTCGCCACCATACCAGTCGAGATCGTCTTCACCTCCACATCATGACCGCCCACTTTCATCTCCATGGCCAAAACTCGAGCCAATGCCTCAACAAAGGCCTTTGAACTTGTATACAGCGCAAGACCAGGGCTGGTAAAATCTGCTGCGGCACTACTCATGAATATCATGAGACCCGGTTGATTTTGAAGCAGAATCGGGAGTAGAAGATGTGTGAGATGCGAGACGAATCGGACATTGACGTTTATCCACCCCTCGACCTCTTGAGACGGAAGCTCTTCGTAAAAGGTCATCACGGGCTGACTCGCCCCCGACCCTGCAACGTTGTGAACCAACACAGTAAGACGGAGATTCTCGACAGCATCAAGAACAGCACGGTCAAATTCAGGACCAGGAGGGGTGGCAGCATCAAGAACAAGTATCTTGAATATTCTGTCACTGTAATTCTGTTGCATTTGGGTCAAAACTTTGTTCAACTTGGCCTCATTACGACCATGGAGAATGACATTGAAGCCACTTTGCGCGAACTGATGAACAAAGGCGAGTCCGATGCCATCACCTGCTGATCTTCAGAAAATGAACTAGCCCGCGATGTATGTTGGGAAACTTACTAGCACCAGTAATCAAAACCCAAGGTTCTTTTCCGTGATGGTAGCGCTGCAGGTTTGAACGATGAAGTTGATAACGGATGGTTGATAAGATTCCAAGGCCTACGGAGACAAGCGTACCAGCTCCCACCAAGGCACAGACCTTGTATAGCATGTCGTTCCTGTTCATGTTGGAAACCGAAGTGGTAGACGATACAATTGACAAGTAGCTACTTCGGTCGAACAAAAGGATATAATGTGATAGACCTATATTTCGAAGAGAGACCTTCTGTTCAGTTTAAGAGCACCTCCTGTCCTGTATATGGTGTTGCTTATGACATGGGCGGCCTGAGTCACAGTGAAATACGAGGGAGTACCAGAAATTTGGTATGTGTTTCATGGACCCCTTGATGATGATTCGAGCTCCCTTGACCGATTCGGCAGAAACTCCGCGCGAGCGTTAGCTCTTCCAATCAACCATTCCTCTCCGGAACCAGTACAGGGGTTGTTGCGAGACTGCAAGGATGTGTACGGTGTAGAGAACTTGAGTCATTAATGGATCGTACTGTAGTCGCAGCCGAGACGACATCCAAATAGGTTTAGCTCGTTATTCAAATGACCCCCAGATTTGTCAGACTTGACAAAGTTCGCTAGACCTGAACAGGATTAGCCTCATGGACCACCCGAGCGGCGTTTCTTCCTCCGCATACTGTAGAGTTGTATCGAGTTGCCAGTCCATGTTGATTGCGTGCTTCAGCCATTCCGCCACCATCTGCCAATCCATGTCGAACAATCTTCGCTGGCTTAATTCCGAGGCGTATTCCTACGTCGCAATTGCGATCGCGCATCTACTCGTATCAACCCTGAGATTCGGCCGACCATCCAGCCATCTCCAAACCAAGTCATTACTCCGGATCTGCGTTCTATCCTACCTATTTCATCAAAGCCCTTGCTTTCCCCGCCAGCGGCTAATATGGCATGATCGCCTGGCTATTCCCTGATTCTCGACACAAACCCCACGCGCAAAGAGGAGCAAAAGTCCCAATGTCATGGAATTGCGGCTGACAGGGTAGCATTGGTACCTTGGGGCTCAAATAAGAACCCAGCAATGTCCTCTCTGGCTACTTACCACCTTCTGGATCAAGCAGAGTCCTCAGAATCGTCAGACTCACCTACCCAACAGACGAACCTCGCGATGGGAAAGAGACTCGGGCTCTTCAGAGCTTGCTACGTCGTCGGTCTTTGCTGCATAGGCTCATTCCTGTTTGCCTACGACACTGGAATTGTAGGTGGCGTCTTGACGCTGCCTTCTTTCCAGAATGATTTTCGCTACTCAAAGAAGGAACAGACACAGGTCAACTCAAACTGTGTCTCGATTCTGCAAGCTGGAGCGTTCTTCGGCTGTTTTGGTATCTGGCCTCTGACTTCACGGCTGGGTAGAAGGATGGGCTTCATTATTGCTTCGATCGTGTTTTGTATTGGTACAATCATGCAGGTCGTCAACAGCCATTCGATTGGACTTTTCTATGCCGGCCGAGTGATCGCGGGTCTGGGCACCGGAGCCGCAACCGTGCTCGTTCCCATGTTCTCTGCAGAGATGGCACCCAAAGAAATCCGAGGCAAACTGGGTTCTTGCTTCCAGTTGTTCTTCGCCACTGGCGTCTGCATTAGCTACTGGGTAGACTACGCTGCCAGTTCCGGCTTGCCCAAGGATTCGGCCACGCAATGGCAGGTTCCTGTTGGTCTACAGCTTGTCCCGGGAGCTCTTCTTGGTATGGGCATGCTGCTCGTCAAGGAGTCCACTCGATGGTTGGCTAAAAAAGGTCGCAACGAAGAAGCATACGCTTCACTCCTGTGGGTTCGAGGAGGTGTCGATAGCCCTGAGATCAGGGCCGAGTTCTCCGAAATCCTCGCCGGTGTCGAGCTCGAAATTCGTCAATCCGAAGGTCTTACCTGGAAAGAACTTCTTCTGCCCTCAAACCGGTATAGGATGGCCATCGCTATCACGATTCAACTGGCCGCACAACTTACCGGCAACACCTCTCTGGCATATTATGCGCCGCAAATTTTCGGCACCATCGGTGCTGGAAACAAGACACTCTTCATCACCGGTTTCTTTGGGCTTGTCAAGATGGCGGGTGTCGCGGTTTTCATCATTTTCTTTGTCGAGACGATTGGTCGCCGTATACCATTTATGGCTGGAGCATTCGCGATGGGCAGTTTCATGCTCATCATTGCTCTTATAGTCGACACACATCCACCCAAGGCTTCTGCCAGTGGAATTACTTCTGCTGGAGCGGCGGGAATTGCCATGGTCTATCTCGAGGCGTTCTCTTTCAATATGTCGTAAGTATCCCCTGCCACTTCCTATGAGCAGTTTATGAGCTTCTACTGACCCATTTCATCCAGATGGGGCCCACTCCCCTGGCTATACATTGGCGAAATCTTCCCGAACCGTATCCGAGAGATTGGCATAGCGACCGGAGCAGCAAGTCAATGGTTGTTCAACTTCGTCATGAGTCAAATCACCCCACATGCTATTGACAACATCGGTTGGAGAACATTCCTCATGTTTGCCATTTTCAACTACGCCATCATCGTCTACAGTTGGTTCTTCTTGAAGGAGACCACTGGCAAAAGTTTGGAAGAGATGGAGATTGTTTTCGGTAATGTCGATACGCTGCCCGGCAAAGACGATGAGGAGGTCGAGTCACAGGCTGGCCAAGAACAATATGACTCGAGGGAAGTACAGGAAACTGCAAAATGAATAAATATAGGATGGCTAGAGTCAATATTTGACTCCTTGACACTACGGACACGGAGTATGGAAAGCCAATGTCTTGATAGCATTGAAACCATTGATGATCGTGATAGGGCGTGGGTAACAGAACATTGGTGTTAGAGGCCTACTTTGCGAACGAGAGATTGTGGTATGATAGGCCGGTGTTGTATTCTCTCTCCCTTCTGAATGTCCAAAGTAGACGAGGCACGCAATCAGCCTGACACGTGATCTGGATGACATCAACAAGTCCGAGCCATTTGTCTCCGCGGTTTTATTATTTCCCGGAGAGCCTGTTGTCTCTGCGATTCTCAATCCTTTTGTTACTGCACGGCTGCGCTACACATGATGCGTTGAACACCTTGTCGCACCACAAGGCCGGAACACCACGACCCTTTGAGATAAAAATTCTCAGGACTATGCGCAAGTGCTTCAGCACATGCGCGAGAACACTAAGCCATGAGAACCCACTAGTACGTACCTACATAGACCCTCCTCACAGTCCGTCCCTCCTGCACACCCTCTCACAGGAAAGACATGACAGTACCCTCTCTAACACTATTCTCTTGTTCCTCGACAGGGTCTCCCCCGGTCCTCCAGACCGGGACCACCTCCCACCATCCCCCGCGCCCAACGCGGCCTCCCCACCAAACGTCCCGTCCCCCATGTCAGACACACCATCGCCGTGTCCTCGGCCAAGGGCGGCGTGGGCAAGTCGACGCTCTCCGCGAACCTCGCGCTCTCCTTTTCGCGCCACGGCCTCCGCACGGGTCTCCTCGACACCGACGTCTTCGGGCCCTCGGTGCCCACGCTGCTGGGGCTGACGGACCCGTCCATCTCACACCCCACGACCACGCCCTCGGGCAACCTCGTCCCCCTGACCTCGCACGGCCTCCGGAGCATGTCGATGGGATACCTCCTGCCGTCCGAATCCGCACCGGTGGCCTGGCGTGGGCTCATGGTGATGAAGGCGCTCCAGCAACTCCTCTGGGACGTGGACTGGTCTCCGGGCTTGGACGTGCTCGTCCTCGACATGCCCCCCGGCACGGGTGACGTGCAGCTCACCATCGGGCAGCAGGTCCAGCTCTCGGGAGCCGTGGTGGTCAGCACGCCCCAGGACATCGCGCTCAAGGACGCGGTCAAGGGCGTCGAAATGTTCAAGAAGATGCAGATCCCCGTCCTCGGCATGGTGCAGAACATGAGCGTTTTCGTGTGTCCCAAGTGCGGCGAGGAGACCAAGATATTCTCCCACTCGCAGTCACATTCCCACGCGGGACAAGGCGGCGCAGAGTCCAAAGCGAGTGAACTGGGTGTCGATTTCCTCGGCGATGTTCCCTTGGACGCCAGGATATGTGCAGACGCAGACCGCGGCATGCCCACCGTCGTCGCGGAGGAGGCGAGCGGCGTCAAGGTCAATACTGGTTATTATGAGAGGGTAGCAGAAAAGGTGGCGACAAAGATTGGCTTGGAGTGGTCTTGATGCATTCTCCATCGGATACATGTACACACATGAGTGAGGGAGATTATCTGTATGAGTATCTGCGGGCCTCGTTCCAGATCGATATATGGAGTAAAATGTGTGCTGTGTACAAATTACTTCGTTATGTGTGATATATACTACAAATATTTTGTTATAACCTGACAGACAAAAGTGTACGGTATCAATCAATAGTCATAATCATCTCTGATTAAATGCCGGCCAAGCGCCATTAACTTGGTGCCAACACAGGCTTTTTGAATTCTTCAGAACTTTTTGTTTTTATGCCGGATTTTCCATGGCTGTTTTGAATGCCGTGTCAGCACGATCGTACAATTTTGGTCTGGCGTCCGTCACGGGGTCGATTGTGCCATTGATGTCGGTGCCGTTCACCATATCCTCCTCTTTCTCTTCGGTACCACTCACCATGTTATCCTTCTTCTTCTCTGCGGCGGCACCCTCATCAGCTTCACCGTCGGGTACTATATCAACGACACCTGCCGCTCTCACAACGGCAGTCGAGCTAGGGCTTCTGAGAGGTTGTAATCGACCCATGCCTTCATCTTGCTGATGACTCTGTAGGCGCTCGATACTTCGATGACTTCTCGGTGTGTCTGATCCACCATGGGGGACTTTCCCATTGATCAAAACATCGTCATCGTCGTCATTATCATCTGAAGTTCGTCGTCCCAATTCACCCGCCAAAGGACTTCCCCGCCTGGCTTTGGGGCCTGCCGAACTCGAATCGTGCGTGGTCGATTCGTTCTCGATCTCCGAGGCGACACCTGCTTCGGCAAATAATGCCCGAGTACTTGCGTCGTCACTAGCGACGCCAATACTCTGACCTGTCTTTATGCTGGCCGAGTCGCCACGCAGATGAGATGCCGCCCTGAACCTGGGAATAAACCCTGCTGACAGGAGCGCCGAGTCAGGAGATGCTCGGCCGTCATGGGCTCCGGGGCTGGTCGTGACGATCGTAGGATTTTCAGAAGCCGTCGTCGTTGATGGTGCCATAGATCGCGACACCGCTAGAGCAGGCAGGAGATGTTGACTGTCGGCTTGGCCCCGATCAGCCACGGAGACCGTTCGCGCGCGGCCTCGTACTCGACTCTCACTCCCCCGCCGCTTCGAGCTCAAGCTCCTTTGCCTCGTAGAACTGCGAGCTCTTGCTGTCGGAGGTACCGCTTCGCCACCGGCTGGCACTTCGTCGACTCGTCCATCTGCGCCTTGTGGTGACGTCGTAGGTATCTCCTGATCCACCTTCTCGACCTGAGATGGGCGGCCCTCTTCCGCCTCCTGCTCTCGCTTGAGAGTCATCTCGTCATGCTTACTTCCCCACATTGACCACATGAATAACAAGTTGCTCTTACGCTTCTTCTTGACTACAAGATCTCGGTCCGTTCGGCGACTGGCAAGAGCGCATGCAGGAGGCCGTTCTCCATCTTCGAAAGCCTTAATCTCTCCATTAGCCAAAGCTCTGATCCGCTCTTTCTGCACCTTCCGGCTGACATGTGCGTATTTGCTATCCCAAATCTTTCTCGCTTCGAGCCACTTTCTTACTGGACCTTGCTTGACCACACCTACTTCATCAGGATGCATCTCGAGCGCTGGCAGATTGTGTGGCTCGGAAAGAGGATAGATCTTACCACCTCGATCTACCCGTTGTCGCAGCATATTGTTCTGAAACGGTGGAAGAGGATCTCCCGCTCGACCGACAAATCCTATTGTCCTGCTTGGGTCGAGACCCTGTTTTGCTGCCACAGCTTCCGAGTCACTATCCGTGGAGGCGGAATCGCTTTCTGTAGAGATAATTGAGATATCGTCATCGTCAAGAATTTCAATGGCTCTCCTTTGGGCTCTTGCTAGAGCCCAAGCTCCAAACTGAGCAATCGATCTGTACATGTATTTGGCAGGTCGTGTGAAAGATAGCGTAGGTGCAACATGACAAAGGTCGTCCCAGACCTGCAATTGAACCGGGGTCGGCCTGTGCTTCTTCAAGATCTGGTCATCCGGGTCATATCGTGATCGGTACGGTTTTCCAAGAGGGTACTTGGCAGGATTTGCCATTTTATGAGCAAGATAGATCTGCTCATCACGGAGTATCTCTCCTCCGCCCGTAAGAATTGATACCGGAGGAAGTCCGCCCAAAGAGGGTTGCAAGACAGGCGACACAAGAGGATGAGCCAACAATTGGTTTGTCGTATACATCTGGATTTGGTCTTTCAATAATACAGTTTTCCCATCGAGCTCAATTGTCAGTGGGAGTTGCGGTCCTGGCGAGACCTCTCCGTCCCCCTCGATTGGGACAGCATTTTTGGGGGCGGAATCCTGGTTCTGATCCTCCACGACCGATCCATCAACACCCTTCGCCAAGGAATTGATCTTACTCACTTCGTCGTCGCTCGGAGGTGGCCACGAGGCGGAAGGCTTGTGCATAAATCCGTGCTCTGGGATGTAGTCCAAGTCGGCATTTCCTGCACAGCTGGGAAAAGAATGCGTCAAATCGACCCATGGTGATATTAGCACTGCCCCAGCAGGCAGGGGTAGCTCTTGGTCACGGAGGAGGCATAGTATCGACACCACCATGCCACCACCTGCAGAGTCCCCGGCTAGAATGATTTCGGATGGCGCATGGAGAGTCAGCAGGTACAAATACGCCGCTAGACAATCCTGGAGACCACATGGGAAAGGATATTGTGGTGCGAGCCTGTATTTGGGCGCAAATACTCGGGCTTGCAATTTTCTGGCGTGTCTCTGCATCTGGTAACGGTGCTCATCGACACTACCAAAAAAATATGCACCACCGTGGATGTAAAGCATAATCCGTCGGCTCTTCACGCCCCCACGCTTTTGCTCGTTGTGATGCGAGCGCATTTCGATCCAATCTGCTTTCAATTCCGTATCGCCTGGCCTCCATTGCCACCATTTTGTGCCTCCTATTTGTTCGATCCCAGTCGGGCCAAGTTGATTCGTGATGGTCCTCGCAGACTTGGTTATGTGTTCTTGGGCGATTGTGACATTTTCAGTCCTAACCCAAGACGGGCTCGGAACCCATTGTCCTGTGAAACTTTGCAAGTCCTCTAGCGTATGATGAGAGGCATAATCCAAGAATCGTCGTATCAGATGGAGGCCTTCGTCGTAGGAAATGTGGGCAGTGGGCTTGTGTCGCCGCGGCTTGCGATTCGCGTACTGTGTGTTTCGTTAGCACATGGATGCGCATCGCTATGGTTTCAGAATTGTCTGTCTCACATGCGCTATACAGGTCTTGACAACAGTTGGAGTGACTGCTGCGCCGACACCGACGGTAGTTATTGGCATGCTGACCTCTCAAATATGCTCTGGGGTACCATAAGCCATGTGGATGTCGTGGTCTTCCTTTGTCGGGTGTTTCAAATACTCGTCTCCTCTTGTCTCGAAGTCAACAGCGTATGAGAGGCTTTATGGCGGCAGCACAACAGTCCAAGCTCATGTCGGCAGAGAGATGCAATGGGTTGTCGAGGGAGGTTGGTTGCCCAATGCTTTAAGACAAAGGGAATAATAGACTGACGATCAGACCAGCGACGCCCAAATTGGCCAATTCTCCGCATTGACGATGATGACATCATTCAGCCTTGTTGACACTCAGCCTCGTCTGCTCATACTTGAGATACGAGTACGAGTACGAGGAGATTCCTAAATAGGACTTCAAATCGTACTCGCATCTAGACTTTGGACAATGACACGTCGAAGTCCAATGGACGACGTGCTCTTAGTCTTTTCCTAGTCAATCAGGGACTAATGCCATGAAACCCTCATCCGTCCTCTGACCACTTTCAGCCCCCTTTCGCTCTCTGTAGGCACCTTGGCAACGCCATGTTTTGATATCTTCTCCGATCCTCGGAACGCACCAGGCATCACACTTATACAAGACTGTCCCTATATATACACGCATGTATTTGGTTTCCAGGCTCCCTGTACCCTCGATGAAAGATTCCTGCTCTACAGGATAAATAGATTTCCAAGCCCCATCCAGCCATGGCCACCGCCCAACCCTCCGTTGCAGTTATCGGTTGCGGAGCTCAAGGCCTTGTCACGGTTAAAAACCTCCTGGAACAGGGCTTCGATGTGACGGGTTTTGAGCGTAATGATTACATTGGAGGGATATGGCACTATTCAACCCTACACCATGTCTCTGCTCTTTCGTCCACGGTTGTCAATATATCCCGAGAACGCGGGTGCTTTACAGACTTCGCATTTCCACCTGGGACAAACTCCCATCCAACAGCTGCGGAGGTCGACCAATACCTCAACAGCTATGCTGATGCGTTCGATCTCCGTCAACATCTCCGCCTCTCCACTAATGTCCAATCTGTCGAGCGGGACGAGGCCAACAACTGCTGGCGTTTGACCGTCCGCTTTCCGAATACCCAAAAACCCGAGGTATTGACGTTCGACAAACTCATCATAGCCAACGGACCACACAACAAACCCGTCATGCCTGAATTACCTGGCCGTGAACTGTTCAAAGGAGAGATCATTCATTCCATCGCGTACAAACAGCCTGAGCTTTTCAAGGGCAAGCGTGTCATGGTCGTTGGAGCAAGTAATTCCGCAGCTGACACATCGACAACGCTGATCGGCATCGCGAGCAAGATATATTTCTCACACCGTAGAGGCGCATTGATCCTGCCTCGTTACCTGAAGGACGGGACTTCGCTAGACCACTCGCTCAGTTACCGGAAGATGGAAATCAAAGACGCCCTCGACCGCCTCGCACCGAGTCTGTCGATCAAGTTCATGGACAATGTGAGTGCTAATATTCAGCGAAAACAGTTTGGGGCCTTCCAGCCTGAATGGCGTCTGGATCCACCTCCCTCGGTCTTGCACCAGAATCCAACTGTGTCCGACACACTCATCCCAGCACTGGCTGCAGGCAAGATCGAATCTGTGCACGCGCCGAAGCGAGTCCTTGACGACCACCGAGTCGAACTCGACGACAGAACTGTCGTCAATGTAGACACTATCATTTTCTGCACAGGGTATTCACTGGACTACTCTTTTCTGGGAAAATATGATCCCACGCGCTCTCTAGACGTCGAGTCTGCCAGAGCTGTGTCAAGCGTCAATCTGACCGAGACGCCGCGCCTTTATCAGAACATATTCTCCCTCGAGTACCCTTCAAGCCTTGCATTTGTCGGCGTTGCCGTCATTATATTTCCTGCATTCCTCCTGTCCGACCTTTCAACCATGGCAATCGCACAACTGTGGTCCAACAAGCCTGACACTCCAACTCTTCCATCGCAGACTAAAATGGAGAATTGGTACTCTGAGCATTTATCGTACGTGAGCACTCTTCGCTCACTCAGCCCGTACGGCAAATTTGTCAAACTGAGTGTTCGTAACGGACCGTGGCATTCGTGGGTTCAAGACACTGCTGGTTGTGAACTGAGCAGCTATCTGGACTTCTTTAGTCCAAGAGCATGGAAATTATACTGGTCGGATCCGAAATTCTCGAAAATGCTCTGTCACGGTGTTTGGTCGCCACATGTGTATCGATTGTTCGAACCGAAAAGGCCAAACGGACGGCAGAAGTGGGATGGTGCAAGAGAGGCTATTGAAAGAGTCAATGCTGATGTTCAAGCCGGAGTGGCGGAGCGTAGGAGGAAGATTGCGGCTGCTCAGTAACCGCACCAAGGCAGCAAATTCCAGTTGTGATCTGATTGAGCAAGCGTTTTGGTTTATAGATCTGTTCTGGCAATTGAGTTTTCTATATTTCCTTCATTTGGACATGCGATTCGTCACCGTTAGTGCAAGGGCGCAATCTAACGCTAAGATTGGCCATCTTGAAACCAAACTCAGCTGGACTGTTCACAGCGTAGACCCGCAAACCATGTCAATCAGCTGCATAGCGCTGAATTCGATTTCATGGCTAATTCATTATTGAAAGCGTCTCTGTTTTTGTGCCTTATGAGGTCACAGTATGGTGCATCAGACGATCCAACAGCCCAACAAATTTTATTTCCAACGATGGACTTGGTATGGGCATTCTCGACCCTCATATGCGTCTGAATGTGTTGCCAGAAGCACTTCTTCGATCTTGCTTCGACACGCCTTCGCTCTTTCTCTCTGGGGCCTTCGACTTCTTGACACTGGGCTCGAATGAAATGACCTTGTCCCCAACAGGACCACTAAGTCTAGAACCGCGCTTAGTGCGTGATATGGGCCGAGCATTCTCTGCCCGAGAGCCGAAGGAGCGATCATGGTGAGGTCGACTTGTGGAGGATTTCGATGTTGAGGATACTTGCATCCGCAGCTGGTCACGCTTCTTTTGCTTCCTCGTTGACCCTCGTCTGTAGTCCGCCGAAGAGATCCTGTCTGTTGTTCGGTACCTACTTCTTCCCTTCTCCTCGTCGGTAACCTCGTCGTCACTTGACCCGGAAAGCTCATCAAGGGCTTCCTCCTCGACGGCAGTGAGCCCCTTCTCTCTATCCAGATTAGAAGCTGGAGCGGTTTTAGTGCTAGGATTAAGCTGCTGGAATTCTCTGGAAGTTTCATCCACCGCGAAATCTTCATCTTGAAACAGTTTAGCAAATCGAGAGTCGGCAAGCAGGCCTTTCTCTTCGGGCTCGGTAGCCTCCGCCGCAGTGCTTTCATCGCCACCTTGCGCCAGAACACGTTGGGCGCGTTTTCTCTCGTTCTTCTCCTCGCGCTCAAGAATCCTCTCGGCCATCTTTCGGTTGACCTTGGCAGCAACCTTTTTCTTTCCACGAATCCTGCTCTCACGCTCCTTGTCGATCTTTTCTTGGACTCGTTTGGCTCTTTCTTCTTCCCAACTAGAGGGATTTGCAATCAACCTAGCCTGGTCGTACAGACCTTGCGCAACAAAGAAGCCGTGCATATACGGCCTCAGAAGATTTGTTTTACCAACAAGATGGTCGAGATTGAGCATACGTAGCTGAGATGAAGTGAGGAATTTGTAGTTGTCATAGACCTCCCCAACCTTTGAACGTGAGAAAGCGTGGGGATCATTTGGATCATCGGCCATTTCTTCGACCACGTTATCGAGAAAGGAGCACCATTTTGGAGCAGGGCCAAGTTGTGGGATGAAGAACGAATGCTGATGACGACCTTCATTTGCCGTCAAAAACATGCCGCTGTCCTTGCACCATGCTACACAGTTGATATCAACCTCCGGCTCCACAGAAGTCCAAGGCGTCCCGTCTCGCTCGTCCCATAATTTTAGGATACGTCGATCTGCTGAGGCGATCTTGGGCTCGAAAACAGTGTCCCGAGTTGCGCTTGACGCGCTCAGATATTCAAGATAGATAATAGGGTATCCGTAACCCTGGTCTTTCTTCAAGGTTGGCACAGGAGATCGTAGATCATATAGATAGATCATGCCAGAAGAGGTGCCAACGGCAGTGCTGATGCCAGACCTGTGGAATTTGAGTGCTGTGACCTCAGGGCGACCATCAAAGTCGGATGGCAGGGCTAGTGTCGCAACCCGTGCTCTCGATCGAGTATCCCAGTATTCGACTGTGCCTATCGACGTTCCAAAAGCGAACAGATTGTGGCTCCCTTCAGCGATTGCTGCTGTATTCACGGAGCCTGCTCCGATGCCTCCTTGTAATGCGCCCCCACCGACAGAATTCAGGTCATCTCCTCCGACATCAACCTCGAAAGCGTTCAAGAAGCGGCCAAGCTCCAGATTTATCCGAAAAGCCTCGCCCATTCCATTGCTGTTGACCCCGACCGCAGGAACAAGCAACTCTGTACCACTCCTATCATATGCAAGATCTCGGCCATATCTTGGTATTCTAAGAGAATCATGGCGGCCTCCAGGAGTGTGAAATTCGATAGACCGGTCTTCTTGGAGGTGCACGGTTTTGGAATAGTCCGACGAGAGAAAAAGGAAGGTTTTGTTAAGTGTGTTCGTATGTCTCGTCCAGGAAAGGGCCAGGTTAGGCAGGTAGTGTGTATGTATTTGTGGCTTGTAAGTGCCTGTGCTCATGGCCCATTCACCATCTTCGCTGATGCGAATACATTGACTCGCCTCCTCGAACTCGAAATCTTGTAATAGTTCTACCCTATTGGCAAACTCCGGATCCTTCTTTCGTTTTTGTTTCTCTGATAGCCAGTCTGGAAGGCTTCGTGAAGTCGAGGCACCCGCAACAGTGTAGACTGGCACCGCACTGTTGGTGAGTCTCATATTTAGGGTCTTAGAGGGTGATGGAGGAGGACATGGCAGGTTGAGGGATATCACCGAGCGAGTTGTCGACTCGAGTCGTATTTTCTGGTATTATAACACAGCGTAAGAGGGCTTTATTGTTCAATAGCAATCCTCATACATACGTACCCGGTGGGTGGCACTCGCTCTTTGCCTGTAGAATTTCTCCAAAATTTAGGAAAAGTCGCAGGCGAGATTTTCCGAGGCTTAGCCGATGATCACGTGCCGAGTTGGAATCGACTCGAAAAGAAACCTCAGCATCTTCGACTTCATCAATGCAGATTGGAGCTGGCCTCTTCTATCCTCTTTTTCATTAAAAACACTCATTGAAAGAGATATTGTTGTTAGATCTACCATTTCCTGTAACAGTCGATTGCATCTCGGACCTTTGATCGAATTAACACCACGTTGGCATAGAAGCTCCGGCTCTAGGCCGTGTTCCCAGAGCATCAACCTTGTACTTTCCCAAGTGCTCAAGATTGTGGACATCGCTTGCATCAGAATCACCTCCTTCGTCATAGAATGCACCGAATCTGGCCTGGACTTCTCTTCTTGTGCTTCAATCAGCACATGATATTGGTTCCGCCGAATGGTTGAAGTAATGGCTACCAATCTTGATTACCCCAGCAATTGCGCCACCAATGTGTATACTCTTGTAGGGGACAGTACCCATGTTCCCCCTACGCTGCTAAATTTCCTCGCAGAATGACTTTGGCGAGATAGCATACATCGTATGTACGGTCGCAACTCCGCCTACACAAGACCCAGCAGCATTTACATCGACACCGGAGGCCACCCTAGCACGGCTCCGGAGAACTGAACGTCAATTCAGGGAAGCTTCTATTCTTGCTGCCCTTGACGTTGATAATCGTCAGCTATTTACCTTTTACAAAAAGGTCGACATTGCAAACGCAAAGGATCAAAAGACCTTGCTGACAAAATTCGGTTATGTCCTTCGTAGCAATACCTGCACGATCGCTTATAAAACGGCCGCCCGCTTGCCAGATTTGATGAAGCCGGACCAAGCACGGTTGTACCGTTTATTCACGACCGCCATCATCTCGAGCATCAAGCTCCTTCCCAATGGTGATTCGACACTACAGCCGTTCGGCCCGAAGCTTTACATTGTTAGGCGGGGTGAGTCTGATACCGAAGTTGATCACTTTGAGCCAAGAAACATCTGGACTCTTTACAGAATAGATGTACAAGTCATTCCGAGCGGCCAGATCGTTCTGACTATTCTGAAAGAACGCCACCACGTATTTCGTCGGGTTCTTGATCTTGGAAAAGAACTTGAGCTCGAGCGAAGTGCAATTCCATGCAACTACCCTGTTTATTTGGCACCTCTAGGGCGTGTGGCTCGCTTAACGAGCAATGCAAATGGTGCTACGTCAACAATCCTCAACTACGATGAAGGACAGGATGCTGTTCCTAGCCATGAAGTCGCCCCTGAGAAGGAGCTATGGAAAGAGGTACTCCCGGCATGGCTGAGCGAGCATACAAATATAACTCTGGACCATGGGAATGTTACGTGGGTGGAAGTGCAAGTCGCAGTTCACGATGTTGAACCGTCTCCAGCAGACAACACCACTGCTTCAAGCCCACCGAGTAGCAAATTAGGGTCAATCTCGTGGAAAACTCTATTATGGCCTTCTAGTCTCTGCTTTACCCTGGACAAAGGACGTACTGGACTGGCCGAAACTTTCGGTGGTAACCAGGATCCTATTCGGTTTGTTCGAGACTGGCTGGTCGGCACTTTCAGCGACAACTCCAACGTCAATGCACAAAGTCACGTCCCCAACATGACTGATTCTGATGATGATGAGCCACTTTTTGCAGAGACTGGCACATTTGATGATCCAGATCATTTTCAGCCCTTTGGGCCACCGGCTTTTCCAGCCAGCCAGGCTGTATATCCAACTCCGCCAGACGCCGTCATGACACATGCCACGCCTGGATTCTCTTCCTTGGACGGGCTCGCAATGACTCCGGCCAATCTGCCCGGAAAGGTGTCAGATTTCATGCGACGTTCTGATGTAGAAATGCAGGACTTTGACGGAATGAACAACGATGGCGCCATGAGTGGTTATTACGACGAAGATCTCTTCGAGGAGATGACGGAGGATCAATTCGAACAAGGCAACGCAGCCGACGAACCAAACTGGGATTTTTTTGATCGTCCTGGAGTTGATCTTAAACCAAGGTCGGCGGAGGATGCGGGCGTGAAGGATGCCGATACTGCAATGCATGATATTGGTGACAACAATGACTCCAAAGTACCATTACATGAGAATGTGAATGATGAGAAGTACACAGAGCAGTCTGGCGTACTAATCTCGCCTTCAGAAAGGATTGATTACCATCAATCTCTGGGTCCGACGGACCAAACCGAGATGGTTGGGTCCAGTGAAACTGGTAATCTTGAGCGCGTTAAGCTGCAGACAACGCAGGCGGCGGCATTGGATGGCGGGCAATATAAATCTAGAACAACGGCTGCTCGTCGTCGGTCGAGCATCTACGAAGAGGTCCGGCCACCTGGAAGATCGTCTCACCATGATGACAAGTATACTGCCAACGGTGGATTCTGGTTCGATCCTAATCCGGTAGCTGTCTCTACTAACTCCTCGCTCAAGCTTTTGTCGGTAATACAACGCTCGGCATCAAGCTCCTCCGAGGATGACGAATCAAGTGACGGTGATTCTTCTTCGCCAAATCAAATATCCAGTGGCAGAAAAGCACTCGTTCCTTCACGCGCATGGACAGAGTATCATCCAGGATCTCCAATGACCGTGACCCATCAAAATGAGTATGACAAGGCCACAGCTGAGACAGACATCAGACAGCTACTCGAAGTTCTCAAACCTGTTGCGATACAACCCACACCTATCATAGATATCCGTACGACGAATCATGTCTTCCGACCCGATGAGACGCTCGATCAGAACCTTCTACAAATTGCCCAGATCTTGGTGGATCAGGTCTCTCAGACTTCTTTGATCTCTCATGCAGATCAAGACAACAAGCACAAAGTACTAACCGACGACCATATCGACATTATTGCCGATCTTGGAGTGCTCGGTAGCTCTTCAAGCCCCATGACTCTCTCTCAGCTAGTCTTGATGAAAGCAGACACTCCCAATGTGAGACCCCAAGGGAAGATTTCCAAGTTGCAACCGAACCAGGTTCGCATGAAACGCGCCGATCAGCCACTTGTGGCTTCTTTGCCAATCCTGAGTTTCTGGGATACTCTGAATCTACAACCTGCTCACGGCCTCAAAGACGCCATAGCCTTTTGCGTCCATCCCGAAGGTGAAGATGTGGCAGACGGTTGCTCAAACCTTTTGCAGAGAATGTCCGATACGTACAACACCTGTGCACTAGGACTACATACTGTGGGTCGCCTCAGTGGCATGGCTGGTGACGGGAGAGTTTCGTATTACAGCACAGCAGAGGCATCATCAAATGTCCGTCAAGTTTGTCAAAAGATGGGAAGCACGCTAGCAGCAGCTAGTGATCTGACCGGCACAGTGCTCATATACATGATAAGTCAAGACGACAGTCCGGCCGCGTATCTTGAGATGTGTAAGGCTTTCAATTGCCTATTCGAATCATTTGCAGCCAATACGGATAGGAAGAGTATTACGGATATGGCGTTGCAAATAATCCCCAGGAGTTTCGTGGCCAGCCCCGCGTCGCTGGTTGTGCCCCCTCAAGCAGCATACCTGAAGCTGGCTCTCGAGGTGTACAATCGACTACCGCCAATAGATAATAGTCGTTCACCGGCCGCATGCGATGCTGCCATTACTTTGGCAAAGGTGGAGAATCCTGTTCATCTGCAGCTTGCCTCAACTTTCGCTTCCCCACTATCTAACAATGGCGATTATCTTCATCTTGCGTACTCGATGACCCCCGACGGCCGGTGGATCGCGGCGGCGTGGACAGATGAACAAGGACGTATATCCCTCAGCATGTCGTACTGTACCCGCTGGAAGGACTCGCGCCAGGTACGACCGCGACAAGAAATCTTCAAGGAAATGTGGCTTGTCTCTCATGATCTCATGGGCAAGAATAGGGGACTGTGGCGTCTCGCCATTGTCAAACACGGCTTCTACATGCCTCTGGAGCTGCAGGAATGGCGTCAGGTCTTTGAGAGTTCAACAACAACCCAGAAACGGTGTTCGCCCATGCTTCTCTCAGCACATCTCGAATCCATGGTGAAGGTGTTCCCGCGTACAATCACGGGCAAGTTGGTGCAGACGGGACAAAACGTGTTTGGCACTCCTGTGTCAACCCCACAAGCAGGAGTGACGTCGCCCGATCAGCATATTCCCGCGACACCTACTCCTGGTGGTACTGCCGTGATTAATGCTCCCACGCCTCCAGAACCTGGCTTGGATCCCAATGTTGAACTTGACCTTACTCTGCTGGACCCTGCCGAGGAAAGTTGGGGGATTATCCTACCGTACGGGTTGAATCAATCGAAGAACATGATCGAAATAAGGCCAGCGGTAGTGAGTGCTGTATTGCTTAAGCGACGAGGCCCGAAAATTGAGGAGGGATTCAATTCACTCGAAATCAGTCTTGTGTATTTAGCATCCCAAGCAGCGGTCGGTTTCGGTCAGACCGCGCCGGACGATTTGTTGGAGGATGTCATCAAACAATATCGGGGTCTTCTGACGTTAGGAGTATCGCGAGGATGTGTCGATCCGTTGAAGGAAAGTCTTCCGTGGCATGTCGCGACTGTGGCCCGAGGAAGCAGAGCACTGGGAGAGGTTCTATGATGACGTGGGATGTACTACGTATAGAGAGCTCGATCGAAAGACAGGGTCTATGAAAGTCCACGAGGTCCAAAGGCCCTCTTTCTCGGTATAGTATAAACAGTCAACAGCTAACAACCAACTAATGAGGTAATGAAAACTATGGTCACGTTCCGATACTCGGAAGACATGTTGTTGACGAGTGCCAAATTAATGATACATCCATGTATTCGTACTCATTGAGCTCTCGGGCAGAATTAACCGCATATGGAAAGCTCCGATTGACCACGGCACAAGGCTTACGACTTGCTGGCTTTTTGTTGTGACGACGGCCTTTTCTTGTGCGAGCATTGTACTGTCGACACTCATACTTGTAGTTTCAACATCTGGTAAAATAAAAGAGCAAAGATGCAATGATCGAGGAATGATTCAAAAGATTGTCGATCGTCGCACCAAGTTTCCTTGTATCTGATTAGATCTCTGATTAGATTCGACAGTGCTTGGGCATCGTGATGTTTTCGTCACTCGTCTGTCACTCTTGGACAGTCCTGTGTACCGATATTCGTACAGTATTGATCAAAGGGTCCGTGGTCCCGCTTCATTTCTCAAAGGGAGACTATTCCCAGTCTAACGGTCCCGATCGATCTCTTCCTGACCCTCTCCGAGAGCTGTGCCAAGGATTCATGGGCCATGGGCATCGCATCGCGGGTCAGTCCAAAAGGCGCTATGATGGTTTCCAAGACGCCAACTGAGCGTTTTTCATGAGATTTTCTCTAATGGTGTCGACTTGGCATTGGGGTCGATGGTTTTTAGGTGACATTGATTTGACTGATGGTGGGAAAATTTTTGCATCAGATAAGATAACAGCCAATCGCCCTTGATTATCAGCCAACATCGCTCTCCACCATCTTCAAAGCTCGTCGTGGCCAATGTTCTGGGCAATCAACAATACTGTACCGGGCCGTCCTGGACTCCGATTATTGTTCTTGCCTCGTTCCCTCTCAAGGTCCCTTATGAGCTCCATACCCTTGTCTTTCTCGGAGCCACCGATCGGGTCTCCATCTCTATGCCAACGGACCACTCAACATCGTCCGGGAACACTGTACAATGAACCCGGTACAGGTGTAGAAGAACACTATGACCCGGCACTAAGACTACGTAGGTCTGGAGGTAGGTGGTACACCCTAACATAAAAGAAATCCCTTCTCTGCCTCTCATCTCTCTTCCTCTCCCCTGCTCAAGGAAAGTCTCTCGGTGAGTACTACACACACACAAGACAGCACACCATCTTTGTCGTTGTGTTTCCCTCACCATGTCCCACTCCGACGACTCCCAGACGACAAGGGGTCAAACGACACTACCAGAGGATCACAAGAATCCTTTCGGTGACAACCACCACCATGCTGGTCCCAACAAGGAGATCTCTGCCCAAGGAGGCTCCCGCCGAGACTCGATTCTCTTGGTCGGCGACAAGTCACCCGGTGTCGCTCGCATCGAAGCCATCGGTGAGGTATTGACCTTGACCGACCGTATTTTCTTGTTCATCGGAGTCTTCCTCGTCGCCTACGCTTACGGTCTCGACGGTACAGTCCGGTACACGTTCCAGACGACGGCGACGGCCTCAATGGGTGAACACTCACTCCTCGCAACCATCAACGTCCTCCGAGCCGTCATCGCCGCCGCCGCACAACCGACGGGGGCCAAAATTGCCGACGTTTTCGGTCGTCTCGAGTTGGTTTGCGTTTCGGTCTTCTTTTATACCGTCGGAACCATCATCGAGGCTTGCGCCACAAATGTGTCGACGTTCGCCGGAGGGTCTGTTCTGTATCAAATCGGGTACACCCTCATAATCCTCCTCGTCGAGGTCATTATCGCCGACATCACGTCCCTCCGAGCACGTTTATTCTTCAGCTACATCCCAGCATTACCCTTCATCATCAACACCTGGGTTTCCGGAGACATCACCCAGGCCGTCCTCGAGGTCACGACCTGGAAATGGGGTATCGGCATGTGGTGCATCATCTATCCCGTATGCGCTCTCCCCTTGATCATCACTCTTGCGGTCGTGGGCCGTCGGGCCCGAAAATCCGGCGTCCTCGACAAGTACCAATCCCCTTTCCAACAACTCGGGGCTCGCAAGTTGGCGGTCAGCTTGTTCTGGACCCTTGACATGGTCGGCATCGTCTTGCTCATCGCGGTCTTTGCGCTCATCCTGGTTCCTTTGACCATCGCCGGTGGACTTTCCACAAAGTGGAAGGAGGCTCACGTCATCGCACCTCTTGTCATTGGTATCTTGTGTATTCCTTGCTTTGTGTTTTGGGAACTCTGGGCCCCTCACCCTCTGGTTCCCTTTGACTTGCTCAAAGACCGCGCCGTCTGGGGAGCTCTCGGCATCGCCTGCACTCTCAACTTCGCCTGGTACATGCAAGGTGATTACATCTACACGGTTTTGTCTGTCGCTTTCGATTTCAGCGTCAAGGCTGCGACTCGGGTGTCTTCATTGTACAGCTTCACCTCCGTCATCACGGGTTTCGTGTTGGGAATGATCGTCTACAAGGTCCGAAGACTCAAATGGTTCATCGTCGCGGGTACTTGCCTGTTCATGGTCGCGTTTGGCCTCCTCATCCACTACCGGGGTTCACCAAGCTCGAGCGGCAAGTCTGGGGTCATCGGAGCTCAAGTCCTGTTGGGATTCGCGGGTGGTATGTTCCCTTACCCTGCACAAGCGTCGATCCAAGCCGCCACCAAACATGAACACGTCGCCGTCATTACTGGCTTGTACCTGGCCACCTACAACATCGGCTCTGCCTTTGGCGGTTGCGTGTCAGGAGCCATCTGGACAAACGTCCTCCCTGCGACCCTCGAGGACCGCCTGGCCCCGCTGGGCAACTCTACCTTGGCAGCCTCGACCTACGCCAACCCCTTTGGGGTCATCGCGGAATACCCAGTCGGCACTCCCGAGAGGACCGCCATCATCGCCGCCTACCAGCACGCTCAAAGATTACTTTGCATCACCGGTATTTGTCTCGCCGTTCTTTTGATAGGGTTCTCTCTGTGTCTTAGAAATCCCAAGCTGGGTAATGAACAGAGTTTACCCGATGCAGAGGAGAATGTTGTTCGTTGAAGAAAGGAAAGGACAGCACGGCACAGTGCACTTTCTGTTGTTTGGTGGGCATCAAAACCTAGTCTTCCCCTATGCCCATGTCACAGTCAAGGACTACTGATTGTCGTATTCGTAAATGGTTGAATTAAAAGTGTATATATCATTTGGGTTGTGTGTGTGCATGTACATTATATGAAATACCCAGGCATTAATCATGATATGAGATTTACTTTGTTTTCGAATACATATACCTTATGCACCATCACCTGCGACAGTACTCACACATAACACATTATCTATCTAGGTACTCCGTACCTCTGTTTTAATCTACGTCATTATCGAGAGAATTGATCGTGATACTACCGAGTGACATCCCCCCATGCTTACTGGTTGCCAGACAATGTCGACCAGATGGCGGAGTACTGGATATCAATCTCCATATCCAGGGTGTGATTATAACACCTCGCATTGTCGTCCATATCCTTTGCTGAGCTGGAATCGGCGTGGGAAGTGAAAAACATTGTGAAAAGGTTTCGAGACATCCAGACGCATCTAAAACGACAGCATGATGGCATTCCGCATTACATCCCTGCATCTCACCTCGGCAAAGAGCAAGACCACAGCCTCACTTCCTCCCTCTACGTTCTAGATGGGCCATTATCACCATGTCGGGCGCTTGGAGGAAGGAGAAGAGCGACAAGGGCCTCGGATAACACCTATTGCATCTGGTTCACAATCATTTCTTTCAGCTTGCGCCCGATTCCTGGCAAGGGGTCCCTCGGCGTGACAACACACACAACTCTCTACATAATTGGTTTGACTCAATGAACCAATTCAACTCAACACATGCTCAAAAAAGGTGTGGAACATTCCTCTCCCCCTCTCACCTCACATCTCCCCAATCCTTTTTCCAGCTTCGTGCATTAGCGCAGTTCAGCCGCTGGGCCAGTCAGCTCGGACCAGCATGGAGAGGCGCATGCTAACCCATGCAAACATGGTACGGTGATTGTGGCAGGATTCCATGCGACGCTCATCAGCCCCCAAAGATGCGACTGGAGGACTTCCCAACACCACACCGGTCGGTGATGCCGTTGGAAAGCCGCTGTAGAAAACCCCCGGAGGAGAAGACTGACCGCATCACACTGCACCATTCGTCAATCGTTTCTGCATCAAAAATCCCTTTTCGGAACCCCAGGCGTCTCTGTAAAGCATCAAAAAGTTCAGTTCGCTAAGGCTACGTCCGAAAAGTTTTAGGTCGTGCAAACATGAACAAAGTATGGGCCGACCAAGTCTCAACTTCTTATACCTCACAACTCACCTTCGTCTCACACCTACAACAACATTGACATATCCAAAATGGATGACAGCGGTCCTCTATATAATGTACGCATGAAGCGTGGACAGGGATATAATTCATACATCCAAGAAGTCCGAATAGACAATGCTGTCACAATCACCAGACTTGACGAGCATGCACCGACCTCGGGCGGCACCAGCAGTAGTGATGCCGACACAGTCACGGCAGGGAACACGACGACGACGACTAAGGCGTCGACATCCAATGCGCCCTCACAACAAGGTCTGGACAAAATCGATATCATTGCCGCCTTTCAGGAAAGTCTGAAGAGCATTATGGCGACGGCCGAATCAACACCACCACCACAACAAACAAAACTCCTCCCGTACTTACTGAAACTCGACCCGAATGCACGACATAATCAAACAGTGACGTTCTCGTCCAAGCAGGTCAAGAGCGTCCTCGAGATGAACAACGCCATGGGCTTCAATGCGTCTGCGGCCATCAAAGCCACCAGCTTGGGTCCGGGAGCAGAAGCTGGTGCCAGCCTCGCGACGAGTTCCGACCTTGGAGCCAACGACGTCAATTTCCTCGTGCATGTCAAGGTGGTCAATGAAGTCGACGACCGCAAAGAAGAATGGTCGTTCAACGAGGTAGCAAGTCTCAACAAGGTCCTCGGCGGCGACGAGAAGGACGAACACGCCCGCAGTGTCCAGTTCACCCGCATCTATGGAGACTGTTTTGTCTCGGATTTTGTGGAGGGTGGCGAGATGTATGCGTGGATCGGCATCAAGTCGCTGGACCGCAAAAACTCGAGGCAGTTGGCCATGCACGCCTCGGCGCAACTGACGCCCATGGGCCTTCCGGTGCAGGCCTCGGCGGAGTCGAACATGTCCCAGGAACGCGATCGGCTCTTTTCACAGGCCACGACGTCGATCCGTATCCAGTGGCGAGGCGGCGGACAGATCAAGAACCACGATTTCCCCTGGGGCATGGACAATCTGGTCCTGATCGCCAATGCCTTTCCGTCCATGGTGGCCGCCAAACCGGCCAAGATCCGCGCCGTGCTGACACCGTATGCGGCGCTGAAGAGTTTCCAGGACCATCGGCTGGCCAACCCACAGATCCCCTTGCCGCTGACGTACGACCACTGCGCCATCTACACCAGTACCCTGTACGAGGACTTTATGGCTTTCCAAGAATTGTGTGAAACGCTCAATGACATGATTCGTGCTCCCCAAGGTTATCGAAATCGAGACGGCGACAAGACAAGGAAGGACAATCAAAAGGCTTCTGTCCTGGTGGAAAGGATCACAGAAGTGGCTGACACTGTACCGCCGACAGCTAACGACGCGGGCTCATCTCCGGGACCGGGCAAGAAGACACGTGCACTCATGGACCTGGACGCAATACTCTCGGACTCGACTCGCAAATTGGCCAACATGGACCCCGAGCCACACAAGCTGAGCATGATGAGGCTCCTGTGTCGTTCGTCGATGATATATATTCAAGAACAGGCAGCGGCGTTGGTCGTCGATCCCGCGCGATCCATCACCAACAAAGACAAGCACGGGCGGCACGTGTATAGTCTTCCAAAATACGTCTGTCCGGGGGTCATTCAGAGCATTCTTCCCGTGCCCAGATACGACAACAGTGGTGGCGATTGGCGGGTCAAGGAGCTCGCCGACTTGTGTGCTGCGAAAAACATTCTCAGCGACTCATTGAATTACTGGTGGGATGTCATTGGTGAATCCTTGTCTCGGTACAGGAGGTACGAACACTTTGCGATGGGGAACTTTGACCTCGATGATGAAGAGTTCCCCCAGCGCGTTGCAGTACAGCCCTTTGGATCAAGATGGTTTCATGGCCGTCGACTGAAAGATAGTCACAATGCCATTGCCGGAATCGGGCTCGGATACGCGGACAAGAAAACAACATTCAATGTCAATACCCAGACCGTCGAGGGCACTGAGGTCCGTGGACTCAAACAATCCAGCGCAGAAGAGCAGGCGTCAATGTTTGCAAACATTTTCGTTGGGTCCAAGCCGAGTGCAGAGAGGTGGAAGCAGATCGACGAAGGCAGTCTGAGTGCTGCCCCGATCAATCTAGTGAACGTGTATTACCTCCCTGGTACTGGTAGAATTGCAGGGATCGAGTTTCTCTCGGACCCGAACGTGACAGAGTTCAGTGACAGCTCGACAAGAGCGACGAGGGTGTTTGTTCACAAGGCTTGGAAACAAGGTGTAAATGCAGACAGTGTCGAGGTGGAGGATTTGCCGGACGAGATGGAGTGCCAGAGCTTGTTCCCGGGAGATGGCCTGTCAGGAGACGATGTTGATAAGACTTGGATGTTTGCTGGTTTGGTCGGGGCGTTCGAGAAGACTGGGATGGTAGGGAGTGTCGGTGGCAGAGTGTTGGCCAAGGTGGCGGTAGTTTGGAAGAGACGCCCGGGGACTTGACTCGGATAAATGAGGGTATTTTCGTTGGATGAAGCAAGTATTGACCATGTTTGTTATACTGTGATGTACTGTGTTGTAAGTGGTAAGTATACAAGTAATTCTCTGGGTACAATATCTCCGTACAATTACGAGTTGAATTGACGTTGTCGCATAAATATCCATGACGTCGATGCTGAATTGTCGAACCCCCTCGGTCGATCAAAGTCAAATACTACAACTCAGAGAGAGTCTGGATGATGGGAATTGCTTCTGTCTCTGTATGCGATCAGGTAGAATATTTGTTTTCTGCTTCCTTGGGCATTATTCCTATCAAACCAAATACATCCCAGGCATAACTCGGAGCCCGGATCGTCAATCACCATCATCACTTTAATCCCAACTCCACCGTCGCGTCTACCGTATTTGTTGGCACTGTCTGTCTCAGTCGCGTCAGTCTTCCCCCTTGATCGAGAATAAAAAAGGACTCAAGAAGCCATGGACCATTCTCATTTCATACATTGCATGAACAATTCACAACTAACAGACACCATGGCAGGGCGGATATCGTAGTACAATACCACTTCTCCCTCTTCCCCTCCACCTCCATCGTACGAAGCAACCATGTCGGCCATCGTTCCTACACGAACAAAGACGATGTCGGAGTCGGACGATGATGCCATTCCCGACGGTGATCCCACGAGCACGGCTGGTCTCCTTGGGGAGCGTCTGCAGGCCTGGAAACATATGGTCAAATATCTCGAGGCATACGTTTCCGCAGTTGCAAAAGATCAAAATAGCCGGGCCAAAGACCAAGAGAAGATCTTGAAGACAATCTCGAGCCCCCTGCGTGAAGCACACCATTTTGACAGCGCACTTGGTGGCATCTCAAGCTTGTTCGACAACATCCGCGCCAATACGCAGGCCCAGACAAACCTCTACATCGAGACGAGCAAGAGTCTGACCGGTTCGGTCCTTCCCATTCTCGAGCGGCTGCACCAGGAGATCAAGAACAAATCAAAGGAGCTGCAGAACGGTGCAGGCAAGGGTTCTAAAGCTGTAGAGGCAGCGCGCGCAGCTTCCCAGAAGCACATCGATCTGCTCGGGACCCAGGCTTCTCATTTCGACTCCAGCGGCGGCGGTGCCAGTCGAATGTCCGCGGCTCACGACCCGTACGTGCTCAAGAGGCAAACGTTGAACCGCCTCAACAAGCAGATACTGGATGAAAACAACAACCGCCAGGATCTGATCGCTGTCCAGAATTCCTTCCAGCAATTCGAGGCCCATCTCATCACCACCGTCCAGTCGGCGCTGAACACGTACAACCAGTTCATGAGCACTCTCGCAGACCGCCAGAAGGCCATGATCGAGGACATCGCGGGCACTGCCGCAGCTATCCCGCTCGATTTCGAATGGCAAGGGTTCGCCAAACGCAACCAACATGTCCTTGTCAACCCGAACGCCGCCCCCAGAAGCATGTCTGGTGTTTCGTTTGCCAATGATAACCACCGTGCAACCAAGGCCTTGATCGAAGGATCATTGGAGCGCAAACCTCGTGGTGTAGGTGCCATCAGAGGCTACACCAGCGGATACTACGCCGTGACCCCTGCGGGTTTCTTGCACGAGTACAAGGACAATGAGAATTTCCTCAAAGACCCCGTGCCTGAGGTCTCTCTGTTCCTGCCCGACTGTGTGATCGGGGCGGTCGACGGAACAAAATTTACCATCAAAGGCAAGGATTCGTCAGGTAGCAAGATCGGCCAGAAGATGGCCATGAGCCACGATTTCCAGTTCAAAGCGCATACGAACTCGGACGCACAGCAGTGGCATACGATCATTGCCAGCTTCGCCAATTCAGGAGGAAGCGTGCCTACGTCGCCAGGCGAGGGACAAAAGATGTTCCCTCTCAACACGGCCGTCAACGACCAGCAAACGACCGGGGTGACTTCGGCGACCAGCCCACAAAGCGCGAGGACCGCTACGAGTGCAGCGACGGCAACGACGACACCCGCCTCTGCAGGGACTTTCCATGGGTCCCCGGCTTCACATAATCTGGAGGACAGGAAGTATGTGGAGTCGCAAGCGGATAAACCTTTGTCCCACGAAGGTCTGGAGCGTCAGGCAGGTCACGTTCCTGCCAGCAAGTAGGACGCGCTGGAGACGTTTGGTTATGAGTGGCGTTGATCTGAAGCGAGAAGCCGTCTCTTTATCTTTGCTTCTTTTCCCATTCTTCCCTTGACTCACCTTTTTGCCCTCGAACGAATAATCAATATGGGCCCGTCTTTGAAGAATCCTCTGGCCTTCTGCAATGATGGCAGATGGCAGATGGCATATTGCTGAAAGAAGATGGAAATCTTTTTATTTTTGATACCCCATACCCCCATACCCAACGCCGATACCACAATTCATACCTACCTGTACGGGTACAAGTATATGGAGGAATTGCCAGTACCAGGTTTAGGCAGATTAGCTCTTGCCTCGATTCTACTCCGTACAGTAATACGATATTGTATTCGCAATCCTCTGTCTCCCAAAGTCTGGAATGAAGAATGTTACCATCATACGTGCCTGGTGGATGATCAATTTTTTGGGCTTCTTCTCGAGGTCCCGTTTCTAAGCACCATTTCCATCCCATCCTTGTTATCATCACCACCGTCAATCTCGTCGTCGTCCGGTACAAAATTGAAGCCCACCAGGCCGCTCTGCGGAGGGACAAACTGTCTCAACCCGACACCGGCCTCGTTCAGAATTTTCCGGCTGGCTTCGTCCATGTTGTAAGTTTGGCTGTAGACGACCTCCTTGACACCGACCTGGGCGATCTTGACGCTGCAAGTGAGACAAGGGCAAGTGTCGCAGTACAGGATACACCCTTCCCGGATGCGCTCGCGGCCTGCCTCGAGAAGGGCATTTTCTTCGGCGTGAAGACACAGACAGGTCGACAGAGCCGAACCCCCCGTCGAGGCCGAGTTGCACCGAGCGCAACCACCTTCGTTGCAGTTTCTCAGATTGCGAGGCGTTCCGTTGTAACCCGTCGAGATGATGCGGGAGTTGTGGACCAGCACACAACCCACGCGGCGCTTCATGCAGTTGGACCGCCGGGACGCGAGGTGGGCCAAGGTCATGAACTGCAAAACATTAGGTTTCAGCGTCAAACGAAACTCTGGTCGTGGACAAGGGAGGGGACCGGGGGAAGGAAAGAATTAAACAAAAAGATCAAAAAAGCCACAAAAACTGAGTATTACTTACGTATGCGTCCCATGTAGGACGAAGACGGTCAGGAGATGGTAGGTCGAGCGTCGAAAGAAAAGTAGAGTAACTCCTGACACTGGAGTGAATGTTGACAATGTGTAAATGAGAACGGGAAGTGAGGTGGATTATTCCCGAAGTGAATCCTGACGATGAGGAAGTTTCGGCGGCAGAACCATGGTGAGCTTGAGTCCCGTATAGGTGGAGATCGTTGTAGTGTATAAAGTCGGACAAGGGAAGAGGTTCAAGTCTTCGGTGATGGCAACTATATAATCATCAAGTCACGTCAGTTTGGTAGACACTTTTTCAGATTTAAAGATATGGTCCACGACAATAAGAGCAGTCCCTCGTGGTCCTTGACTTTCGTATCGTCGTCATCCTTGATGAGTAAAAACAAAGGCAGATGGAGGACACCTTGAAAAGGGGGATGGGGGCCTACCGTTCGCTGAATCGTTGGTACCTCACTCCCACAGGCGCTTCGACATTGAGTAGCATGAAGAATGGTCGTCTGAGCAAAAGTTCCAGTGTGGCTTCGTCGTAAATGTCCGTCAAAACCCAATGTTCTCGCCACCGTTTCGTGACGAATTCCAGTAGGCCCTCGACGTCAGGAAAGGTGAGGCCTCTCGTGCCCTTTTGATCCGTGACGCTGGGGAGTAGATGTGCAAAAGGTTCGTGTCTCGAGTTGGTGTCCTTGCCATTTGTAGTTGATAGATGCTGAGCTATGGCGGGCTGTAGTTGAGACGGTGTCGGCAGATGTAGGCGTAGAAATCCATGATGTTGAACCAGATATTCTGCTGTCGTATGTTTGCCGGAGCAGATTGGGCCAGTGATGCCGATGAGCATCTTTGAGGTTGTCACAGGGATTTTGATTTTACAGTCCCCATGAAGTTTCCTGTGACAAGAGCGGTACAGTGTCGAGGTTCCTTGGCTTCAGGAAGAGTAGAATGTGTTTACAATCAGTGTACTTCAATGGTCGGTGTGTATGGATTTGGACTTCTACAACAAGAAAACACTCGAGACGCGTAAAGTGGTCATTTGACTCGACAATTTCCACTAATTACATAAGTCAAATGACATGCGTTCATCCCTCGGATATTGTGACTTGTTGGTCTATTAACACTAGATTAAGAACATCAGCAACTCCATCCACACCCTCTTTACATCTGACTTGTGATTGTGCCTGGCCACATGGCAGCCTTGTTTCGTTGACCAAGACACACCCACGTTCAACATCACAAACAGCCTGATCGGATCTTGACTTCTTCACTCTTCATTTCCTTGAATCATTTCAATCGAGTGAATCCACCGGCACAAGAGATTCCAACAACAACCGCCACTCAAACATTTATCCCTCGGGAGGCTTTTCCCGAGATGCAGTACGTCCCATTCGCCTCCGACATTGAAATTCCATTCTACGCTTCTTTGGCCTCACATAAAATCAACCATGACAAACTCGACGACTCGGCCCGGAAAGTGTTGGGCCTATACGAGATTCGTCCCGCCGACTCCAAAGAGCACTCATGTCGGATGCAAGTCCATGCCAACGCTCTGACGAGCGACGAAGTCTCGCCCGGATACTATCGCGGTGAGGGCATGATCAAGAATGTCAACACGATCGAAGAGTATCGCAACGTGGATAAACTTCACATGATACAACAAGCCGGCAAAACCATTTGGGACTCCATCAACGATGGAACAATCTACTCGTGCCCATCTCTACTCGCCTCGTTCCTCATCTTGTCGTTTGCGGACCTGAAAAAGTACAAGTTCCATTACTGGTTCGCCTTTCCAGCGTTGGTCATGGATCCGCCATGGACACCGGTCGAGCACCAAGGCGCCGTACCCAAGCCCGAAGGCAGTCTGCCGTACACGAAGCTGAACTCCCTCGAGAGCAGTAACCTAGCTGACGCAGTAACGGCATGGCGATTTGGGGTCGACTCCCGTCAATTCGGCTTCTTTCTCGCAAAGAAAGACCACGGCTACAAGACAACAGCACCAGATCCCGAAAACGACGACGACCTCGGGCCTCCATCACCACGGTCACCCGAGACGCCTAGCACGAGGCTCGGGTACCGATGGCACATTGGATCCCTGTCGAGTTTTGACTCAGGATTCTTCGACCACACCAACGCCGAAGATCAGTACATTTGTTTTGCAGACCCTTCCAACTACACTGAACCAGGTCCCGTCGCTCCAGGATGGATGCTCCGAAACCTTCTCGTGCTGGTCCGTCAGCGTTGGAAACTATCAAAAGCCCAGATTTTATGCTACCGCGAGATACCCTCGCGAAAAGACGCGGCCAGGAGCGTCATTTTTACCATGGAAGTCTCCAAACAGGGCAAGTCGGCCAAATCCGCCGAACCTGCTGAGTCGTCGATGCCCAAAGTCGTAGGCTGGGAGCGTAACGCGTTCAACAAACTCACGGGCCGCATGGCCGATTTGACCGAGTACATGGACCCCAAGAAATTGGCAGACTCGAGCGTCGACCTGAACTTGAAACTCATGAAATGGCGCATCAGCCCCAACCTCAACCTCGACAAGATCAAAGACACAAAATGCCTCCTCCTCGGCGCGGGGACGTTGGGAAGCTACGTCTCACGGAATTTGATGGGCTGGGGCGTTCGCAAAATCACCTTTGTCGACAACGGCAGTGTGTCGTTTTCGAACCCTGTGCGGCAACCCCTTTTCAACTTTGAAGATTGTCTCGAGGGTGGCAAGAAAAAGGCCCTCTGTGCGGCGGACGCATTGAGACAGATATACCCCGGCGTCGAGAGTCAAGGGTACGTACTGTCTGTTCCGATGGCAGGTCACCCTACCACGGACCCGGAAAAGTCCAAGGCGGACTTTGAGCAATTGAAGCAACTCATCGACGAGCACGACGTCGTCTTTCTCCTAATGGACACTCGAGAGTCGCGATGGCTACCTACCGTGATGGGAAAGGCGAGCGGGAAAACCGTCATGAATGCAGCGTTGGGCTTCGACACGTACGTCGTCATGAGACACGGTGTCGTCGCCAATGCTGGTGCTATTACAGGCGCCGGACACGAAGGGTTGGGCTGCTACTTTTGCAACGACGTTGTCGCCCCCGCGGACTCGATGAAGGATCAGACTCTGGACCAGCAATGTACGGTCACACGACCGGGGATCGCGGCCATCGCGTCGGCCTTGCTCGTCGAGCTGCTCGTCTCCATCCTCCAACACCCCCAGGGCCCCGCGGCGCCGGCGTCCCTGTCGGCCTCCGAGGACCGGGGAGAGCACCCGCTCGGCCTGGTACCCCACCAGATCCGCGGCTTCTTGTCCACCTTCACAAACATGAACATCGCCGGCAGGGCGTACGACTGCTGCAGCGCCTGCTCGCCCAAGATCCTCGACGCCTACGCCTCGGAGGGGTGGGACTTCGTGCTCAAGGCGCTCAACGAAAAGGACTACGTCGAGGAGCTGAGTGGACTGAAAGAGGTGCAGAGGGCCGCCGAGGCCGCGGCGGCCGACATGGAGTTCAGTGAGGACGACGAGATGGCGGGTGGTGACGACGACGAGGGTGAATTGATCTAAAGTTCTCAAACATACTGGGTAAAGAAAAGGGGAGGAATTGTCTCCCAATAACGAGTCGGGAGGGTAAGGTCTGAACGGAGTATGCGTATGTCTCGACATGGCTTTTTGGTATTGGGTATATTTGGTGATGAATCTACGTTCATTACGCCGGCAGCAGCCTGCCGGCAATGATCTCCTATCTTTGATTGATCCTTCCTAAGGACCTGCAAACACAGCGTCCCTATCGACCTTGGCGAGCCTCTTGACACCAACAAAGTAGGCCTCTTTGGATTGACTTCTCGAGCTCTCGGGCTTCTCGCGATGAACCTTGTGGAACATGGCCTTGAGGCTCTTTTCGAGAGCCTTGTCCTCGGCACCCTGGTAGAACTTGCAGACAAAGTGTCCGCCGACCTTGAGCGTTTCGTAACTGAACTGTAACGCGGCTCTACAGAGGTCCTATACCAAAGCACATGAGTGTCAGCGTCAGCGTCAGCGTCAGCGTCAGGCAAACAGAGAAAACAGGGCAAAAGGCAAAAGCCGATGTTGAAAACGTACCATACTACCAGCGTGATCTCGGAATGCATTCCCACTTGTATTCATCAACCTGTAATACGGGTTACTGATGGTCCTTTTGTACAGACCGTCCAGCGGATCCCAGGGTTCGCACATGTCGCTCAACACCACATCAACACATTTGTCCCGGTGTTGCTCTTCTTGTTCCTGTTCCTGAGCCTCCGCCTCCTCGGCCGCAGCCGCGGCAGCAATCTGGCTTTCTCTCTCGAGATAGCCCTTTTCGGCGTCATCGAGAACTGCAGTTTGATGATCGAGAGGGCCGTCTGGCGTGTCGAATATGAGAGGCGGACGGCGTAGACGTCCGCGGTCAGGGTCTTTGAGGAATGACTTGATCTCTCCTTGCACGTACGGTGAAAGAAAGTCGCCTTGGATCGTAGAGACGCCTTTCGGTGGCTGTACGGGTATGAGGTCTACACCCAAGACACGTCCCCTTGGTCTGGTGAGGTCGATCGCAACCTATACATTGGGCAGACACACAAGATGTGTCAACCGTCAGTGTACGGTCCTTTGCAAAACATGGTTGCAAAGCACACAGCTTTGTCGGGCTGGGCAGAGCCGGGAGCACGCCTCATACCTGACTCCAACTCCCCGGGGCAAATCCCAGATCCACCACGGTCATCCCGGGCTTGAACAGTCTATACCGATCATTGATCTGAAGTAGTTTGAACGCCGCTCGACTCTTGAGGCCCTGCACTTTCGCCGCGCGGGCAAACTGGTCCCCTCTTTGTCGATCAGTCCACCGCCTCGAGGACGAGTACCGTGCGCCGCTCGTCGAGATTGAGCGCGAGCAATGTGTAGGTGATGTGGAAGCTGATGATGTAGGACCAGCACGCAACGAGGTAGAGCTTGTCGAGAGGGGACATGTTGGTGGCGGCGGCCGCGGCGCAGTCAATCGGAAACGTTGTAGCAGGTATGGCTCAGTACCGGTGCTTGCGAGGAGGGAGCGGACTCGGGCAAAGTGGTGGTTACATGGTTGCATGTAGCCTGACTCTGCCTGCAGAGTTCGGACAGAGCCTTGAAGGCACCAAAGAAAGAAAAGACACCAAAGAAGATGGTGAAGCGATCAGTAAATCAATGAAAGGAGGTGGATGCGCGATATGTCTTGAGGGAGTTCTATGTGGGTGGTACAAACAATTTTCCATGAATCGATCATTGAAGCGCATGTGGATTAAAGCGGCGGACGTCATACTTCAAGCGACGTTCTTGATATTGGACTGTTATGTGTTCAACTGATAAGTGCATTTTGGTATATTCATACAATTATGTTCATCATAACCCTGGTATTTATGGCGGAAAATTTTTCATGGTCAATCCTGTTATTGCGCCCATGTTCATCCCAACATCTCTAACATGATATTCCGTTCATACAAGCAAATGAAAGCACAAGCCCGCAGGCACAAACATCATACGGCCACACTTGCAGCTCTTCGATCCCTCTTAAGAGGCGAGAATTCTGCCAGTGACTTGGGTCTTCCTACCGGATTTGCCTTCAGATTGATTCGTCCAAGAATGCTGGTGTTGCCAGACCCTCCTCGACCAAGATCTCTAACCTTTTGAGTCGGGGCAAATTCTTCCTCCTCAAAGATATTTGTCCGCTTCTTGGGTCCTTTGGGTTTCTTGGCAGGTTCAGGGGCACTATCGCTGTTCATTTGAGAGCCTTCTATACTCTCGACAATGTCCTTGGATGCAAAGTCCTCTGTAGCGACCCCAGGTACAGCTACTCCATCATTCTCCACGTCGGAGTCTTCTTCGATCAATTTGGCCAATTGTGGTCTCTTCAGCGTAGTGTTTGCTCTTGAATTGGTACTTTCCTTCAGTGCAGGTGATGCCTTTGTCTTGCCAATAGTAGTCTGCTTTCTCGAGGAAGCTGGCTTTTCCTTCAGTCTGACTGTCTTTGTTTTCGGCGCCGCTCTCGGCTTTTTGGTTGCGTTGTGTGTCTCAGGCTCTTGCATCACTTGAGCATCCTCTTCCTCTTGTTGCTGTTGGTCCTCGGGAGTCTCAGGTAGTATGCTCAATGTGCGATTAAGGAATGGAGTAATCGAAAAGTTGGATTTGTCTGCAAAGTTGACGGAGACTCGCTGCTTCTTTGCTGCTGGTGCGCCATGTCCGGGTGTGCCGATGGTCATATCGGGATCAAATCGTGGGATGGGTCGTTTACCAAGTATTGTCGTCTTGCCAGCTACTCTTGCTTGAGTCATCTCGGCAGATTGGGCCATCTTCTCAGCCTGCAATCTTTCGATTTCATCTTGTGCTTCGCTCAGCTGCTCCTTGGTGGACCGAAGCTTGTTTCTGAAAGCGTCCAATTTGCCCTCAAGTATTTCCTTTTCACCTTCCCATTCAACCACCTTCTTTCTGTTCTCCCGTTCATTTTTCTGCAGATCTCGATGGGCCTTGGTCAACTCTTTCTTCAGATCCTCGATTTCTCCTTGCAGTGTGGAATCTTGACGAGCAGCTGAATGCTCTCGTGCTGTGATGCGTTGAACAGCTCTCTTTTCCGTTTCCAGTTCGACTTGTATAGAAGCTAATTCGCGCTGTAATGCCAGTTTCTCCGATAGAAGATTCTGTTGTGTGCAAGCTTGTGACTTGAGATGTTCCAGCTCTGGCTTCAATTTATTTAATTCCCTCGTCAGAGCCAGCTTTTCGGATAGGATCTTGCTTGACTCGGCACTAGCAGCACTTAATTCGGCGAGCTCAGCTTTCATGTAGTCCAGGTCGCGCAGGCGTGCCTTCAATTCCAGCTGCGTCTCTCGGGTATCAGCTTCGACGTCGGAAAGATGTGCTCGTAGGTCATCATTGGTCTTCTCAAGGTGGTGCTGCTGGTCCTCATCGCGTTCGGATAGTTCGCGAAGTTTGTCATTTTCGTGTTGGGTCAGAAGGAGTTGTACACGCAAAACTCGCAGGCCTTCCTCGTCGCAGATGCGCTCAGCTTTTCGGAGAGAGCGTTCGTAGATCAACTCGAGTTCTGCCGTTCGTAGTTGTGCAGCCGTGATGGACTGCGTGATCTCTGCACTAGTCATATTGGCTATGTCTGTTTCCATCTTGCGATAGCTAGAATCTCGTTGATGTACCTAGATTGTTAATTGTAGATTGCCGCAGAAACACGTACAAGGGCTTCAATTTGTTGACATTCCGAAAAAGGAAAAGCGTGCCAAGATGTGGTGCACCAGTATCTACGGTCGACCATTGACCCAAATTCGGACACAGCTCGTGGAGGTAATACTTCTCCGTAAAATTCTATATCACACCCGCCAACGATGGTTGGATAGTCAAAATGTTCCAGACCAGGGCGGCATACGTAACACTTTCTTGGGATCAAAATTGATAGAACTTGTAGCCAATACCTCCAAATACAGTGACACACATGGCTGCCTGCTCATACATGGGCAAAGCCAGTATACACACCATCTACTCCCGTGTTCTAGCTTGCCTGTACTTCTATCAAACACCTGTCGACGAGCGGTGACCCTGCCGATGAAGCGGTCGTGGGCTTCTTGGGTGGCCACCGTGCCTCGCCTTTGGCATCCATCATATGCTTTGGACTATCTGGGGTTTTTGCTGCTAGTCGTTGCATTATTCTCGGTCAGTCTCTTGCGAAGCGTCGAGAACATTATCTGACAGAATGATGTTGAGATCCGTTTATCTTTGGAGCCTGTCCAACAAATGTTTCGACTCGACGACCGCTCAATTCAATATCCCTTCACCAGGTTCGAACGCGTGTCTTCGAAAGAGAACACCCTGCTTGCTGGGGCAGCACCGCTGGTGCTCTTGGTTCTTTGGGCTGTTACAGCAAGGCCCGGCGTGCACAAGGCCCATGTCACCATTTTGGGTTTATTCTTCAGCGTATACCTTACTGTGCTGATTACAGATATCATTAAAAAGGCTATAGGTCGACCTCGTCCCGATCTGATAGCCCGATGTCAGCCAAAGAGAGGAACGCCGACGGATACCTTCGTCACCGTTGCTGTCTGCACGCAGCCCGATCTTCACTTCCTTCTAGATGGCTGGCAAAGCTTTCCGAGCGCGCACAGTAGCTGGGCTTTTTCAGGCTTGGGGTATCTCAGCTTGTTTTTGGCTGGTCAATTGCACATCTTTCGACCACGGCCTACTCTGACGAGTATTCTCCTTTTCCTGGCACCTCTGATGTGCGCTGCCCTAGTGGCCATGTCGCGGATAGCAGATTATCGACATGACGTGTACGATGTTTCTTGCGGCAGTCTTATAGGCTTCGTCGTCGCATATACAACATATCGCCGAGATTATCGACCACTCACCCATCCAGGGTGTGATACGCCATACCCTAGGCTGTCAGAGTACTCTTTAATCTGGGAAACGGCCTCTCAGTCTGGTGCTCTGGAGCCGGGACTCGAATCTGAAGATACTCAAGACATTGAGCTGTTTGAGGCTTCCCACATCAACAATGATCATGCCAGAGGTTGTGATGACATGGAGCTAGGCCATTTTAGTGATAATATCCCAAAAGATGATGCACTTCGCACACCGGATGGCCCATCAAGACGCCCCTTGAAGCTCATGAGCTCCAAGGATTCGTCCGCGCCAAGGCGCTTTTCAAGAAAGAACATTTGGATAGGGCGTCATGTGGTCTCGAGGTTTCGAAGACTTTTGATCAGGGGCGCAAAAGATTTTTCTCCACTTAAAGTGATCTTGATGCTGTTGTGAGTACGTATATTTCTATGCGGGAACGCAAGGTAGCTAAGACATGACAGGGGAGTTCTCCAAGCTCTCTCTTCTCTGAACAACCTTCTTGAGGCGGTGTTTCCGGATGGCCTAGATCTGATCTCGGGTCCTTTCAAACCGCCGCTCAGACTGGAGGATGGCAGCTTGGAACGTCTCACCGCGAGAGTTCAGCCCATCATGTGTCATTCCCATAACGACTATTTCCGCGCCGAGCCTCTATACCAAGCCATCCGGGCGGGGTGTACCAGTGTCGAAGCCGACCTCTGGCATGTAGACGGTGAACTCTACGTCGCGCACACAATGCCAGCCATCCGCCAGGATCGGACTCTAAAAAGCCTATACCTGGAGCAGCTACAGGACATTCTCGACCATCAGAATCGGGTCCCACCATTCATCGGATCTGCCTCTGCTGAAATCCACGGCGTTTTTGCAGCTCATCCAGAGCAGTCACTCATCTTGCTGATGGACTTTAAAAACGATCCCACCCTGATGTGGCACCGCCTATCGGCCGACATTGCACCATTGCGTGAACGCAATTACTTGACCTTTTTCAATGGAACAACAGTTGTGCCTGGTCCAGTCACGCTTGTCGTCTCGGGAAACGCCCCTTTTGATCATGTCGTGGCAAACTCGACCTACCGAGATATTTTCTACGATGCTCCCTTGGGTCTAATGTCGCCTTTGTCCTTGCCAGAAACTCCATCCCCTCCCTCAACCAACGTTGACCAGCATCGTCGTAACATCTCTTCCGCCCCTGGAAACCCAGACATGTACTCTTCGGCCAATTCTTACTTCGCGTCGGTGTCTTTCGTCAGATCTATCGGGTACCCATGGCACTCTTCTTTATCCAAACTCCAACTAGAACGCCTCCGCCAACAGATTCACGGCGCTCATGCTCGCGGCCTCAAGGTCCGATATTGGGGCATCCCGGCCTGGCCAGTTGGAGTGCGGAACTATATTTGGCGCGTCCTGGTCCGTGAAGGCGTCGACTACCTGAGCGCTGACAATATCGATGCTGTGACAAAGGAGAATTGGGGTCCAAGAAAGGGTGGATGGGGTAAGAAGTGGTGGCAATAGATATTGGTACATGTAAATATTCAAGAGAATGGTTTTCTTGTGCAAGATCTCATGACGAGAGGGACTGCTAGGTTTTGTTGTACGAGTACTCTGCATCTTCAAACACAAACAAAATCAGGACGGACATGCAAATGCTGGGTCAAGTTTTTGATGCCTTACTTGAGACAATGTAGGGTATTTCCACATGCCCGACAGGTCACTGATGATTGAATGTAGAAAAATATGTGCGCATTTGTCGAGCATTGTTCATTGGTGTCAACTGGAAATCTCAACGAATAATATTCCGTCTCCAACCAAGTCGTTGACCGGCAAAGGCATTCCATTCCACACATCTCTTTTCATCTTGCGTTTCCTTTAGTTTTCGTGATGATATGATTCTTTTTGTGCGCACGAAAGTGTAGAGTCGTAAACGTCAAACAGAATCATGATGCTGAATGAAGTATTCGCACGTATTACACTCATTGTGACGTTCAACCCACGGCTCAACACCACGACTCCTTGTAGACTGAACATCTTTCGCCCACCACACAATCCACAAAAAAAAGAGAGCGAATAGAACAAAATGACAAAAACAATCGACATCCCGGATTCCCAACTGGTCACCCACGTTAGTACTGACGAGACCGCTTGAGGCTTAAGTACGACTGAGCGGACGGGAAGTCCTGTATTCCTCAACGTATGGTCGATTGCGACAACAAATTTCGAGGGTTTATGATATGTACCTACTTGAAGATCTATCCCTTCTCAACCATCTGTAGATTTGTATAGATCTACCCTTGGTAAGTTTCCCACTTCGCATTCGCGAGACGGAAAGGGGAACCCCTTGTTTCTCAGATTACACGAATGGCAAATCCCAAGTCCCTCTTCCCAGTTTATTATAGTGGAAGCCACCCCTAGTTGCATGGTCGCTATCTCCGACAGAATATCTGGTCCAGATTAATGTAAATCGAAGATATCAGCAATGAACACCAACGCGCGAGCCGATTACACGCCTGACGGTCATGTATCAGAGTACGGAATCGTTGTTTTGGGATAGAGAACTATGATGGTCTCTGCATTTCAAGGATCTTCGAGATCATTTTCGTTGTCTCGTCCTGGTATTTACTCTCGATGACGACTTTGACTTCGAAGACTCCTTTGGTTGATTCTTTTTGATCTTTGCGCTCGGAGTGCTCTTGCCATCGACCAGGCCTTTCACAAGTGCGTCGATGCGCTTCTCTCGGGTCTTTGCCGACCCCGTGTGCAGTTTCATTAACAATGAAAACCTCTCAGTCTTGCTCATGCCCTCTAAAACCGAGGCTGCCCCGGGTGTCGCACTCAGGGCGTCCGCAAGATCGTCTGGTATCGTCACCGTGGCTGGACCTGCGTAAGCTCGCTCCCATCGTCCATCGGCCTTTGCAGCCTCCACGGCAGCGAGTCCTGCCGGTCTCATACGCCCTGACTCAACCAGTCTGGCGACGGTGTTCACATTCTTCTGTGACCAAATGCTCTTCGCTCGACGAGGAGTGTAGCGTGCCAACCAGCATTTGTCGTCAAACGGTTTCGCCTGACCATCAATCCAGCCAAAGCACAGCGCGACCTCGACAGCCTCCGCGGCTGAGATGGAAGCAATGCCTGACGCCTTCTTGGCTAGTTTGAGATACAAACCCGGAGCCGTGGCATGTTCACGGTCGAGAAAGGCTTCAAACTCGTCGACGCAGGCGAATGAGTGGATTGGGAGATCCGTCGGCGGTCGACTTGTAGACATGCCTATAAACGAATAGGACACGCCGTAGAGGAAGCTTTGATAGAGAATTGCTGGCCTGGATTAAGTTGGCATCTGTCGGAAATCTTTCATCTCCATGTAGCAGCATGCATCGCAGTTTCAAACTCAATTTCAGTGACTGGCTCCTCAATATTGTAAGCCAATGCGATCAGCAGAGTTTACATGATTGTTTATCGAAGCAATACAAGACGAATCTCGAGTAATTGATTCTTCATTACTGCCTTTGTTTCCCTCGGGTCCCAGATTTGTCTGCAAAAAGCAAGTGTACCGAGGTTGACGAGGCTGGGCAAAGCATCTCCTGTACAATATGTCAAGACGATCTCAAGATCGCCATTTCCTCTATTGACCTTCCCCTCTTCACCACAAAATGCTCACATGGACATTGGAAAGCCCCATCTCGCTTGTGGGTGAGACCTAATTGAGTATCTCTTGTACGAGTTGGGCAGCCGTTGCACGTCAAGCGCGTGTGCTTCTTTTTGACAGGCCTGTCAACCGCGGCGGGCACCCATTGAAGGACGTCTTTCATCAGGGTGGCCAACTAGGAATAGGAAATGTATTCATCCCCTGACAGGCATTGCCAAAAGACGTTGCAAATTACACTTTCGTTTCCAACTCAAACTTCTCGTATTTTGCTTTACGAAGAAACTTACCTCGGGCAATATGTAACCCACAACCAAGAACCAATTATGAGCACATAGTCATCATAGTGAATGCTGGCGAAGAGCTAGACATTGAGGTCAGACTGACAACGACAATCCTTGTCAACCGGATATGCTTAGCAGTGCTTGATTCTTCTCTAATCTCATGAGATTACAACTTGTCGATAAAAAGGCGATTGACGGCTTGCACCCCTGGCGGCATCCATGGCTCTGAAGGCGCTGTCCTCTCTTGCACTAAATTAAAACCTGGCAAAGTGACTGACTCTCTCACATCTAGACCATTGATGATCAAGCTACCAACTCCGCACTGCACCATCTCCCTTTGACAGTTGTCCCCAAGAGACCATGAGATCAATTCTCCCCCAGATCTGGTGATCGAGCATTACAGAAAGACGTCAGACCTCACATCTCGTGTTCGGTGAATGTCTGTCTCTTTTCCAAACCCACTTGGTGAGTAGGACAGTGCACCACGCCACCAGTCAGGCGTTGGCTGTTGGCCGTTGTCCCTTGGGGGCACGGATCAATCTATCATTCTCTACTTTGGACCATTGTCTACAGGTCCGGGTCCTCGCTCCGGAAAACCAGGGCAATTAAGAGTCGACGAAAAACCGCCATGCACCGGTTGAGTCGATTGTGACTGAACGTCAATCAAAATTTAAGAACAGTGATACTCCTGTAACCATCCTTGCGTGTCTATGGTCACACAAGCCATGTCCGGAGACAGGATGGCCATAAAGAGCCCGCTCCCTTTCAAACAAAATTTGGCGTCCTCTTGTTCATGGATGGCGCCTCTTGGAATTTCCGCCACCAATTTTGTACTATGAATATCCAAGGTTTCGCCGACTACATCGCACCTCCTCAGTTATAATAGAGCCGTCACCCCATGCATTACCGGACGAAAAGCTCCCTCGTGGGATATCATCCCAGTCACTCGCAGCATGACGCCGGACGGGGTGTACATGTTCTAGGTAGCAAAGAAGGAGAGCCCAGCGAGACCACTTCCTACTCGTCGTCGTCGTCGGAAACATTCCACCTCCCCACGGCCTCAGCCTATTCTGCCATGATGACAAGACCCTGGGACCGCTCCGGAGGATATTTGAGCTCATGGTGTTTTGCTCCCGCGAGAATGCTTCTCTCTTCCACATCATCCCTACTTTCGATCCTGACTCCGGGCGAGGACTCAGACGAACACAATTCGAGACCCACGTCCAAAGTCACATCCCTCGACGGGCTACGAGGTCTCGCCTGCCTCTTTGTGTTTCACGCCCACTACGCCTATTCTTTTAGCAACTGTCTCGAAGAAGCCCCGCCCGAAGTCCTCAGCACGAGATTCATGTATCAACCGTTCATCTCATTACTCTGGTCCGGAATCGCCATGGTCGATGTCTTCTTCTTCATCTCCGGGTACGTTCTCGTGTCAAAGCCACTGCGCCTTCTCTACGCACACAACACCTCGACCGCTCTATCATCTATATCGTCGGCGGTCTTCCGACGGGCATTCCGCCTCTACCTTCCTTCGATGGCCATGATCTTGATCGCCTCGGTCATGGCGGGACTCGGACTCTTTGACGCCGGGAACAACTTTTACGACATGAGACACGACGACGTCAAGGGGCCCCAAGAACAACCGCCGCCCCGCCTTTCTTCCCTCGCGGCTCAGTTCTACAGCGGCCTCAAAGACTGTTACCGTCTCATGGACAACACCATCCCTTGGGGCAAGGCCAATTTCCCCTACGAGAGCGAAGATGCCGCGCGGCCCTCGGGCATCGTGTACGACCGACACCTGTGGACCATCCCCGTCGAATTCCGGTGCAGCATGTTGGTATTTGTGATATTGCTCGCGACCGCGCGGATCCGACGAAAGTGGAGACTCTGCGTGCAGGTCGCATTCCTCGTCAACTGTCTCTTCACCGAGCGGTATCCGGAGTCACTCTTCGTCGCCGGAATGTTGTTGGCCGAAGTCGACACCAGCCACCGCCACAACCACCACACCTTGATGAACGGTTCGGTCTTTCATCACGCGTCGTCGTCGTCGTCACACCACGCATCGAAACTCTACGCCGATGACGACCGAGTGAACACCGCGACGAGTGCCGTCATGACGAATTCGCGAGATCTGTTGGCCTTGGTCATGTTCGTGCCGGGCCTGTACCTCCTGTCGGTCCCTCCCGAAGGCCCCGACCAGTACCCCGGGTACGCGGGCCTGGTGGGGATGGTGCCCGACTACATCTGGGCCAAGGACCGGTTCGTCAGGGCCGTCGGCGCCGTCATGACGACCTGGCCGGTCGCGAACTCGCCCATCATCGCCCGCCTGTTCACCAACTGGTTCACCGCCTACCTGGGTCAGATCTCGTTCGCCCTCTACCTGGTCCACGGCTCACTGATCAAGTCCGTGTGGTATTGGCTCCAACCCCGGATGACGGGTTACATCCACCCGGACCCCACGTTCCCCATGTCCAAGCAACAATTTGTCGACCTGTGGTTGTCCGGCTACGTGGTCATGGTGACCGTGGTCCTCGCGTCCGCCCACGTCTTTTGCAAGGTGATCGACGAGAGATCCGTGGCGTTTTCACAGTGGCTCGCCGCCAGGCTCTCGGAGAGTTGATTGACTCTTCCATGACATGGGATTTGCCATCGCCATCACCATCGCCATTACCACTTCACCATTTACACAGTAGCATGTAGAGAGAGATAATTCTTTATTAGTATCGTATCGTATATGTTTATTTCCTTCAATCAACCCACCTGATGTGACATAGTGTATCGTGTATCAAAAATGTTCAATTGTTGCAAAGAACAAACTTTATAAGCGAGAAAAGGGGAAACCCAAAATCATCGCGCCATTACATGTAATGTGATGTAAGTAATAGAATAAACATCCTCACGACAGAGGAAGAGATGTCTCGACATTTAGCTCCCAAAGATGTTTTATTTTCATTTCTACTTCCTATGCACGACATGACATTGACGTGTTTTATTTTTGTATGAATGATATGCTGCTATGTAATTGCAAGAGTAGAAGAAAAAATTCCCAAAAAATTGGGAAAAGAAAATATACCGCTCAGGATGATGATGCCACGAAAAGAAAATGGTTCAAAGATGGCCAAAAAGGAGGTCTGAAGAATCTACTCCCACTTGACAAACGATTTCGTTTGAAGCCATCTTCCAAAACGGACGATTCTCTTGTCGACGCGGGAAAAGTAGTCGGCCACCCAGATCAGCAACACGGTGAGGACCAACGCGCCAGGAAGGTACGCGATCGTCGAGTCCCCCAGATGCCGAACCTGCCAGGGTAGCATTTTGGGCTGGTAGAGCGAGTACAGCAGGATGACGTGCATGGCGTAGATGCCGAATGAGAGATCGCCAATGTATTGAGAGAAACTCCATTCAAACGGCCGTTGTAGTGTCGGGTTCAGGTCGACGGCCGACACGACGCAGCAGGCCGCGATGGACAGCCAGAAGGTGTACGCCGCGTCGCCGTACCAGGAAGGGATCAAGGGTTGGAGGTATTGCCAGGGCCAGGGGCCGGTGGAACCCAAGGCCGGCGGTTCAGGTTGGCCCAAGAGAAACAACCCGACGATCAACAAAATGTAAGAGATGACCTGTTGGGCGACGCGCGATTTCCTGGAAGAGCGCAAGTCATGCTTCTCGTTGTTCGCGGCCGCGGCCGTCACATCCAGATTTGGCGGGGACGGTAGACCATGTCGTTCGGGGTGCAGGATCAACGACAACTCGGCAAGGAACACACCGAACATGAACTCGACGACGTAGGCGACGCGCCAGTAGTAGCTGAAAGCGACGACAACCCAAGAGAAAAGCATGCGGCATCTCGTCGTCATTTTGCATGCCGCGGCACAAAACAAGAAAATGACGATGCTGCCGCGATATTCGACCGGGATGGTCCACATCTGTCCAAGGTAGTGTGAAAAAAAGACACCGTCGTGGATCCAACCCTCGATGTTGGCGAACGGGTTGCTGGTCGCGACGGCGTCACGGAACCAGTCCCACAGCTGGCCGGTGAGGGTGGGCAGGCGACGGTCGGCGAACGGGCCAAGCGACCAGCCAAAGTAGATGCACCAGGCCGAGACGTGCGTGGCGAAGGCGGTCGACAAATACAGGCGAAGGTAACGGCGAAAGATGGACGAGGCCAGGCTATCCAAAAGTTTGGCCGACTCTTGCATCCGGATGAGTTTGATGAGACGGTAACTCAGAACGTAGCCAGAAATGACGAAGAAGATGGCCACCATCCCCGGGCCGCCCACCCAGGGTACCCGAATGAAATGCCAATGAAACACAGAGATTTGCGGAAGGTCCCAGCAATGGTATATGTAGACCAACACGGCCGCATAGCCGCGGAGTGCGTCGAGATATGATGTCGGGGACCGTCGTTGCTTGTACTTTTGTCGGCCACCCGGTTGGATGTAGCGAGGGAGGATGGACCAGGGATTTATCGACCATCCTGATAACCAGGTCTTCTTGGAGGGTAAGGCTTGGGATCTGGAGGGTGGCGTGGGGGTTTCGTAACCAGCATCAATGGTAGCAGGTATTTCCCGTTCCTCAACCTCGAGGAATGGCTTGGAGGACGTTTCGCCATGGTTGAGGTCGTCGAGGAGCGGAGTACCCTGCTCCTCCATATCTGAGGCGACCCTCGACATAGTTGTCCGAGGCGTGCAGGATATAACTTAATGGTACAACCGTGCTGAGAGGACGTCAGCAGAACGAAAGAGTCATGGATGGCACCATCAGTCAAAATGGCTATAATGCTCTGAGAGAAGACTCGTAGTCATCACAGATGTTGAAAAGAAGTAACATGGAGAGGGTGAAATCTTGGTGTATGAGGAGCTTCGTCTCTCATTTCCAATTAGTTATCTGCCTGCCGTTTTTGCGGGAATTGGGCCTGTCAATCCGCCCATCATGATCCTAGGGTGTATAATCGCACTCATGATCGAGAGCGCGAATGCAGGAGTGAGTACGGAGTATGGATTCGGCCCGGATCGCTTAGGAGGATCTCGAAATTGGCGAGGGCGCCTTCACGAGCGAGTTTGGACTGTGCATTTCACTTGTCGTGGGTTAGGGGAGAGGGGTTGAGAATGTCATTACCAGGTTGGACTTGGAAGGTGGTCTCAGCGCCTGTAGATAGGCACGCCTCAGACTCCTTCCAGTCAGCAACACGGACTCTCTAAAATTGAATGCTTGAGGCATGATATATGTAAACAATGAAGGGGCGCTCGCTATCGGGTCAAGCCATTAACAAGTGCTAGCACACAATGGGGCCCCACTTACTCGGTGCGTGCTCGGGTGACAGACGCCGTTGAAATACATACCTGAGTTAAGCGAATTCAAGTAAGGGGTAAGGCCGGGGACATAAAAGCTGCCGCCACGTGAGATTCAAGCTTAGTCATGCATCCTCGCAACGTAGATGTGATGCAAGTCCAAAAATGGTTTCGAAATATGGAGGAGGTGTCGTTAAGAGGTTGAGTATGCGAGGTTTTAGTCAAACAGGATCTGATCTCAGAGACGGTGGCAGATCTGTACTCGTGGCGATCGATCCCCATAAGAAGAAATCGATAGATGTCGCTCGAATTCGTACAATTTTGGCCATATGAGTACGAAATTCTCATATTTTGCTCTGATTTTGACGTGTAATGATAGACAGGTAGCCGGTGAAGTCAGATGTCACTTATTCACTTCAAGCGAAATCACTGTTGTTAAATCATGTGTGGTCTGCCGAGGATGTTCAGGAGCTGCCACGCCACCCGCGGCAGCTTGGGGCGCTCAGGACAACTGAATTGATGACCCCGTTGAAACCTTAGTACTCCGTATCTTGGTGTTGATGTTGATGTTGATGTTGAGGAGACGCGCCGCGAGACTGACACGTTCCCCTTCGATAACGCGACTTGACACGACACGTGACCTACCGAGGCTTTACTGAGTCATCATGGACTTGAAGTTGCGTCTGACAAAGCATCGCAAGTTGCAGCCTAAGAACAAGGCACTGAGAGCCGGGTCAAGGGGCATCGGGGCATCATGAGACTTAGAAGAACGAAGGGCATGGAGTGAGTATAGGGGTAGATACGAAGACTCCGTACTTAATTAGTGCCTGGTTGTACCGTGTCCCAAGCTATCCTCGGTACCTTTCGCATGAGGGGCCAAAGTCTTTCTTATCGATTAATTTCAGCTGCAGGATAAAGGCTGCCTGGAACACCGGCGGTGAATATTTTTGGCTTCAGCCATGAGAAGTCTACGGTTCAGACTAACCTATCTCTGTCCTTCGATGCATCTCTTGGGAACTTGCAAATGTGGAGGGGTATTCAATAGGGCACAGAGACAGGAGAGTATTGCCGTGTTCCATCAGGTCGGGTCGATTCTAGACTCGACAGGTGGAAAGAAAGGAAAAAAAAGTGTGTATGCTACAGTTCCGAGTCCAGAGGGTCGAGATGTGAGGAATGCTGTGCAACAGCCTTTTTGCGGTCCAAGCTCGTTTTTCCAGAAGGTGAAAAGAAAGCTGAAAAAATATGCCGCACAGACAGTGAAAACTTGAGCTGGTAAAAATAGATGCTCAACGTAAGAAGCTTAGGATCATAATGTGCTCTACAATTTTCTCTGAGGGCAGTGAGTCCATCCGACACCAAGACCGAAGGATCAAATCATCCCACTCGATGCGAAACAAAGGTCGAGGGGTGATTTCAGCCATTCCGCAAGCCCCTTGTTCATGCTCGTCTCGCGTATGCACGATGAGCCTAGTGAGGTTTTCGTCTCCGGACCGTGTCAGGTAAAGAAATCTCCCATTGGCGACAGCGGCAACAAGGGTCGCCAGGAGGGCCCTTTGCAACCCTATCACAGCTTGGATTTTCTCGCATGAGCTTCAGGTACCCGAAATAGACCCATGCAAGATGATGCCAGCCAATACGAGCTTCATCGTCATTTCTTTTGAGCGGGATGAAGAATCCATCCCTTGAATCAATGTCTCCAAACTACTTGGGAATACTCCGTACAGTAATGGATTAACCTCTTGACTTACTCTCTACAGTAGGGATGGAGTAGGTCAAGTGGTTACTCAATGTAACACCAATGAATTAATGTTATATTCTTTCAATCTCCTCTTATCTCAGTCTTTGTTGGTTTTTGATTCTGCCTTCATTCATTTCCACCGTATTTGGTTGTCAGGGTAAAAGGTAGTTGCTGTCGACCCTCGCATCCTTAGACGGCAACGGCAACATGCCCTTCACCCTCCCTCGTGGTCTCGGCCCTATAAAACTCGCAGTCGTTTTTGCAGTCATACTTTGCCTATTCTTCTTTAGATCCCACCTGCTCCCATCTTCTGGCGTCTCCTACTACGACCTTACGCCGGGCGCGGAGTCCTGGTGGCATGGCTCCAAATCAGACGCCTCCGGGGTCGTTGGCGACGTCGATACCGAACTAGACTATACCCAACTTCAAGATGTCAATCTGACCTCCGAAATCACCGATTTTGAAGACCCTGTGGCCGCGCCCTCCTTGACAACCTCTACCCCTGCGGCCGAGGAGACTGCGCCCAAACCGACCGCGCCTGGCCTCCTCTACAAACCCTTTGATCCCTCCATCCCGGCATGCCGACAACTCCCAGGCGCAGACAAAGTCGTGGTCATCGTCAAGACGGGGGCCACGGAAGTATTTGCACGATTGCCCGAACAACTCATCACTCTGGCTGAGTGCGTACCGAATCTCATGATATTTTCCGACATGGAGCAAGATCTGGGACATTTTCACCTGTACGATGCATTGAACGAGATTGGCGAAGAATACAAAAACAACCACGAAGACTTTGAATTCTACCACAACATCCACAAAGCCCATGCGATGCACGGAGATGTAAGTGTGCTGGGTTCCGAGAAGGGCTGGAACTTGGACAAATGGAAGAACATCCCCATGCTACACAAAGCCTACACCCAGTATCCCAAAGCAGACTGGTTCATGACCATCGACGCAGATACGTACCTCGGCTGGACGAACCTTCTCCTGCTTCTCAACCGTCTTGATCCTGAAGACCCTCTCTACGCCGGCTGCGTGTACTTGCATGGCGACACACAATTCGCCCAAGGCGGCACAGGTTACCTCTTGTCTCGCAATGCCGTTGAGAAGTTCGAAGCCATTCGCACTCCCACAAGAATTGCCGACTGGGAGAGGGAAACATCCACCATTTGCTGCGGCGATGTCATGCTCGGAGTCGCCATGGGCCACGCCGGCGTGGACGTGAGGGGTGCATGGCCCATGTTCCAAGTTGATCCGCCATGCTCTATCGCCTGGGCTCCTCCCTACTGGTGCTCGCCCGCCATCACCTGGCACCACGTCCACACCTACGACATCCAGGACCTCTGGGAGTTTGAAAAGACCTGGATCAACCAAACATGGGACGAAAAGAACCCGGGATCCGTACCATACCTTTACAAAGACGCTTTTGAGTATTTCGTCCAACCGAACATTGCGGATAAGAAACTCGATTGGAACAATTACTCGGGCGACAAGATTTTCACGAATCCTACTCCAGACCACGTCAAGGAAGATCATGACTGGGATGAGAAGAGCGATGAAGAAAAGCAGCAGATGTGGGATGAGTTGAATGAGCTCCAGAAACAATCTGTCGGATCCTTTGAGGCTTGCCACGTCGCCTGTTTGGATGATGGCGATTGCGTACAATTCTCGTGGCACCCTGGTACTTGCAAGCTGAATAGACACATCAAAATGGGCCACGCTATCGAAACCACGGAGGAGTATGCGTCCGGTTGGATCCTCGAGAGAGTCAAGGCATTCAAGGAAGCCCAGGGAACTTGTGAAGACCCTCGATTCCGGATTGATTGAAAGCTGCACTGAGAACGAAAACAAGTAAATACCAACACCACAAGCGTCAGGAAGTTGTCACTCGCCTTTTGGATCGGTCGGTTTCGGCCTTCACGGATTTTTGTTACGAAAGAAATGGCTTGAACGTACCAGAGGCCCAAGCACAATGCTGCCCCCGTACAGACACATGAACGGCGACGGATATGCGACACGTCGACTTGTCGAGGATTGTTGACGGTGCTACTTGGATATGAATTGGCGACCACAGGAGCCACGGCCGAGTACATTGAGCATATGAGGACAGGTCACGCTCAAAATTTGATTTGGCATGACGCCATGAGCAAGAACACCGATCCTCTGACGCTCTGAACATTGGATGACGATAAGCTGAAAAGAAGAACACGAATACATGGAGCGAACTAGAGAAGAGTCGTTCAACGCAGAAAGAATTACTTGAATCATTTGGAACACACTAAAAGCATAGACAAGACGATACCCTTCGGACGATATAGGATTGCTATGCTACGGTTAGAAAGATATGGAGATTCTTGCAAGATACCCCCCAATTGTTGATTACCTGGGTACGGAGTAAATATGTACTACTATTTTGAAATATTATGTCCTTTATTTTCTGAGATCAATTTCAACCCTTTACAGCTACAATCCCCTGATTGATATCGATTCTTGAATTCAGTGGCTGCGAAGCCTCAGTTCCGTTGCTCCGAACTCACACGAAAATTGCGGTACTTCGGCAGACCTTCCTGACAGGGTGTAGCGAGTTTTCCCCGTTATCCTCCGGAATATCATTCCCCAGAAATACTCCATACCTCGTAGGGGAAGGCAGATTCTTTTACTGTGCCCTTGACCACTCCTCTTCCAAGCCTCCAAACCTAGAATTAGTCGGTGCCATGGCATCCTTTGCGAACCTTAACCGTCGTTAGACTTCTGAGATAAGCTGGGTGGCGGCAGGTCTATACCTGGAGACAAAACCCATGGATTTCTTCGGTGGTGAAGAATACTCGGCACCAGATTCGGCCGGACATTACAAGCCTGTTCAACGTGTGAGCCAAGCCTGTCAGGAGTGCCGGTATAGATATGAGTCCGTTGAACGAAAGACAAATTGACTAACCGGCCACCCTTAGGAGGAGAAAGGCGAGGTGTACTGGTGATCGCCCAAAATGTCAAAGTTGCAGAAGACATCGTCGAGGTGAGTCGGAAACAAAAATTGGGCAAAGCTGGTATCGAAGATGTGCTTATCTATGCTCAAGATTGTCACTATCCCGAAGGAGATCGCTCATCAAAATTATCAACGGATGAAATCGCTGAGTCGCTCAAGGCCCTCAAAGCGGGTATGCAGGTAATGACGGTATGCTGCTGTCCAAAATTTGCAGGCTGACATTCTTATGGGATGTGTCGGCTCGAATGTCCAACGTTGAACGACTCGTTCAAAATATGTCTCAGGCTTCGACACGGTGAGTGCTTGTAGCTCTGCCTTCATCAGACTCTTCGACACTAAGATACTAGCAGGCCTCGGGCGAACCTCGAGGAAAGACCATCAGTAGGTGTCAGAGCCTCTGCGGATTCTCCTGGGCAGTCTGGCATCCCGAGCCCCGTTGCCGAGCCCTCGAACCAGAAACTACGGAACAACAACAATTCAAATCGGGAAACTGAAGACCAAGCTCCCTTCTCGGGCCTGCTCCCGCTCCCAGTTTTGCTCGAGACAATCGATATTTACTTTGAGTGTTGCCATAATCAGCCCTATGGGTTCTTCCACGAAGGCAACTTCCGAGAAAGCCTATGGAAAGGGCAAATACCAAATCATTTATTATTCGCCGTATTGGCCTCTGCCATGCGCTTCTCCAAGAATCCATTCTTCGACAACCTTCACAATGCCGCAGTGCTCTACGCCAACAAGTCGTGGAAAATGGTGGTGTCGACCTGCTTTTCCAACAACCAAACTGCAGATTTGCGTATGGTGCAGACTCTTACTCTTTTGTCGATTTTTGACTTTACAGGTCCAGCGCTCCTCTTTCTCTTGGGATTTGCCTCATTTGACTGACGTACGTCTAGCCGGCAAGAACCGCCATTGTTTTGCATGGATAAAGATAGGGCTTGCAGTACGCTTTGCCCAGGACATGAAATTCATGCTTGAAAGTGCCCACGATTTACCTTTTGCCGTCCAAGAGGAGCGACGCCGAGTTTTCTGGTCAGTCTACCTACTGGACAGGTTGGTTTCGTGTGGACGAGCACGTCCGCCGGCCATACTTGACGCGTCATGCCAACTTCAACTTCCGTCTGATGAAGATACCTGGAGATCGGGTGCATGGAAAGAAGTTTTGACGTTGCAGCAACTTTCGTACCGAGAACTCTCAACCCCGGAACAGTTGGGTCCGTTTTCTCACGTGGTGGCCATGGCGTACACGTTGGGCAGAGCGGCACAGTACATGCTGCAACAATTCAACACTCGAAGCCAAGATCCACCTTGGGGTGCCAATTCGGATTTTGTGGCGATCCAATCCGATCTTGTGTATCTCGAAACCGTTCTACAAATGTCCAAATCGCCCACCGATCTCGTGGCCGAACATACTTCCCCAGGGGGCCGCCACATCGACCAACACGCGATTGGACCTGCGATATTCTCTCGCGCGCTGTTCCATCTGACCTATTGTTTGTTGCACCACCCCTTCCTGCTACGCAAACGGTTAGAGTCGTGTCAAATAGCGGCGCCGTCGACTTTTCTTACGCGAGCATTCGAAACTGCCTGGGAACACTCTAGAAGAATGACCAAACTTTTACAAGAGGCACAAGAGGCCGGCGCCATGCTTCGGGCGTCGTTCTATGGTTATTGCATGGTGGTGGCAGGGTCCATTGCCGCACTCCATCTCCATGACGTTTCAGACGCCAAACGAGCAGAGTCGGCAGACCTGGTGAGGGCCAATACATCGATCATCGAAAAAATCGGGAGACACTGGAGGAATGTCTCTCTGATGGTATGTATCGTCCTACATTTCCCAAAAACGAGCTGACGAAGGAGCGAAACTAATTTCTTGTGGGGTGTACAGGCAATTTCCTTTCGGAATTTCGTGGAAGACACGAGTCGCTTCGCCCACCTGGCGTCGGACGCGGTGAACGTTGCCGTCTTGTCCCCCGAAGACTGTGAGGCCATGTGGGCGATGGTCGACTACAGTACCATGTCGGACGTGTCTGCCAGGGCTCAGACGCAATTGTCCCCAGCGGCCGAGTTTTGGATGGACGGCAGCATGTCGTGGCAGGACCTGTTCGGTCGGTTCGACACGATGAACCAAGGAGCGCAACAACAAATCACGGGGCCGGACACGAACCAACGCGGCGTGCTGTTCCCGGAGGTGGAGAATTACCTCGGACAAAACATGTTTACGTAGGTAGATGAACATGTTTGGAGGAAGTCGGAAGGGGTTGCACAAATTTCACTCTAGGTCGTCACATACAAGGAAGACAGATGCCAGATGTACGATGAATAGAAATGAAACATGATAACGATGCTTTCCTGTCTAGAGGAATGTCTTTTTGTTCTCATTTGAGAATGATCTCTGTATAAATCCAGGCATCTTGGTCTCTAGAGCATATGGGATATATTTACCATATATATATATATCGTTATAATTGTCCGCTGCTCTTTGTTATTCATTCCTTCGACGAATGTTTTCAGACATCTAACCCGTTGATTTCTAAACCATCTTCTTAGATCCAAGACCGATTTATGTAACCCCTAAACATCTCCAGCTTGTTTCGCTCTGGCTCTGTCTCCGGCTCCTTTGATCACGGTCGACAAATCTCCCAACGGAAGTGACAGTGGGAAGTCGACGGCCAAAAAAACCAAGGCCAAAAAGATGTACCAACCCAAAAGACTGACCACCAACAACAGTGCAGCGCCGGCGTGTTGGAGTGTCAGAGCCGTGGCAGCTCGGCCGTGCGCGGCGTCGAAGAATGAAGCTGACAGGCAGCCAACTGAAGAATTTGTCAGTCGTCCAGTCCTCAGTAAGGAAGCAAGGGAGAGAATGTGTGTGTGTGTGTGTGCGCGAGAGAGCGAAGGTCTTGTACATACATGTTGGTATCAAGGTCAAGAAAATCAAAAAGAAAACCACATTCGTTCGTAAACTGGCGACACAATACACGCAACAGAGCAATGCCATTGCCACGAGAAAGAAGGAAAATGTGGCGAAAAAGGCGGGTTGTGTGAGTCCTTGGGCAGGATCAGAAGAATCGGTCGAGTACATTGCATACGCTCCGAAATTGGGGATCATGACGGACGCAAATGTCAACCAGAAGCCACCAAAGGTTGAAAACACAAGAGCCGGGAAGGTGTTGCCTGTGAAGAAGATGAGCTACAGGATTTCGATGAAGGTATTAAGATCAAAACTCACCAAGAACCCATTCTAGTACAGCACCGACGATTTCAAGGACACCACCGAGAAAGACATAAGAGCCACTATCAGAGGTTAAATAAGTCAGTCAATTTTGTCGAATATCTGACGTAAAGAAACGGTGGAATGCGTCTGAGAAGGAACGAGAACAGACGTACACATTTGCAGCTCCAAGTCCACCTGCACCTTGCCAACCCAGGAGGACCATGGACAAAGGTGTGGCAGCCAGCAAGAACCCAGCCAGGCAGATCGGCGTCGGGTTGCCAAAAGTTCGCCTCAAGTCTCCCTTGACGCTGTTCTGTGGTGCGAGGTAAAGTTTTTCGAAGAGTTCGGGGGACATTGTGACACTCCCTGCGGTTCGAAGTCGCTGGAGAGCATCGCCGCGGTTGTTGCTGTTGAGGTGGCTGTGGTGATTTTCCATGTCTTCTTGATGGATCCTACCTTCTTGAGGTGTGACACTCTCACTCTCGATACCAGCTTTGTAGTCTGACATGATGACAACCGACTAGTGGTGGGGAACAGGCAACTGCGGAACTGAAGTAGTGTCGTCGACAACGAGGTGATGATCCGAGAGGTTATTGCGTGTTGCTGTTCTCCTTCATAGAGAGAGAGAAACGTGTGAAAGGGAAGGAGAAAGTAGAAAGGATGAAGTAGAACAAGGATTTTTTTGTTGGAGAGAATGTCAAATCAACAGAATATTGGGACACAGAATGCTTTGTCTGTGATGACCCTTCTCTCCTTGTAGGTCTCTTGAATATATATTTTGACGAGAACAAGGAACCGTGGTACCTTTAATTGCAGTCTTCCATGGGGGCTGATCTTCAACACATCTACGAGTCAAATGGTAAGAGTCGTTTAATCCCCCCTCGTCTCCCCCGGTTACCTTGGGTCGCTCCACAAATCTCCTTTCCTCCGCAATAGTCTACCTCGTACACCGACAGGTGGTATTTATCATCGCCTATGGTCCGATACCATGTACTTTTACAGCTGATCTCTCGGCACCGCAAGTATGTACGGAGTATGGTAACTGGCTGCGTCAACTGCGGTTGCCGGTCCGCATTGCCGCCGAAACTCCACAGCTCTTTTTTCCCCTGATTTTTTGTGGTGGAATGATCATAACAGGAACGAAAAATGTGGGATGAGCAAAAACGGAATGACGGTCCTGGTTCCCGGTCGTTGCGTCCGTTGCGAAAACAACGGGGCCTGACTAGTAGTTGAATGATGTGTTAACAATGGTTTTCTAGCAAGTTTCCGTTTTCAGCTACGGAGTACGAAACAAATGACATTTTCCCCAATGCCCGCACAAGTACGGAGTCCAGTAAAGTGTTTGACGGATCGAAGAGGGGGGCCTGGCTTTGGTATTCGGCTCCAAGGTCTCTGAAGCATCCTCGGTCAAATTCAGTATGTTTCAACATGGGTCATTCGATTTGGGTGTGTAATTCGCTGGCACATCAATCTGTGCCTTGTCCAATGCGCACCAACTATGCACAAATATTGTGACACACGTACTTATACACTTGTGAATGTTATGCTGGTAGACTGGGCGTTTGAGCCTAGTGGTGCTCGAACTTGATGTCTCCTTGACAAGATATAAAGAGATATGACAATTTGCTCGACGTGCGACACCCATATAGATAGAGACTTGATCTTTGTGATGTGGCTAGAGATGACTAGTTCTGACCGACTCTCTCTCCCGTCTACGTATCTCTGCTCGTTGAATCTTCCCACTGATGGTCTTTGGCAGCCATTCGGGCTTTACGAATTCGACGAGGCGTGGGTATTTGTAAGGGGCTGCCTCTTTCTTGCAATGTTCCTGCAACTCTTTCTTGAGTTTTTCCGGGGTTTGTTTTTCCAAAACCGATTGCTCAGCCACGATAAACGCTTTGACGACCTCTCCTCTCGAGTGGTCCTTGACTCCGATGACTGCTGCTTCAAGGACTGCAGGATGGAGTTTCAAAGCTGATTCCACTTCAAATGGTCCTGACAGTGAAAAGGCCGGTGAGCGATTTGACTTGATATTTCCAAGATGGGATCTTCTGGCAGACACTGTGGTATGCCGGGGAGGGGGTAACTCACCAATACGGTAACCACTAGAGTTTATCACATCGTCGGACCTCCCAACGTACCACAAGTATCCATCTGCGTCTTGATATGCTCGGTCTCCAGTCAAATGCCATTGTCCATTGACGGACCCGTCGGAAGATAGTCGTGTTCTCGATTTGTGAGAGAGACTCCCTTCTTTCGACATGTAACCGTCGCACACAAAAGGGGTTCGTTGCCCTCGTTCATCCACAGACAGCACTGCAATCTCTCCTTCAACTCCGGCAGTTACCGGTCGACCAACGTCGTCGATGACGTGGAGAGGTACGCCCGGTAGGGCTTTGCCCATGCTACCAGGGCGGATCTGCACACCTTCACAGCTGCCGGCCACAAGAATGGTTTCCGTTTGACCATATCCTAGAACAAATCAAATAGCCCTGAGTCAGCGAACAGGTTGTTGAATATGTGAAATTACAGGTCAAGAAATGGGAATGCCAACATACCCTCTCTGATTTGAAGACCCGTCATTGCTCTCCAGGCTTCAAGGGTGCCCTCATCAAGGGGCTCTCCTGCCGCAACACATCTTTCAAGAGCTTTTGGAGTATTAGAAGCACAATGTTGATGCATTTGTTTTGTCACCAATTGTCGATATGCTGTAGGAGGGGCGCAAAAGTTCGTAATGGGGTAAGTGTTCAATACATCCAATGTCTCACTCGGAGAGAATGGCTTTTTGGTGTCTTGTATGAAAAGTGTGGCACCCGTGTTCCACGTTGCGAACCATGACCTTTATACCGTGAGCGATTGACAAACATGACGGGATCCTCAAGAGGTGACAGGCTGTAGCCCGTGTGTAAACAAAAACATAACTTACCATGCTGCTTTTGCCCAACCTTGCTCTGCCAGTGTCCAAGAGAGCTTTCCGGGAGATAGGCCCAGCCAGTAAGTTCCCGTGAGCAAGTGCGCTTTTCCAAGTCAGGTATGATCATGCCAGAACTGGTAATCAATGGACTATACCTAGTGGGTAAGAAATGTGGTTGTGTTGTACCATCTTCGGCGGTCCTGACGTCCCTGACGTGAAGTAGATCAAGGCTGGGTCGCTCTTCTTGGTTTTGTGAGCTGTCGGAGAACCTGTTGCAATGCCATCGACGGCGGACTGGTACTGAATGACTCCTGGCAGCTGTTCTCCGTCTGCTTGGAGCACGACTTGGAGAGCTGGGCAATTTTTGCGGATCTTTGCCAGACTGGCGATACTGGCCTGGTTACCCACAAAGATATTGGCTGCCGAACTGATCAAGCGGTACTGATGAAATGATGGTACAAGTCAGTGATTGAGCATGATGTTGTGGTATTGTAGGAAGGACCAACCTCAATATCCTTGGCTGTGGCAAGTGTTGTGCATGGGCAAAGCACCAGGCCTGCTCGAAGTACTCCCGTTGCAATCTATCACGGACTTGTAAGCATAATCACTCTAATGCTGCAAGAATTGTTCAGATATCAGAAATCTTGCTTACCTCCCACCTGTGATGAAAGATCCGTTAGATTTAGGAACAAGCCTCTGAACTAGTAAGATTCTCAACTCACCAAGCCGGTACACGATTGAGGACCATCATTACCCTGTCCCCAGGCTTTGCACCAAGTTTCCTTAACAGTGCCGCTGCCTTGTTGCTTTGAACGCTGAAATGCTCATATGTCAACTTGAGAGGGGTCGTTGACTGGTCACTTATCCATTGCATTGCTAGCAGACCGGGATCGCTTTCAGACCACCTATCGACCACATCTGCTGCGAAGTTGAAGTACTCTGGAGGCTCCATGACATCTTCCGGTACAGGTTGAAGCATCTTGTCGGCCGATCAGTCGGTCGCTTGGGTGTCTGTATGGCGAACCTGTACTTGCAAATGAGAGTATGGGTTTAACTTAATGTTGTCGAGGAACCGTAAAAGTGTTTGCGGTATTCCATACTAGACTCCGACTGCCATTCTGCGCTTCCTTTCCTGTATATTCGAATCAATGCTCAGTATTGTGCAAGACTAACTGAGAATGGTTGCGGGTGGATGGGCAGCAACTCCTTTTCCCGACTCCGCACATCTTATTCCGCCCCCGGTTTATCTAGATCTCACCCTCGGTGCGGCGGTACAAGGGATTCGGTCCGGAAAGCCGTACATGACGAATATCACATTTACTCCAGCCATGCCCAGGTATCGTCCCGCATGTAAGGTATAGGGGGCTGTCTGACGTAGGACGGAGCCGGGAAATGATTGCAGCCCTTTTTTGTTGTTATTAGCCTCGGTGGAAGCCAGCTGCAATAAACATCATCCTGGTAAAGCAGTCTATCTTAGGTCTACTTTCGAGTATTCGGTGAAAGTAACCCTAGATGAAGTTGGTGAAGTCGTCTTTGTCATCTACATTGTAACTGGTATTGATTCTATCTAATTCCTCGCAGCCGGCCATTTCGGATATAGGAGGAAAAGGTATCACCATTCATGCCGCCCATTCATGCCGCAACTTGCAAGACACCTCGTCCTACCAATTTTCCAGCTTTCATCTTCGCCACGAATTCATCCAAATTCTCAAGTGTTCCTCTTGTAAGGATAGGCTGGACATTAAGTTAGCACTAGTCAAGTGTGGCGTGAATAGAAGACCGGAATCGGTCGTGGCGGTTGCACTTACGTGAACAAGACCTCTCGCTGTGAAATCAAGAGCCTCTTCCACATCCTTCAACGAGCCTGTGACGGAGCCGACGATGTTCAGTCTTCTCAGGGCCAGCATGATGGGTGGAGCTCCTGCAAGGACGGTAGGATCGTTAGGCAAACCAACAGCGACCACTGTGCCTCCTGGTCGGACAAACGATGGAGCCGAGGCATATGCCTCCTTGGTGGCAGGGAAGACGATGACACCGTGCGCACCATAGGTGGTGATTCTCATAATCTCCGCTGCGATATCCTTGGTGGTTGTAAAGTCGATGAATTCTTCAGCTCCAAGCTTCTTGCAAAGGTCTCGCTTCTCATTGCCACCGTCGATGGCGATGACTCTGATACCCATGGCTCGAGCGTATTGTACTGCGAAATGTCCGAGGCCACCACCCGCTCCAGGGCAGACTAACCATTGACCAGGACGCACTCCAGATCTAGAGAAAAGAGAAATTTCAGCGACTTGAACCTCTCTAGAAGCAGCCCGGACTTCCCTTACCTCTTACATGCGACGTAAGCAGTAACGCCTCCACACATGATGGGACCAGCCTCTTCGTCCTTCACTCCGGGAGGGAGTTTGGAGGTGTATCTGCCGTCGGCCAGACAGTACTCTTGAAAGGTGCCGGGAGCCGTGAAGCCACTGTTAATTTGTCTGATGCAGTGCACTTCATCCACTCCGTTGAGACAGAATTCACACTCTCCACAGGTGCTCGCAATCCACTTGATGCCGGCTCTGTCCCCGATCTTCCAGCGGTTGTTCATGCCTTCGCCGACGGCCACGACCTCACCGGCACCTTCGTGACCAGCGATACCGTTCGTTTGAGGCATCATGGAAACCCCAAAGGGCTTCCACTCATCGTGAAGGAGGGACTTGTCAGAGGCGCAGACACCCGTCCACTTGACCTTGACAAGTATCTGGCCAGGACCCGGTTGTGGCACATCGATGTTTTTCACCACCGTCTTGGTCGACTCTCCTTCGCCTTGACGGACTGCCGCTCGTTGTTGGTGTGGGATATCAAGAGTCGCCATCTTGTACACGTGTTTAAGAAGAAAGATATGACAAAATTAAAAAGGAAATTTCTTTTGTAAATAAATTCACAATTCACCACTGGCCTTGCGTTGCTTTGCTTTGCTTTGCACCTCTTTTTGAGATATGATGACCAGGGTCTCCCCAATATGCGACAGAGTCTGTCTTGACTTATTATACCCATTCGCAATTCCCGCACCCCCCGCCATGGGAGAAGCGGAGGAGCGAGGGGGCTCCATATTCGAGAGAGGAGATCCTCATCTTTCGTGAGGTTCCTCTGGTGATGTGGGATGTTTGGTTTGGGGTACGGCGTAGTGGCAGCAGTGAATCCTGGGATCGACAGTGGCTGAACGGTCCGCCAGCCGTACTTTTGCTAAGCGAAGGTGATCAACAGTCTTAGTCCTTCGGTTTCCGGACCGCAAACACCGACGTATGTCTTGACGAACATAAGTTGACCCACAGACTCAAGAAGCTGTCAGTCGGTATCGAATCGTTCACCTTGAATCAGTGAAACCGAAAATCGGTAAGATCTTTGAGTCAATGCTGTCACTGATGTTTCGAAAGGATGAAGACTTATTGTTTGGGCCAATGTCTCCCGCAAACGCAATCATCATCTCTGGCTCTTCCACTCTCTCGCGAATGCATAATTTCCAGAGTCTCCCCCAGAGATGATGCAAGCCTCAACGAACCTGACTTCACCTGCGCAAGGAGTATCGAAGGATCTCAACACCATCGGCCTATCATACATAGCACCAAGGCAACAGCATTCAACCCGTGTACCCAAAGCGTGTGTTCGATGTCGAATTCTCAAGGCTCGTTGTGATGATTTGCACCCCAATTGCTCACGATGCGCGTCAGTGGGCTTAACGTGCGAGAAGTCATATGAACGTTCGAGACGAGAGTATCCACCTACGTACACCGAGTACCTCGAAAGCAGAGCCTTTAGTCTAGAAATCGAGGTTGAAAGGCTCCGAAAGTTAGTACGTCAGGAAGCTGAGAGTCGCATTCTCGTGCCACGACATGAGACATCTCCAGAATCGATGGAAATTGAGTCCACGACAGATTCGCCTGTCACGAGAACGTCTACAGTTGATTCAGAAGTGGGAGAAGGTAATGCATTTATCGGGAACAGTGTCTCTGCATCTGTCTAATATATTCCATAAGATCCTCCCATAAAAAGGGGCCCTTCGCCTGGACATGACTATCACCGGACATCCATGAGCAAAGGATATCTCATCATTCCGGCCACGAGCATCTGAATACATAGGACGGGGCATCAACAAAACCACTTAGACGATGAGATTCTCCTGGCCGTTCAAATCTGGACCTGAGATTCGAAATTCACTTATCGATGACGATCTCTGCTTGACCCACAGGCCACGGCATGCACACAAATCACATCTTGATCGACTTGATTAGTAGATCAGTGACAATGACTTCATGCGAGACGTATCCATGTTTCATCCTTTGTCCCTTCAGGCAGATTCCTCGCCATTTAGCGGCACTTGGTCCGTATTGACCTTGGGCGTCGTCCTCGTGACCGATGGACCGGCTGGAGCTGATTCAACGGTAATGTCTGGTTCCTGATCCTTGCTGATGCGAGGATGTTCGACATCCGCGTTTTGATGGCGAGTTGCGGCAGCTGCATTGCTTTTGGCCGCATGGTCTCCAACCGATTCACCACCGACAACATTATTTGCAGCCGGCCTTCTGGCTGTGGTGCTGCCATGACCTCTGGAATGCTCTCATTGGCCGTGTCACCACAGTCACGTTATCAACGACGGCCGCAGCTTTGTCCTTGGCCGGCGGCGATTCGAAAGATTGCGACATCTCAACTGCTATATGGTCTTTCCCGGATATACAACTTGGCGGGGAGCAAAGAGGACGGACATTTGGACCAAGGGTCAAACTTCGAAAAGGAAGAAGTCATAGAATCTCGACAAGGCTTCCTTTCCGATACGTTATTTCCCAAACACTCGCCGGCAGGAATCTCCGGGTACGAGTATCAGGCGAAAGGGCTGAACTTGACACGAGGCTGAAAGGTCATCGTCACTATCAAGTGCATCATAACATTACAAAGCTTCATGCCCTCTGATTTCATTATTCAATCATCGTACTCATACAATAAGTCACCACTGTCCACATATACCTTCTTCCGAGTCTCCAAGCACTGGATCCTTTTTTGGCTTTGGGACTGACCAGACTTGCTCATAATTGCCTGCATTTTCTCCTCCTTTCGCAAAGTCCCATTCCCCCCCGTCTTTCGGGTAAGCACCAATCATGGTGAAGCCAGAAAGGTCAATGTTGGCAAGGGCCTCTCTCACATCTTCAGCTGCCACTGTATGACCATCGCCCGGAGTCAATAGTTTGAATTCCGTGCGTGGGTTCGTGTTGAAGGTCTTATGGGCTGTTCCCGCCGGTAGGATGAAGACGTCTCCTGGTCCTGCGCTGACCTCAATTCCTCCTTCCTCTCTGCCGGGTCCATAGGTGCTCTTCTCCAGGTCAGGGTCCGTGTCGGCCACGCCAAAGCGAATGGTAGCTGTCCCAGTCAGGACAACCATGCATTCGTGCGCCATGCTGTGGTAATGCGACGTCTGAGTCTGACCATATCGAAAGATCCATTGCGTCTTCCATCCATTACTAGAGAACAGGTCATAGATCTTGGTTGCCGCATCATTACCGGATTCTACAGATACAAATCCGGGGTAATGGATCAAAGGATGCGGCGAGTTTGGTATGAGAGCGGTTGGTGGCAGTTTGTAGCGCTTGACTTCGACCATCTTGATTTACTGTAGAAGCAGAGACAAACCGAAGACTATAGACAATCTCTCTCTCTTGATGAAGGCGACGGGATATGATGTTTCTACGAATGATGAGGACAATGATCGGTACGTAATTACTTCCATTCAATTTCCCCGCGACGGAGTTCGGCGTATCCACAACATTCTTGGCTGTTCATATTCCGAGGAACAGCAGTAAGGAATAGTAAGATGTTACAACTTCATCGTATCTTCTAACAAATCGCTAAATCGCTAGCAGCAGCTTCAGGTCAATCTATATCTATCATAGCTTCACCATTACGGTAAGACATAGCCATCACTTCATCTGAAATGCGGTCGAGGACCCTTCTGGGTACTTCCCAAGAGATGAACTATGCTTATGCACATGCTCTCCTCTTCGCTTCCTCAAACTATCTCAGCGTTGGTGATGGAGAGCCACTCTTCTTGCTGCTTGAGGAACTCTTTGATGGTTTTAACATCGGTCTTCTTCCCAGCTGTATGCTGCTCCTTCAGTAGCTTCAACATTCCAGCCAGGCGTTTTTGCAAGACCTCGACACGGTACTCTGTCCATTGGAAATATAGCTCTGAATGATCAGAAATGGGCCTAATGCTGGTCAGCACTGAGGAATCCCTCACGAAGGGATCACGAGGTCGAAATGAAGTGATCATGGTGATACGTTCACTGCCTCCCTTTGCAGCTAAAGCTTGATGAAGGATGTGTCTGCCCTGAAGCACCACAGCACAGCCCTTAGCAAAAGTTAGCAGATGCTCACTTCACCACCAAAGCGAAGAAGCTTACCATTTGCGGACCTCGAACTCTGACGAATTCGCCTGATCCAGTCCTGATTGCTGTTTCACCACCTTGCATTTGTGATGCGTCGCTCATCATCACGACACAGACAAAGGGATAACTATCATAATGCCATTTGGTGACAGGGACATCGTCATCGGATTGATTCTCTTGTTTCTTATAGTCCTTCAACGGATCTTGAACAGAAATATTGATGTTGCCGATGTCAATGTCAATCTCCGGTACAAGATCAATCCCAGCAATCTTCGAGACGATCGAAAGCGTTCGGGGGTTATTCCACGCATCATACATGAACGGTGCATACCTTGGGGAGATATGATCAGCCGAATGTCCGTAACATTGGTGAACGATGAGGCGATGTATTGCTTACTTCGGACAATGACCCCTAAGTTGACAACCTGCAAACTCTGTACTGTGCATACAGTTGTCCCAGACTTCTTGCTGGAATATCTCGCCTCTCATGATATTGATGGCTTCTTCGGTGAAGAGAGGGAATGGTTCCGAACTTGCAACCGGAGAGATACCAACATCTTCTGACAAGCCGATATCCTTGAGCGTCACAACCTTGGGATCTTGTTGATAAGCCAAGTGCCTATCAGGGTCAAACTTCACACAAGGTCCGGAACTGCCTGGAGTCAGTTTTTCACTGATTATGGGACTGATATTGAAGCTGTGGACTGCTGGACGAGTATCAACTGTTGCCATGATGAATTACAAGGATTTTGATTACTGCAAGAGGGAAAATATCATCTATGGGCAGCAACGTTCAAGTTGAAGAAGTCGACATGAAGGGCCACCCCCTCGCTTTGATATGCCCCTTGTTGCTTATCGGCATAACCGGCCGGACAACATGAACAGCCTGTCAATGCCAATGTCTTTCTCAGACAAATCTGGTTATCGGGCCGTCGTCACGCTGTGCCATCAACTGTTTTTATCATATGAACTTGACCTGATCGGGGCATCAAAATTACAACCTTGCCAAACAGTGACACATTAGCACACGGGCCTTGGAGGCATGTGAAGGGCGTGCAAGGAGCTCTCCAGAAACTGCCGAATTGGGAAATTTAATCCCCTCGCATTCCAAACGTTTGATTGGATTGAAGTGGTGGATCACCACCCCCGGGTACCAGGCGGATATCTCCTCTACCACGCAATAAATACATCCTCCAAGGGCCCTATGGGGTCAAGTCTTGAAGAGCATCAAGCATCAGTTTCCGTCCACATATAACACGGATCAGTTCGTTAGGACAACAAGGACTTTGTCAAGGAAACAACTACTGTATTACACGTCACACATCACACACCATAGAAAATGGGTCTGTCCATGTTCGGGCCTCCTGAGCCAATTGACCCTACATACCAACCGACCACATCAATCACCAAAATCCCGGCAAATGCACCAATTGAAGAGATCCTCGAAGTCATTGAACGAGATGGAGGGGTAATCCTGACAGGATTCACTTCCGCCGAAGAGCTCTCGGCCATTGATCGGGATGTGGAGGCTCATCGAAAACAAACACGCTCCGAGAAGGGAGCCTTGCCCAATCTTCCCAGAGAGACTTTATCCGTGGCTGGCCTCGTGGGAAAGTCTCCCACGGTCGCTCGAATGTGTGAATATCCGGTGTTGGAGAAATTACGCACTCACATTTTACAAGAAAACTTTGACGTGATACGCGAGGATCACGTCGAACACAACACCATCGACCCTCTCCTGAGTATCAGCATGACTTTTCATATCGGACCGGGCGCACCTCGCCAGAGACTTCACAGAGACGACAACACGCACGGAACACGGCATGGTGGAGGAGCACACTTTGACCTGAAACAGGCCGGGCAATTCGCATGCTTGGTGGCGGGTTCCCAGACAACCCGAGAGAATGGTGCCACAATGTTCATCCCAGGATCTCACAAGTGGGACGATACACGAGTACCTCGTCTAGATGAGATCTGTTTTGCCGGTGAGGAAATATCCTACCCTTTTGCCTACATTTTCTAGTTGCTAACAATTTCCTCCCCTCAGAAATGGAACCAGGCTCGGCTCTGATTTTCCTAGCCTCCTGTTACCACGGCGGCGGTCACAATGCGACCACCGATGAGGTTCGAAGAGTCCATGGATTGTTCTTTGTACGTGGGAACATGCGTACAGAAGAGAATCAGTTTCTGGCAGTTCCGAGGAGTAAGGTGCTTAATATGAGCGAAAAGATGCTCTCGTTGCTCGGATATTCGAAGCCTTCCTCAGCGCTAGGGATAGTAGAGAACGAGGATCCAGTATCAAATCTGAGAACTTTTCTCGAGATGGCCAACCAGTAATTGATGACTGCATTATATATGAGCCATGACTCTGGCCAAGTGAAAATATAATAGAAATTTGCGACGGTCACTTTTCAAACATCAATGGTGTCTTTTATGATCTATACATACTTTAATGCTATGATAATCACGATAGAACTAGTAGTTCGGGATACCCGTTCCCCGTAATGTGGTGGAAGCCCCTCCTCACCCTCTTCCTTCATCTTCATTCTCTCCACTCTCCAATTTCTCTACAACCTCCGCCGCTCACAATACGAAGACACAATAAACTTGCCACTTCTTATCTACACTTATCAGACATGTCTCTGAAGGTCCCATATCCCCTGCCTTGCCTGTGCTGGTTCTAGACACTCGTCTTTCCTGTTTACACCGACGACCACACTCACTATATGGCTAGATATGAGACCCATCCAGCAGAACGTATGACGAAGTCTTTGGTTCCACTGGCTCCGAATGGGAACGTCAACCCAGGACCAGTCGAACAAGTATCCAAACGGAAACAGCCCAAGAGTCGCAATGGCTGCGTCTCATGTAAGACCAGAAGGAGAAAATGCGACGAGACAAAACCGGCTTGCCAACAGTGCACTCGACGAGGACTGATATGTGGCGGGTATCCCAAATTTCTGAAATGGAGGCCAGTTGGAAGGAAAGTCGGGACGGACCAGCCCAGGTCATTGGATTCGTATCCGAAGATCAATCTTCAGCCGCCGTCAGAGAAGAAGAAGCCTCGACTGAACAATCATCCGCGAGAAGATGGTCCTTCAGCAGTCTCGCAATCAAAAACCTCGAATTCTTTTGCGGGTCATCCATCAGTATCGACATCTGCATCGACGGCTTCTCCTTTTCGAACCCTTGAGTCTACGGGACTCTCTTATGTGCCTTCTGAATCGGTCGAGATCGATTTAGATGGATACAAGGCGAATGGTATCGATGATCGTGGGCAACAATCGAATTCTGCTGGAGATGCATTCTTCCCAACCGCTCATTTATCCGATCAATCCGCACACTCTGAAGACCTCGAATTTGGCCCGGATGTCTCGGTGTGGGACTTTTTCAACCACGAGTCACTCTTTGACTCCTTCATGGATGACGACGTGATGAACGACGTGACGGCCCCAATACCTGAACTGGATCGGGCACTCGACACCACTTTCGATTCCCTCGTCCATTACCCCAAAGTTCCCGTCACGACGGCAATACAGTCCGATCTTGCTTTCGTTGCAGTTCCAGAGGAACAGCCCGGGGCCGGCGACGCCGCAGCCGAAACGATCAAGCATCTCTTCGAGCACCGGACGTGCGAGATCTTGTCCATCAAAGAAGACCAGAGCAGGAATCCGTGGCGGACATTGATTTGGCCTCTGGCTTCTGACCATCCCGCTTTGCAGTACGCACTCGCCGCCATGACTTGCCTTCACATGTGCAAATCTCAACCTCAACATCGCCTCCCGGGATTACGACACTTTGAAGCCTCTACTCGAGCGCTCGCCGAGGACGTTTCCGCCCACACCGACAACGCCGACGCACTGACATGGTCGATGTCCGTCGTCGCCACGAGACTTGCGTTGGGTTTCGCCGCTGGTTGGGATTACGAAAGCTCTTCGACGGGGATCGATCATATCAACGAGGCGAAAATTCTGATTCGTCAAGCGGCAACCAACCACAAAACTTCTCCCCTTTCAGGCAGCGACTTGAGTCGACTGAGTTTTTTGGCCAACACTTGTCTGTACATGGACGTCATCGCTCGATTGACTTGTCCGAATTCCCAAACCTCCAACGACGTCGATTTCATGATGGCCTGCACCTCATTGAGCAGCCACATCCCCTCGAAACAGCAGATTGACCCTTTGATGGGTTGTGCCATTACCTTGTTCCCCATGATCGGTAGGTTGGACGACTTGGTCGGCAAAGTTCGAAGGAGGTCTGCAGACAGGAATTCGCCCGCCATAATCTCACAGGCCGTCGAATTGAGGACCGACATTGAACGGTGGAAGCCGTCGATACAGCTAGACAATCTCTCGGAGCTTCACCCCACGGTGTCGGACGCCATCCAGACAGCCGAAGCTTACCGGTGGGCCGCGTTATTGTTACTGAGACAGGCGGTTCCCGAATTACCGTGGAGACAGTCCGTTTGGGAGTTGGCATCCAAAACCTTGATTTTCATCGCCACGGTCCCTCTGAGATCCCCCACCACGATCGTCCAGGCTTTCCCTCTGATAGCTGCAGGTTGTGAAGCGATAGACGACGACGACAGGGAATGGGTTCGTCAGAGGTGGGAATTGATGGGTCAAAAAATGATTACGGGGATCGTGGATCGCTGTAAAGAAATCACTCTCGAAGTATGGAGACGTAGAGATGAGTTTGAAGAAATCAATTTCGTGGCCAAGACAGGCACGACGACGGCGACACAGAGACCGGAGTCGACATCTTTATCGACCACACCTACGCCAATGTCGAATTCAAACACCGCGAGTACACGTATGTCCACGGTCGAATCGGATTTTGAGGCAGCAACAGCGGAACAACCACCATTGTCGTCCGAGACAGATCATCAGTGTCAGGAGACTCAGCCACCACCAACACCCGGTCACGGTAGAGGGGTATCCGACTTTCCTGACACTGCCGCGTTCAAAAAGGGCATCGATCCAATCACCCGGGCAGGTTTCATGAACTACACCGTCAAGGGTGATTTGCATTGGTTGGGGGTCATGAAGGACTGGAATTTGGAAGGTAAGTTCTCTCGAAGTCGCGGCCCCCCCGACTGTCTCTGTCACTTTGATCCGCATACACGAGTACCGGTATGTGAAAGGTTTAAGGGTCCCGAGGCTAATGAATTTTTTTTTTGAATGTGTTTGATAGTCATGCTTGGGTAAATACCCATGCCTCATACGAATATCATTGCTGGTCGTTGCTCGTATCATCCAAGGAACAATAGTGGCCCCGGGACGACAGAACCGATGTCATACGAAATTACAAGAACCACGAGGATCTACCCTTGATTTGACGAGGAGAGATCAGCAAAGTCCGAGTACCACAGACATCCTAGCATCCATGTGATACGAATCAGGCTTTTGAGGGCACTGGCATAGGTCTTCGATCTAGGTACCTTAAGTCCGTCCATGGTGTATTTTTAACTCCGCCGTTAAATCCAGAGTCACCCTTTCGTATGTACTTTGTACACGGGGGAGATGGTTGCAGGTCGGTGAGGAAACAAAGCCCTGTAAACTACTGCCCCCGGCCGTATGGTTGGTTGTGTTGTGGGCATGTTGAGTGGTGGTGTATTGGAAGATATAAATGTTGGACAAGAACCCCTACGGTTGACCTCCCTTTTCTCCCGGATCCTCTACCAAAGTTCAGCCTCAACCTTGCCAAAACGGAACAGAACAAAACAGACCATATTATTGAGCTACTCTGTACTCCACACTCGTACAGTTATTCTCCCATCACCATTGAGCATTACTCTTCACCATTACGAGTCGTATCCGTGACGTTTCCATCTTTTGTTGACACCTCATATCATCCCCCGTCTTCACGTCACCATGAGTATCCCCGCCAGCAACGAGAACAAAAACACAATATACCTCATTACCGGAGCCAATCGTGGTATCGGAAGATGTTTGACCGATTTGATTCTGTCACGACCCAACACCACGGTCGTCGCACTCGTTCGTGACCTGGAACACGAAACGACAAAGTCACTTGTTGATACCCACGCCCACGCCCACGAATCACTCAACAAACTCATCGTCATTCCATACGACGCCTCCGTCCCTGGATCAGCCGACGAGGCCATCTCGACACTTCAATCCCCATCCCACAAAATCACCCACGTCGATGTTGTGATTGCCAACGCCGGTATGCTCACCAAGCGCGGACCCGCCATCGACACTCCGGCCGAAGACATCTTGTCGTCGGTCCGGGTAAACGCCATCGCTCCCCTCGACCTCTTCCGGGCGTTCTTTTCGTCGTCGTCCCTCATGAGCCCCAAACCGACAAAATTCATTGCCATCAGTTCGGCCATCGGGTCTACACAGTTGATCCCCCAGCACGCCCACTCTTCCACGTTGGCGTACGGCTTGAGTAAAGCCGCCTTGAACCACGCCATGCGGAAATTGAGCGTCGAATATCCAGAAACGATAGTCGAGGTGTTGACTCCCGGACCCGTCATGACGGACCTGATGAGGGAGAATAAAGATCAATTGGAGGCAATGTTGAAGGTGAACCCAAAGTTGATGGAGCGCTTCACACCCATCGAACAAGCGTGTAAAGGGTTGTTGGGATTGATTGATTCCGCTTCAAAAGAGACGAGTGGTGGGTTCAGAGATTGGTCTGGTGAGGTCATACCTTTTTAGATCAGGAAATCGAATGCCGAGACAAAGAAAGGATACCGTCTTGTTGTAAAGGTGCGAGTGTGAGTCAAGATAGTTTTATTTTGAAAACAGCCCTCATAATCTCATCCCTTCTGTCTTGCCTGGATAGATGATGATAGATGAAACGTCAATGACTCATCCCAAAAGAATCTCGTACAGTCCGTCACTCCCGGCACGTCACCACCAACACATTGCGCGATTGCAGTCGAAGAAAGTCGATCGGAAAAAGCACAAGTCATGTTGTCGGGCCCGTAAACAGCCCGAAGCATTCTGGCTGTCCACATCATCAACGACGCGTCACATGCACTGAAAGACTGCATCATGAGACTCTTGCAGCAGATTTGGACGTTACAGTTGACGATCCAGCACGAGTCCATGTCGGCACCACGGTAAGTGCAGTATGCCAGAAGCGCGAGTGCAACGAGAATGTCATGGCGATGAGTCGATGGTTGCGATAATTGTAGTAGTCGGAGACACCTTGCCACGTTTAGGTGACGAGACTGTTCGACTCTCGCGGCGGCGGAAAGACCTTGAGATTTCCACGATGCGTGCCACTCAGACACTGTCTCCATCACCATTATGCATTGGTACGTCAGAGTTTGTGTGGTGATGACACTGCGTAAACCATCGGGAAGACTCGGCATCGTGCGGAGGGCCTCGTCACAAATTGCGGCGTCGGCAGTCGCTCGAAGCCCAGCCTCGGTCATCTCGACTTGTACAACTCTCATGGCGTTGAAATGGTTAAAGTAGGACTGGACGGTTCGAGCCAGGAACCCGTCGAAGCCCAGAGCTTCGTAACCACCGTGAGCGATCAACAAATCGTGCATCGCTTTGAGGTGGATTTCCGTCTTGTCGTACTCGCCGACGAAGTTCCAGATAGCTATCAAGGCTTCAATGCCCCAGATGGTGGCATCGAGAGAGGACCGTCCTTCGGAAATGGAGCGTCGTAGTGATATGTATGTCTTTTCGATTAATTGGTAAACTTCGCGCGTTATGCGCGGAACCAGTGAGGTCTTTGTGAAATCCTGGATGAGTAACGTGACTGCGCCGCACGAGTTCTGGACGACTTCGTGATGGAGAACGAAAGGAACAACTGCTTGTAGGAACTTGCCGTCCACGCCGTCGTGTTGGTGAAGTTGTCGGCGATGGAAACTGGGAACGACGTCGCGAATATCTAGTCCCAGAACCGGTCAGTCAAAGGCTGGGTCCCCATTTCGAACTACTCACAAAGTGACAGAGCTGGAGCCAATGTGCCTTGGAAGGAGAACGGCGACGGTTGTGCGACAGTATTCGTTGACACCAACAGCGGCTCTGGCGGTTGGACAGGTGAGGTGCTCTCTGAAGATTCTCCAGGCGTCTTTGCTTGTCCACCTTTCTGGGGATTGGTTGTGGACTTAAGCGATTGAGCTCTTAGTCGAGCAGCCTGAGCCGGTCCGGTCCTCCATGAAAGAATGTGTTGTTTGTAGGCCGTCGATGGCACTCTCTTCTTCCCCGCCATGCAAGAATGAAAAGGTGAAGGAATTCAGGCAGAACATCCAAGACGTAGGATAGTCAGCTTTCACGACCACGAAGTCGTCCGTTTGCACATATGGACGCCATGATGATAATGACACTTTATCACCGTATTGTAGATGTCGATGAAGGACGTATTCAATAGTGTAAAAGCGTATTCGTACAACTGATTCCAGAAATATGGTTTTCTTTCGCCTCGCCTAAAAAAGGGTCCATGGGGCTGCATCAGAGAATAACCAAGCCGAGATATGCCTTTTTCTGGTTACAGCATATGCGCCAATGGAGCCTCGTTGGTCGGCGAGTCCGATGGCTCTCGTATTTTGAACGAAAGAGGAAATCGTCAACAGCCGTTTAAGAGGCTCGACGGAAGTTGGCCGTGTTTTTTTATAGAATGACTTGTCATGACAAAGAAATGATGCGGCAGATGCTGCATATTGATGTGCGTTTAGAAGAAAAGATATTCTGTCAGTCAATACTATTCTTTTCCGGCCCCCAACGTATATTGTCTGCTCGTGTAATTTCTACTCCGTACACCTTTTGTCGTTTCTAGTATGAGCACCGGAATATTGATGAATAACCAACAGAAAGAAGCCCTATAGCCTATCTAAGATGGCGTTTGATGAAATTAAAAAGAAAGAAAAAAGGATCGATCTCCTTTAAAGTTGTTGCATACTGTGTACTGTCAGTAAAGGAGGGGTTGTTTCTTGTGGTGATAAATATCTTCGAAGTCTCTACGAGGTCTCTCGTGTCGCTGTGAAGATCTGGATCAAATTTCCAATAATATATTTTCCGCTGGATACTTCTTTATCAACATCAATTCTTCTGTTCAAGGATACAAATATGTGTGGTGTGTATCTTTATTGCGGTAGAACATGTTTGGGTAGTTTGTTTGCCTCCCCATTGTCGATCTGTTTCCCCCCCCTTGACATCACAGACGCATGTGGCTCCCTCTTTGCAATTAATGTCCACCGACTTCTTGTTCCACCGTGTCCCTCTCTACCACGAGTAACCAATTACCAGGTACATACTCTTTTCCCACCATCTCTCAAAGATCGTACATGAATAAAACTTCGTCACTCCTTTTGCTATAACAACTCCTCCTCCTCCTCCCCGTCGTCATGTCTTCCACTCAGATTCCCGCCGGTAAAACCTGGTTCGACACACACAAGGTGCACTTTGAAGACGTCCCCGTCTCGGCCGACCAGGAGATCTCTACCAGCGAATTCCTCGACGCCGCCGAAGCGACCACCACCTTGTTTGACTTGTTGGGATCGGTGGCTTTTACTCCCGTGAAAAATGACATGACGACCAACGTGACCAAGGTCCGTGAGAGACAAAAGGCCAGCCCCGACACTTCGGCCACCCTCCAGTCCCTCTGCAGGGCCGAGTTGGCCTCGAAGTCACACAAGGCCACCGAGGGTTTGCTGTGGCTGGTCCGGGGTCTCGACTTCACCGCGCAGTCGTTGAGGGCGGACTTGACGAGCAACGCGGCCGTAGCACCCACCGAGGCGAAACCGAACAAAGAGTTGGCGGACAGCTTCAGGGCAGCGTACAAGAACACACTGGCACCTCACCACGGGTTCCTGGTCAAGCCGATCTTCAGTGCGGCCATGAGTGCCACCCCTTACCGAAAGGACTTTTACGTGAGATTGGGTGGTCCAGGGACAGACCCCGAGGTCATCAGACAGGCTCTGGAGAAGTGGGTGTCGGCGTTGGAGAGGCTGGTGGCCATCCTAAAGGCGTTCCTGGCCAGCAAGGAAGCCAAGTGGTAGTAGATTGATGAAGCAAATGAAGATGCATTGGAATCTCCTCGATTGGTAATTGTAGTCTGTCGGGTCAATAGGCTGCCATTTCTCAGACGAGGGATCGACGTTGTTGTCGATGGCTGCTTTTGATCATAAAGGGGGCCCAGGTGTTGAGGGGTTGCGCACACACGTTATACAAGCCTGGGACGATAAAGATGCATTTGATTCTACGCTCATGTGCTATGAACACTGGTTCCACCTGATAAAACGCCGTCGCTATGCCCTTTTCAAAGAACTATACAAGACCCCGTATATCGCGATCTGGGACAGGATTGCTATAACACTCACGCCGTGCTCAAGGTACCATGGGACGCCGTAATCGCTCCCTTTTCCCGCTGTTTGTCAAGGTATCTGTCAAGCTGCTTTCTCTTTGATTCCTCCTCTTGAACTGCAGACGGTATAGGAGGCAGCTCGCTCCCATCCTGTTGCAGAGAGACACGTGTGAACGCAGTCTCAAGCTCATTCACCAACGCCTGCGCCACGTCCACCGACCCCGGGTTGTTGTGCTCCAACTCCGACTTTGCATACGCGTATATCGTGCGCAATTTGTCCAGCTTCTTCCTGTCCGCCATCATAGAGGGTAAGAATTCTCTCTTGGCCTGGAGCGCAATCAACTCCCTCGCCGCCGTTCCATCCGCGAACGCCTGACCCATGCGTACCTGATCCGGATCGACTTTTGCCTCGCCCACGACGTCTTGTTCGACTCGTCCTTGTCTCTTCGCAGGGTAATCGTGGTCGGCCCAACTCCCCAGGCCGTGCCACTGCCACGGCCACGTCCACGGTGCCCAGGCCGCTTTGGCCACTCCGAGCACGAGGTTCTGGCTTATCGGGCCATACCAGTTGCTGTCGACGGTCTTGTCGCGGCCGTCCGCGTCGCCTTCGACCCAGATGTGGTTGTACGGCACGACGACCGGATCGTCACCCCCCGGGTAGCCCGGTCGAGGGGTCACGCGGTCCCCGGGAACGGCGACGACACGCTTGATCGCCCATTTCGTCGGGTCGTGGGGTGCGTAGAAGACTATGATCTGACCTCGGTGGAGGTGGAATGGTGGGTTCCTGAAGACTATGCTCGGGCGTCCCGGGAAGGTGACTTTTTGGAGCAAGATGCGGTCGTTGGCTGGTTCGGGAAGGTCTGGAGAACATGTCGGGTTAAGGTATGGTTGCATCGACGGGCCACGGACGGTCGCGATACGCAGAGGGAACTGGGATATGAAGAAGGCGACGGGAGGTACCACGAAGAAAAAGTACCATAGCAAACGTCGGCTGGTGGGAGACCGGAGGATTTGAAGGATGGAGGAATTGGTGTTAGAAGGCCGAGATTCGGGATGAGGTCGAGAAGGGACTTTAATTTGGGGGTTTCCTTTGGTTGGAGGGGAGGACGGTAGAGGAGGGAGTGTACGGGTATGAGCAGTTCGGGCGCAGATGGTTGAGGTGGAAGAAGCACGGCTGATAAAGCGCAGAACGAGGAGGCCTCCTCTCGATGTGGGTGGCATTGTTTTTGGCGAGGTAGATTCAGCCTTTAGATAAGGCCGGATGATATAAAGATGCCCGAAAGGCGTGAAGTATTGGTCATTGTTCTGTATATCTGGTCATTTTTGGTTTTTTCTTGTGGGCTCGTATCGTATGTCACATCAGATCTCATGAGCATGAAATGAAGCTCTAACAATTTGGAGGAGTTAGTGAAATGCGGAGAAACACATGGCAAGTTTGCCGAGCGAGCATCTACTCTACCAACTACTCCATATAAGAGTCTCGACAGCTTCGTCTCTTCTTCCTGACCTAACTCCAAACGTATACATATGACTTTGCTTGATTGCTCCCAATGGGGCTAGATAACTGAGAATCACAGACACTTGCAACAGGCCAGTGAAAATCCCCATTCACCACCGAGTACTTATGAAGCGACTCCCTCCTCCGAGCAACAGATCTTTCTACTCTATCCCGGACAGTCGACATTTCCTTGCATCTAGTCTTTATTGCTATTCTGCTCCTTACCTGTACAAGGATCTCACTGTAGAGTGTACACCTTCGTTACACAGCGCAGTCACACATCGTACATGTAATCATTACATAACCTAAACTCGAATTCTCCTTCTCACCAGACATCTTGTGTAAAACTTCAAAGATTCAAATGACTCCCACATGGATTCTGAGACTGGCATCCTTTTCCAACTCTTTTACTCGCATATTAGCTCATAGTTCCTCCCCCCTTACGTTGACCACTACATACTGTACTTGTACGGGAGTAAGATGTAAGCCGTTGTCACTCTTGACCTTCCTTTTCCGGGGGAGAAAAAGATCCCCCCTTTACTTAGTGCCGGGTTCCCACACCAGTCAAGTCCCCACAGTTTTATGTATCTCTCAGGAGGTTCACAACATGTATGCAAGTACTTTGTTACTCGAACGCTGTACTCTTGTACACCGGCAATGATATACATATGCAGTGGATTCCGTGATCCGGACTAGCATGTACGTACATACTTAGTGTCTCCACTGCTTTGCAGACACGAAGGACTTCTACTTCTCGGTTTCTCTCCAGCTTCCTTTTACAGCAGCGGTAGCATCATCCATCATCCATCTCTCCTGTGGATTCATTCAACTTACCCGCCTGCATACTCTTTACTCCTCCGTACAATGTAGGTAAGGTATTGTTTCATCTCGAATCTTGAAACGCAAGTCTCCCGTCCCATCAACCCACATCAGAGGGAGGGACATTCGACCGAGGGTACCTGTAGTACGGAAGTAAAGTACAGACTGCTCGTTTTGTGTAGCCACCACCATGCTGGGCTCGACCTCTGTCGGAACCTACTGTATGAAGTACATTGCTCGTTTAGTTCATTCATCCATGTGGCGTCCACGACTCATCAATCATACTTGTGCTATTTACGAGTAAAATCTCGTGCTCATCCAAGACGTCGGGAAGGTGAACGTGAGTGTGATATCTGTCCATCAAACCGTCATGGCCATTGTACCGGAGTATCTAGTCCATGCTCTCACTCGACCTTTTTCAGCCCTGACTCCCACACCGTATGAATTACAGTACCAAGGTAAAACGATCACTGGTGATGATGTCTACCTCTTGAGTAAGTGTGTTTTGTGGTGTCTATGTGTAAAGTACAGCACGGTCAAATCATCCCTCGATTCCCTCCGGTACATTTTTTTTCTTACCCCTGAATCCTTCCACACCACACCACACCGCACCAAGAGCGTGAATGATGATTGACATGTTCCTTTGACATGAGCTTTGACGTGATGCATGATGTACCTGTACCCTGTACTGTCTTGATTTATTGCGTGACTACCCCTCGGAGAAACATTGACATCTGTCCGTCGCCCCCTTTCACCTCTCACACATTGCATGGTGGAGGCAAAATATGGTACTCTGCACTTTCTGGGTCAAACTCGTGACTCGACTTGTACTCTCCTCTATTACGTCCTTACTGTACGTCCTTGCGTTGCAAAACACACACCACTCAACTCGGCCCTAGATCAAATCCCATGTCAATATGCCTGTCTGTCCATCCATCCATCTGTCGGGTCATTCAATTGTCACACGTTGACTGAGACATTTTTGACCAACTACTGACCACTTACGATACTATTTTAATCCTCGTGTCACCAGCACCGCCACCGTCGCCACGAACTGATGACGGTGTCAATTGAATTGTTCTGCGGAATTGCCCTCACTCACCTTGAACAGTCAAGTATAGCCATTGCATCGCAATGGTCTCTTCTGTACACTCGAAGAACAAGAAGCCAAGAGAGGAGAAAAAAGAGAAAAACAAAGACGTAGAATAAATTTGAATGTTTTTGGGTTCATTCTATCTTCTCTCTTTTTTTTATCAAAAGAGACTTGCAAAATTTTGCATATAGCTAAAACTAATAAGCTACCTAAAATGCTTCCCCCTCCCAAACCATTTTTGTGTCCCAAGGGAAACACACCCTCAGTAGAATGTTCCCTTATTGTTCCTGTTCCTTTCTACCCTGTATTCCCATATTGCCATATTTCCATGATCCCCATTGCGCGTCAGCGGTGTCAAGCGTCAGGAGCGCTTTATAACCCTGTCGAGAAAAAAAAAAGATTGTATTGTCGTGTCCAGTCATTAGTGTTTGTTGTTGGTGCAAAAATGAAACAAGTCGAAATAGAGCCGCAGAGTGCAACATCTCAGTAGACTTTGGTGTTCCGTGATTAATCGGGTTCCCGCCCATTTCTTCTCTCTCAGAGAATCCAGGGGTCCGAAAATTGCCGAATTGAAAAAAAGGGACAGAAGATGTCGAGCCGGTCCTTGCTTACAGCAGAGCAACGACGATGATGGCAGCCAAGGCACCTGCGATCTTCAATCCACCGACTTGAGCAGTGGCGGCGGCACCAGTGAAAGTGCTCACCACTGGAGCGACTGGAGTGGTGGAAGATGGAGAAGGTCGCACGGTGGTGCTTGGAGCAGGAGCAGGGGGAGGTGTGGTGGTCGCCGGGGCCGGAGGAGGGGTCGAGGTGGTCCAGTCGCTCCAGACGTGGCTGGAAGTCTCGATGGGTGAGACGGGGACCGAAGAGGTCGAATTCCAGTCTCCCCAGACGGTGGAGGAGGTCTCGATGGGCGCCACGGGGACCGAGGTGGTGGTAGTCCAGTCTTGCCAGGCGGTAGAGCTGGTCTCGATGGGTGCCACTGGGACCGAAGTCGTCGTGGTCCAGTCTTGCCAGTGAGTGGTCTCTGCTGGAGCAGGTGCCGGAGCGACTGGGGTGGTCCAGTCGTTCCAGTGTTCGGAAGCGGGAGCCGGGGCTGGAGATACAGAGTTAGTTGTTGTTGTCGTCGTCGTCCAATCTAGCCAGACAGTTTCTGAGGGGGTAGTTGTGGTGGTTTGGGAGATGGGGCTTGGGCTAGGGGTGGTCGTCGTGGTAGATGTAGTCCAATCTAGCCACATCGTTTCTGATGGGGTAGTGGTCGTTGTAGTGGTCTGGGAAATGGGGCTTGGGCTGGGGGTTGTTGTGGTAGAGGT